CTTACCCTCCTATGAAGGAGGAGCCAGCACCCCAGACTGGTGCTCAGTGACTATGCACCATTCTTAAGAAACCCACCGCCTACTTTAGTGTCTTTGTGGGTGACCCACTGACTCTGACTAATGTTGCATGAGCACAAGTAGGAGCATTTCTACTGGTGACTACACTCACTGAAGAAAATGATCCTCGCCCTCAGCAACCACTAACTGCCAATAGTCCCTCAGGAAGGGCTGGGCCTCGTAAGCCACTCCCCACCCTTGGTAAAATATTGAGGGACTTTGTTAACATTTTAATTAAAATATATAATCTTCTTCCCTTCCCTCTAACCCCTTCCAAATCTCCCTTTATTCTCTTTCAAATTAGTGGTCTCTTTTTCTTTATTACTGTGAATATATATATGTATATATGTGTGTGTGTGTGTGTGTGTGTGTATGTGTGTGTGTGTGTGTGTGTGTGTGCATAAATGTATAGTACAACCTACTAAGTCCATTCAGTGGTGCTTGCGTTCACATGAATTCAGGGCCAATCACTTTGTATTGGATAACCAGTTAGGGGGCTCATCTCTGGGAGAAACTGATTCTCCCTCTTTTGTTTAGGCAGCTATACTGTTGAGGTATCACGGGTCATCATTCCCTGTCATTTCTAGGAGACACACTCTCATTGTAGACTTTGTTTCTCTGGCTCTTATAATCTTCCTGATCCTTCTTCTATGATGTCTCCTGAGCCATAGGTGTAGGAATTGTAGACTAGAGGTATCCATTGGAGCTGAGCCTCCCAGGGTCAGTGGCTCTTTGGCATTATGACCCGTTGTGTTTTTTCTGTAATGGTCTACATTTGCTGGAAAGAGAAGCCGTTTTTAATTTAAATTAAAAACAATCTTATTTTAATATAAATTCCAGTTCCCTCTCCCTCCTGTCCTCCCATGCTCCCCACCAACCCCACCTTCCTACCCACTCTCCACTCCCCAGGAAGGGTGAGGCCTATCATGGGGGATCATCAAAGTCTGTCACATCATTTGGGGCAGGCCCTCCCCCGTGAATGTAGGCTAAGAGAGTATCTCTCCAAAGGGAATGGGCCAGAGGCCCCATAGACTACCCAGGCCTCCTAACTGACACCCATGTTCAGGGGGCCTGGTTTGGTCCTATGATGGTTCCACAGCTGTCAGACTGGGGTCTATGAGCTCCCACCTGCTCAGGTCGGATATTTCTGTGGATTTCCCCAGCATGGTCTTGACCCCTTTTCTTATCACTCCTCCCTCTGTACAACTGGATTCCAGGAGTTCGGCTCAGTGTTTAGCTGTGGATCTCTGCTTCTGCTTCTGCTTCCATCAGCTACTGGATGAAGTCTCTATGATGGCATTTAAGGTAGTCATCAATCTCATTATAGGGAAGGGCATTTAAGGTAGCCTCTCCACTACTGCTTAGATTCTTAGTTGAGGTCATCCTTGTGGATCCCTGGATTTTGCCTAGTGCCAGATTTCTCTTTAAACCTATAATGGCTCCCTCTATTAAGGTATCTCTTTTCCTGCTCTCCTTCTCTAGTCTTCCCTCAACTCAATCTTCCTGACCCCTCATGTTCTTCTCCCCCTCCTCTCTTCCCCCTCCCCTTTTTATCCTCCCTCCCTCCATCCCCCCTCCCCTCATGCTCCCAATTTGCTCAGGAGACTTGAGAAGCTTTTTTTTTTTTTTTTTTTTTTTTTTTTGATGTGGAGTGAAATCTATACTTATCTGTGGCTATCAGAATACATTTCTGAGTGCAGTTAGGAATTATACTGGTCTAGGAAAGTGGCATGCAAGTCTAAGATCCATGACTGCACTGGTCCTGGGTGGTTGGCTAGGTTTCTAGTTCCAGGCATGGGTCTTAAGTCTGATTAGACAGTTTGGTTACTGGCAAGATGAGTGCCACTATTGTACCTTTCGGGATATCTAGGCATGTAATTGTTATGGTATATAGCTGTCACAGTTGGTTGTTTGCTTTCCTTGGCAGCTTGCACAGCACCTTCTGGTACTATGCAAGCTAGACCACAGGAAGGAGGCTTTCAGGCTGGATCCAGCTAGAATCTCTTGAGTCTCGTGTCCAAACTGTGTGATGTCCTTAGTAATAGAACTTACCTTCAACCTAGGGGAGGAAACCACGGGCAATAGCAATAGTCTACATTGTTTTGGAAATCACTAGACAACCCTGGCCAACAATTTCTCATATGCATGACACTCGGGTATTTGTTAGAGTGTAGTCAGATTTTTCTGTCTTACCAGCCAGTTCCCAAATCATGACATGGAGACTTGTTATTGTGAAGCTCAGCCAATAGCTTAAGATTGTCCCACTAGCTCTTAAAACTTAAATTATCCCATATCTATTCATTTACATGCTGCCATATGGCTAATGGCTTGTTGTCTCGTCTCCTACATGTCATGCTTCCTCTGGTCTCCTTGTGACTCTGCCTTTCTTCCCAGCATTCTCTCTGTCTTGAAACCCTGCCTAGTTATTGGTCATTTGGTTTTTCATTAAACCAGAGTGACACATATTCACAGTGGACAAAAAGGATTAGTCTGTGGCTTTTGTGGGGAGCATTATCAGCCCATGTAGCATACTCGAACTTTATTTTTCTGTATGTGGGTCTTTTGCCTGCATATATATATATATATATATATATATATATATATATATATATATATATGCCTGTGCATTGTGTGTGTGTGTGTCTGTGTGTGTGTGTGTGTGTGTGTGTGTGTGTGTGTGTGTGTGTGTATGTGATGCTGTGGAGGCCAGAGGAGGGTGTCAGATCCCCTGGGACTGGAGTTAACAGATGCTTGTGAGCTTCTATGTGGATTCTGGGAATTGAACCTGGGTCCTCCAAAAGAGCAGCCATGTCTCCCACTCCCAAGGGACTCAGTCTTGTGCAGGCACCCAGAACTGCAATGAGTTCATGTGAGTTAACAACTTCACATGCTTTGAGAGAAGTCCTTCTCTACTGCAACACCATTCCTTCTTGGACTTAATATCCTCTGGTTTCCTTGCCTAATCACATTTCATCTAGTGGTTTTATGTCTTGCTTCCATGGTGGGCCCTGCATGTTTAAATGAAAACCATCAGACTCACACAGCTTCCTGAAGTGGTAGATATAATGTAAATACCAAGCCATGAATGCATATCTATCACATGTATGCACAGCTGCCACATGTTTATAAATGTTTGACTTTCCCACTAGATTTTATTTACAATTATCTAAAAGTTCTTCTCTCTTTATGGCTAATTGACTTAATTATAATAAGGAGAACATAATGTGATATGAAAATGTAGATGCCTTCTTGGGAGGTTTTATCTTCTGTATTAAACAATATTGAAGCACAACCTTTTATTTTCCTTCCTTCTTTTCTCCCTCCTTCCCTCCCTCCTTCCACAGAATCTCAATCCACAGCCCAGGTTGTCCTGGAATTCACTATATACCACATGCTAGACTTGAACTCATGATTATCTTTCTGCCTTAACGACACTTGGCTATGTATTTACTTATTTTGAGACAAGGTCTTGCTGTTAGCCCAGGCTGGCCTGGGCCTCTGCTCTTCTGCCCTGGCTCCTGAGTCCTGGGATTAAAGGCACATGCCACCACTCCCAGCTGAAATGTCATATGTTATTGATAATGGTGACAGTCATGCAGGAATTCATTCTGGCTTGCTTTTACTCGACATTTTCATGGATAGAATGTTTTACAATGATGGACTCGTTCAATTTTTAACACAGCACTACGAGGTAGGTGCTATTGGGGAAACTAAGGCACAGAGAAATGATGTGATTTGCCCAAGATGCACTATTTAGTGGATTTCTGATTCAAACAACCTACATCCCAGAGTTCTATGGTCAAGGTTGATGGTCAAGTTCAGAAAGATGGGATGTTACCTGTTCCACTCTGAGCCTCACCATCAATGTGATCACTACACTGTTCCTCCAGTTAAAAAAGCCCAACTCAGGCTTGATAATTTTCTTGGATGCATTTGGAAATAGGTTCAAGTTCAGGAGAAAGAGGTTATTTTAGGTTCCTTCCAGGGGAATATAAAATATGCTCAGCTTAAGCTGACCTTACTAGGCAGATATGTTCAAAGACATTGGACTATTTCTAGATGCTGTAAATGTTTATCAGGTCATCTAACTCTTGTATAAAAAGTACAAGCACACTCACAGAGAAATGTTTATGTTCCACTAAATGAATTCAATGTGTGAAGCTGGAGTTCTGCCCCCAACTCCCATATGCTCCCCACCCACAAACCACATCTGCACAGATGTCAACAGCAAGTCTGAGGTGTACACTCCAGTGTTCACAGGATGCCCCCAAGTCAGACTAGTGGGATACTTTTCTGACATAATTGAAGCAGCGTGGCAAGGTTAGTATTATTATCATCATTATTTTACATGCATGAATATGTCATATATGTGTAGGTGGGTGTACTCACATATATAGTCATGTGTAGAGGCTAGAGATTGATTGATGTCAGGATGTTCCTCAGCCATGTTTCCACATTATTTCACTTATTGTTTACTGTTTATTTATGTGTGTGTGTGTGTGTGTGTGTGTGTACATACATGCGCTATGGTATAACTGCAGAGTCAGAGGACAACTTGCAAGTGCTGCTTTTCTTCTTCTGGAATGTGGTTTCAGTTGATCGCGCTCAGGTTGTTAGGCTTGGGAGAAAGTAGCTTCACCCACTGAACTGCCTTGCTGGCCCTTCACCTTTTTTTTTTTTTTTGAGACAAGGTCTCTCATTGAAGCCAGCACTTGCCATTTTGGCTAGACTGGCTTGGGCAATGAGCCCCCAGCATTATTCTGTCTTCCTCCCTTGTTGGGGTTGAGGTTATATGTTACATGCTCATACCCAACTGCGTGAGAACTTGTTTTCCATTTTTTTCAACATTACTGAAATATAACTTATATACAGTGTGATACACTCTTTAAATGAAGACTTAATTTTTAACCACAAGGTTTCTTTCTTTTCTTTTTTCTCTCTAGGATCACGTCTCTAGCATGGGGACTTGGAAGACATTTTGGTTGATTATCTCCCTTGCAACTAGTCTGGGCTTCATTAAATCACAAAAGACTGGTAATATATGGAATTCTTAAACTCCAAATGTTCACTTTCTGGGGACCTGGTAGTGGTGACAATCTTAAAAGGGAATATGATGGGAGCATCATAATTAATAAAACAGAATAGATTCCTTGAAGGAGAATTTCCTTGAAATCTAGAAGCACTTGGTGAGGGATAGGTACTTGATTTTTTTAAAAAATATTTAACCCCAAATGGTAAGACAAAAAGAATTGTCCTGCTTCTGAGTGGGTTACCAGGGCTTTGCAGGAGCTGTGTGGTCTGCTTTGTCTCCATGGCAGAGCTGTTCTGAGGGTAGGTGTCCTCATGAGATGGGTACTTTTGTCTAATGGTAGTGACGCCCCTGCATTTTTTTGTAGTCTCTATATGTAGGGAGTGTATGTGCGTATGGGTATGTCCACATGGCAGACATATAGGTGTGTTCACGTGTGCTTTTGCACCCGTGTGTGCATGTGGATGTTAAAGGAGTGACTTTTTCAATCACTCCACCTTATTTTTGGAGGTAGGGTCTGTCACTGACCCCAGTGCTTAATTTGGGTGGCCTGGCTGGCCAGTGAGCTCCCCAGTGCTGGGATTACAGGTGTGTGCTTCTGTACTAGCTTCTACATGGGTGCTGAGGATCCAAACTCAGGTCCTCACGGTTGCATGCATTTGCTGAGTCATCTCCCTGGCCCATTTGGCAGTTATTTTAATAGATTGTATGTACTTTTCAAGATGAAATTGTTGTCAAGGGAATTTTTTTTTGAGTGGCCTGAAGCCCCACTGAGGCACCATTGAAGGAAACCCTGTTGAGTTTCAAATGCACAGATGTCATTTGTTGGTGGACAGCCCTAAAGCTCTATTTTCCCTTTGGCTCTGTCTCCCTTTCCTGTGAACGAGCAGTGACAGCAAGTCTTGTCATGTTTCAAGTACTTTCTAAAACTACAAAGAACCAGGGGACAAGAGGATGGAAGCATGAGGTACCTCTGTGGTATCGCGGTCTCTGGGGGTAGAGCCAATGCTTGCTGTAAAAAGCATAGGCCCTGGCTGGGGATGGTTCCTTCAGGTGGGAGGCCAGGGAAAATGTCGTGGCTGTGTTTGCTCCTGTGAGAGGTATGTGTATGTCTTTGTCAGTGTTTTCTAAAGGAGATAGAATGATAGAATGGACATGTACGCGCGTGCGCGCGCGCACACACACACACACACACACACACACACACACACACACTCATTAAAAGGGCGATGTGGGAGAGTGGCTTACTGGCTGTGGTCCCAGCAACTCAACAATGCTGTCTTCTGATGGGAAGGCCAAGAATATGGTAGTTGTTCAGTTCACAAGACTGGATGTTTCAGCAGTCCCAATCTGGTGCTGGAGACCTGGAGATTCCTGGAGAGCTCCTGGTCTTTGATCTATGTTGGAATTCTGAAGAAGATTCTAAATACCAGGGAGAATGACTCAGCAACAGAACAGCTGAACATACTAGTAAGAGTGAGGGCAAGCAGGCAAAAAGCCAAGCCTCCTTTTTCCAAATCCTTTCATGTAGGCTGCCATAAGAAGGCATGGCCCAGATGTGGGTCTTCCCATGTCAAATGATCCAATCAAGAAAGTCCCTTCACAGGCATGCCCAGATTCTTGGTTTTAGTTGATTCCAAATGTGGTTGGGTTGACAACCAAGACTAGCCATCACAAAGGCAGAAACCAATTAGCCATTTCTGAACTAGTCACTGAATTTTCTCTTCCCAATGGAAGAGCCCAAGAGCAACAGATTCTGTGTTACCTGTATGTCTTTCCTAGAGTTAGTCTCTACTTGGCGTTATGACCAAGGTCAGGCACATTTCTGTAAGGCAGGTTCTAGGATTCCAGAAGAAACACATGGATTTCACGTCCCTGGAGTTTGCCACGTTTCCCCAGCCCTTCTCTGTATTGGGTTTTTCCTTTGTACAGCATGGGCTCATAGTTTAACTTTTATGGGTTGGATGTTGGAAGAGCTGGGCCCTGTCTAGCTCTTTGAAGGAATGTCTGTGGGGTGCGATACTGATCCATTTTATGGCAACTTGACACAGGCTATAGTCATTTTGGAAGAGAGCATCTCAGTTGAGAAAACGTCCCTACCAGACTGGCCTACGGGCAAGCCTGTGAGGCATTTTCTTGATTGATGGCTGATGTGGGTGGGGCCGTTCCACAGTGGTGGTGTCACCCTTGGGTGAATGAGGTATCTTATTTTATACATGTGTTGTCCAACACAGTGGCTAGTAGCTGCCTGTGACTATTTGAGTAGTCTGTTTTCAGGCTACTGTGACTGACTATTTGAGTATGAATATGCAGTAAGATACAGAGTTCTGTTTCTTCTTCACACTAGCTGCCTTTCAAGAGCTCGATGGCCACGAATGACTAGTGGCTACACTCCACTGGTGACAACGATTTCTAGCTCTAAAGTTTCAATTTCTTCGTCATTGTTCAAGAGCCATCCAGCAAGATGGCCTAGAGGGTGAGGCTTTTTGCTACCCTGTGGGGCAACCCTGATGGCCAGAGTTTGATTCTCTGAGCCTGTGTGAAGGCGGACAGTGAACTGACTGTATGAGTTTGTCCTTTGACCTCCACACGCATGCTGTGACACACACCACACCACATAGTGACGACAACAGCAATAATAGCTCCTTTCTTGTAAATGCTACCTTTTCTCTCCCTCTTCCTTTCTTCCTGTCACAGACATAAATGTGAGCAACTAACTGGAGCCATTGTGGCAGCTAGGGAGATGTGTGTGTCAGCCAGTAAAGGAAGTCTGAGTGTTTCCAATACTAGCAGAAAGTGGGTCTTCTTAGTAAGTACGCAGGAGGTATGGAGAACCTGGGTGAGGGACCTAACTGAAGGGTCCGATGGGAAGGTGGCAGATGAGCAAGCATGGCTGGTAAGCATTGGGGGGGGGGCAAAGGAAAGAATTGTGTCTGTGCCAGCAGCCTGAGTGAGACTTGGTTCTCGGCTAGTACCTGTCCATTGGTACTTTCGTAATGCAAGGTTATTCTCTTTCAAAGTCTGCAGGGAGGCCTCAGTGGGGGATGTCGTGTTTCTGGTGCACACCAGCATCAACCCCCAGCATGCCCGCAGCGTGCGGAACTTCTTGTATGCCTTGGCAAACAGCTTCCATGTCGGCAGAGAGACCATCCATGTGAGTCTGGCCCAGTACAGCGATACACCGGCTTCTGAATTCCTGCTTTCTACCTACCACCGCAAAGGTGACGCGTTGAGACACATCCAGCGGCTTCAGTTTAAGCCTGGAGGCAACAAGATGGGCCGCGCTCTGCAGTTCATTCTTGAGCACCATTTCCAGGAAGGAGCTGGGAGCCGGGCAAGCCAAGGGGTGCCTCAGATGGCGCTGGTACTGAGCAGTGGCCCAGCTGAGGACAACATCCGTGAACCTGCTGAAGCTCTCAGGGGAGCAGGAATCTTGCTATATGCTGTTGGTGTCAGAGAGGCAGCTCAGGTTGAGCTCAGGGAGATCGCGAGTAGTCCCAAGGATAAATTCACCTATTTTGTTCCCAACTTCGCTGGCCTGCCTGGCCTCGCCCAGAAGCTGAGGCAAGAGCTCTGCAGTACCCTATTTGAGGCTCAACCCACTGAGCACGAGTCTCCAGGTACCCTCCCTCCCTCCCTCCCTCCCTTCCTTGCTTTCTTTCTCACCAAGATACCAAAGAACCCCAAACTTTGTGTCTCTTGTGCCCCTTTACTGACCTCTTATTTATATGTGGGCATATTTAACTCAGAGATTAGAATTTCACCAGACAAGGCTCATCTGTGTTTCTCCAGCCACTGACTACATCTGACTCATCCTGTGGGCCTTGTTGTGGTGTACACGGAAGGAGCGTCAGTCCACTTTTGAATGAAGGATTATTGTTCCTAGACCGATATTTATTATTCTGGGTTTAACTGCCCACCTTGCTTGGCCAAGGGGCCGCAGGGGGTGAGGAGACCAGGGTGTCCCCAGGATGTTTGCTTCTTTCCTTGTCAGCCTGTTGGTTAAGAGGACACATTTAGAGAAAAGAATAACCTGGCCTTAGATCCTAGTTTTTTTTTTACTGGTGTCATCAAGCCATTTAACCTCTCTGAATCTGAATTTTCTTCCTAGGACGTTAGTACCTGTCTCAGAGAGTTGGAAGCATTAGGTGACATTGTATGGTTGAAAAGCCTGCCTCCGTGGCTACAAAACCAGGGGTACCCGTGCGTGTTTCCTACTGCTTTGTCTGTTGGCACCTGTGAGAAGACGTACCTGTCTTCAACTGATGAAAATTCTTCATGTTAGTTACGGGGCTCTATTAGAAAGCATCCACCTTTGCTTTAAAAAAATCCTCTCAAAGCACTCATTTTAGATTTGTTGATACCTGAGTTTCTTTCTTTCTATTTTTTTTTTAAATTTACATTTGAAACAAGCTTGTTTTACATGTCAATCCCAGTTCCCTGTCCCTCCTGTCCTCCCCATCTCCCCCCAAACCCCTATCTGATCCCCTGTCTGTTCCCCAGGGAGTATGAGCCCCTCTATGGGGATCTTCAAAGTCTGTCATATTATTTAGAGCAGGGCCTAGTCCCTCTCCCATGTGTCTAGGCTGAGTATCCTTCTATGTGGAATGGGCTCCCAAAGTTCATTCGTATCCTAGAGATAAATACTGATCCACTACCAAAGGCCTATAGACTGCCAGTCCTCTTAACTGACACCCACGTTCAGGACGTCTAGGTCAGTCCTATGCTGGTTTCCCAGCTATCAGACTGGGGTCCATGAGCTCCTCCTTGCTGGATTGAATTTCTTAAAGCATAAAACTTCAAGTAGAAAAAGAGAAGATTGTGTATGGTTCCCATCAAAATCCACAAGAGGACAGACCTTCATTATTTTGATATTTTCCTATGGGTATATGAATCAGGAGAAACACTAAAAGTTGGCCCCTCAGTGTAGCAGTGTGTGGCATTCCTATGGACAAACAGATATTATATACTTTTAAAATAGCACTTCAAGGTTTGCAAAGGTATCTGCTGTGTGTAGTCATAACTACCACCTGCTTGTTCTAGAACAGTGGTTCCCAACCTTCCTAATGCTGCCACTCTTTAATAGACTTAGTCTTCATGTTGTGGTGACCCCCAGCCATAAATTTATTTTTGTTGCTACTTCATAACTGTAATTTTGCTACTGCTATGAATTGTAACGTAAATATCCATGTTTTCCCATGGCCTTAGGAGACCCCTATGAAAGGGTCATTTGACCTGCAAAGGGGTCATGACCCACAGCTTGGGAACTGCTGCTCTACAGTTTTCAAACCTTGTTTACATTACTCATCAGGTTGATCTACTATCTCAAGTTTGTAAATAAGCAGGGCAATTAGTATCATAATTTTTGCATTTTTCAGATAAGGAAACTGAGGCCAAAGGTACCACAAGTATGTGGTAGAGTTAAAGATTTGGTTCCCAGGACTGTTAGACCCATTGGTTACAGCGCATATGTTAGACTTCAGGGGGACAGTCAATAAGGCTATGCTGGACAGAGAGCAGAGGAAGTAAGGACTATCCCAAAAATTTCCACAAAGGCTAGTGTTGTCCTGACCCTTTGTGGGAACCCAAGAGCAGATGTTATGTCTCAGGGTTGTCTTGACATTGAAACTCTGTCCAGCAAGAGACTGGTTTTTGTAAAATGGAGAAAAAGGCAGTAGGTGGAGGGAAGTCTTCTAAAGAGCAATGCTTAGAAATGGTCAGAAGGAACCAGCAGGATCTGGGCAGAGTAGCGATGCCCGTTATAGCAGATGATCCTCAAAACAGCATGAGCATAGGGACTGGTGTAAAGATTATGGTGGACAGAGAAGGAAAGTCTCAAAGAGGCGAGTGACAAACAGATCACAAGGCTGCTGACTGGTAGAACAGCAGTGAAGAAGATGTGGCAGATTCCACCTCTCTGATGCATTAGTGCCAGCACATGGCTGGAGAGGAGGTTTTCATCAGAAGAGGAGAGAGGTGGTCTATTGACTGGAGAGAAGGCCATCCCTCTTGCAGTATGCTGTTAACATTTCAAAAGCGTTAGTTTCCTGATGTGAGCCTAGGCATTGTCCAGTGGGTTTCAGGGCTGGAGATGGAAGTATCGGTTGAGCAGGCTTGAAGCCTTGGAAGACGAGGGGGTGGAGGGAAGGGACATGGGTCTCCAAGCACACTGTCATTGCCCTTTCTTTCTGGTCACCGTTCTGCATTGCCAACTCTTAAGTGTTTGGAAGAAAACCTCTGAGACTCCATTTCTTGCCTTTTTTCTTACAGTTTGCACAGAAGCATCCCTGGCTGACATTGTGTTCTTAGTGGACAGTTCAACCAGCATTGGACCCCAGAACTTCCAGAAAGTAAAGAATTTCCTTCACTCTGTCGTCTCGGGGCTTGACATCGGCAGTGATCGGGTCCAAGTGGGACTAGTCCAGTATAGTGACAGCATCTACCCGGCCTTTCAGCTGAAACAGTCCTCTCTGAAGAGCACGGTCCTGAAACGGATTCGTAACCTGTCATATAGCACAGGAGGCACAAATACAGGAAGTGCCCTAGAGTTCATCAGGGCCAACTACTTGATTGAGACGAATGGCAGCCGGGCCAAGGATGGGGTTCCTCAGATAGTTATCCTGGTGACAGATGGGGAGTCAAATGATGAGGTCCAGGATGCAGCTGACCAGCTGAAGAGAGATGGAGTCATTGTGTATGTGGTAGGGATCAATGTTCAAGATGTCCAAGAGTTGCAAAAGATAGCCAGTGAACCATTCGAGAAGTTCCTCTTCAACACGGAAAACTTCAGCATCTTGCAGGAGTTCTCAGGGAGCCTCCTTCAGGCTCTGTGTTCAACAGTGGAGAGACAGATGAAAAGTAAGCTGTGTTCAGTTTTCCACTCCAAATCTACCACTGAACTGCAATGTAGTGATGCCCTTCCAAGGGGAAGGAAGGCCTACCATCATGGGAGCATCTGGGGATGCTTCCCAGAGGAGAGGAAGTTTGAGCTGGGCTTGAAGGAGGAATAGAGTGTTCATGGGTAGGAAAGAGGGGAGAGGGTAAAGCTGTCGTGTTGCTTAGAGGGAACAACATGGGGTTTGGAGTCCTGAAGCCATGCTTTTTAAATCTTGCATCTGCCACAGTTTAGTTACTGTCAGGTCCAAAGGAAACTCCAATTCCCAAACTCTTAAAGGCAGTCCCAATACCCAGAATGAGTTTAACCTGGATTACAGGAGGATTTCTGGCAGTTAGATGAAAGCCAGCCTTCTCCAGGAACTTGTGAAACCTATTTCCTCCTGCCAAAAGAAGTCTTATCTCCAACAGGAGGGGCAGATGGCTAACTGTGGTGCCCATTACCATATCAAAGCACACATTGGCCTCTACATTCCCTCAGCAGCACAAGTACCTGTTATACTTTTCGAAGTCCATGCTAGCATCCGAGCCTTCCCATCTCCTCTCCTACCTAAAGTCCCCCCAGCTCACAAGTTCCCCTCCCTACAGCTACTCATGCCCTTGTCACACAGCTGTTCTCACTATCCCCTTCTCTGGCCACTCTGACTGTGCTCTCATACGCTCACTCTCTACCGTCTCTACTATTCTCTCCCGCTCTCCTGCTTCCCTAGCCCTGGTCATGTCCAGTCTGCTGGCCATGTTCAGTCTACTTCTTTCTCTGTCGGCTCTTCTAGATGCCTCTGGATATTTGATCTCTCTGAAGTACGAACAAATAAACAAATGAAAAAAACCTTCCCTGAACCACACCATGCAGTGGTCACATGGGCAGTTATATGATCACTACAGCAGCATCATTTCTCTTCAGGGCCTTGACCTGCACAATGGGGACAATACCTTGTAGAGCAGTGGTTTATGAGGATCAGATGGATAAAGTATATAGAGAGCTGTGGCTCACAGAGGCCATGCAGTAGTGGTTGGTTTCTTGCCTTCTCCATTGGCGGAAGAAGACTATGAAGCAGACAGTAAAGAGGCCAGAGAGGAGGAGGGAGAGGCAGAGGGAGGGAGATAGGACAGAGAGAGACAGAAAGAAAGAGAGCCAGCCAGCCAGCCAGCCAGCCAGCCGGCCAAACAGACGAGAAAATGTCTGTGTTAGAGTCCTAGGCAGTGAAAGGGAAAGTCCTAGGTATACAATACTATGTCAATATACTACCTGTCCCTGCTATTGCCCACACAAACCATCCTTGTATTCCATAAGAACTTGATTTATCCCCCCCCCCCCCCACTTCCTTCTTTTGCTTCCAGAGTCTACCAAGACCTATGCAGATGTGGTCTTTCTCATTGACACCTCACAGGAAACATCACAGGCCAGTTTCCAGTGGATGCAGAACTTCATCTCTAGAATTATTGGCACCCTGGAGGTTGGCAAAGACAAGTACCAGATTGGGCTGGCTCAGTACGGTGATCAAGGTCACACTGAGTTTTTGTTTAATACCTACAAGACCCGGAATGAGATGATCACACACATCCATGAGCACTTGGTACTCCGAGGTGGCTCCAGGAGGATGGGCCGAGCCCTTCGGTTTCTTCACCAGACTTTCTTCCAGGAGGCAGCAGGAAGCCGGTTCTTACAGGGTGTTCCCCAGTATGCGGTGGTCATTACCTCGGGCAAATCTGAGGATGAGGTCCAAGATGCTGCACAGACCCTGAGGAAGAGAGGCATGGATGTCATCTCTGTGGGGGTCCAGGACTCTGACAGAATGGAACTGGAGGGGGCAGGGTCTCTGGTGTTTGTGTCTGACCTGCAGGGAGAAGATGGAGTCAGACAGCTAATGCAGGATGTGAATGGGGTGATCCAGGGGACTCAACAGCCTGAGGTCAGGATTGAGGTTGCAAAGGATGCTATAGGAGGTAAGCAAGCCTTGATCCTTGGCTACATGAGTCACCAGGAAGTCACAGTATATGAAGAAAATCTGGGGCCTTGGGGGTGTAGTTCAATCGGTGAGGTGCTTGCCTAGCAAGCATGATGGTTTGGGTTTGATTCCCAGCATCGCATAAACTGGTGCAAAAGGACATGCCTGCTCCTTTAGCACTCTAGGTACAGACGTAGAAGGATCGGAAGTTTAAAGTCATGCTTGTTAGTCACAGATTGAGACACATTTTAAAGGAGGAGGAGAGGAAAAAAGTATTGGGAAAGACTTCCCGAGGGCACTCCCCAGTTAGGTCACTTGTCCTTGTAGATAGGGGACATGGAGGTGCTTTACTTGTCTGTCACCTTGCAGTATCTTCGGTTGCCACTAACACTGCGGAGCAAACCATCTGCAGTTAGTGCTTGCAATAATACTTTATCCTCACAGGTCTGGGTCAGCCGACCATGGGTAATTACCACAGCATAGATTTGCTACCCTTACCTGGGCTTGTTCACAGATCTTAACTAAGTAAGGATGGCTCTGCTTCTGAGGTCAATCCAGCTACTCTGAGCAAATTCTCCCTGTGGTAATTGCAGAGACCCAAGAGAAAAATATAATTGTACTAATGCTTTTCAGAGCCCTACAGCACCTGCTGCTGTACTATTGGTCAAAGAAAGTCACATGACAGCATCTGTGGAGGAAGGAAGCATATTGTTTGCATGGAGTTAAGAGGAGCAGGGAGGGACTATTTCTAAATATTAACCTAAGCTACCACATACCTTTTCTAGGCTGGCCATTAGCCCCTTTTAAAATTTTGTGTGTATGGGTGTTTTGCCTGCATGTATGTCTGTGTACCACATGTGTACCTGGAGCCCATGGAGGTCGACAGAGGAAATTATATCCCCTAGGACTGGGGTTACAGATGGCCATAGACCACTTGTGGGTGCTGGGAATCAAACTCAGATTCTCTGGAAGAGCAGCCAGCACACTAAACTGATGAACCATCTCTTCACCCTTTGTTTATTATTTTTATGTGTATGTGTGTGTGCCTGTGCGAGTTTGTGTGCGCTACATACATGAAGGAGTTCCCAGAGGCCAGAAGAGAGTATCAGATCCCTGGATTTGAAGTCACCAGTGGTTGTGAGCTGTCATGAAGGTTCCTGGAACTGATCCCACATCCTTTGATGAAGGAAAAAGCCAGCCAATAGTCAGAGCTTCTAAGATCATTACGCAAACTGGAAGGTGATCTTGAATGACTTTATAATGGGTGTCTGTAAGCTGAAAGAGAAATGAATACTCGTGTGTGTGTGTGTGTGTGTGTGTGTGTGTGTGTGTGTGTGTGTGAATTTTGGGATAGGCATAACCGTCTTGATACTTGTTGATTATCATGCTAAAAAAAGAAAAGACTTTCTCTAAATTATAAAGCATGCAAGTAGAAGTTAGCATATTGTAACTTAAAACCTTAAACACATTATTGTGACAGGTAGAGCATGTCACAATGATGTCTTTATATATCAGTGTTTTCTTTATCTCTCTGTTCTCCTGTTGAAACCCTTATGTTTTTTTGGTTTCTAGCATGTCCAACTGCCATTCCAGCTGACTTGGTATTCCTTGTTGAGGAATTTAGCAGGGTCAGGCAATCCAATTTCCAACAAGTTGTCCATTTCCTGAAGACCACTGTCGAATCTCTTGACATCCATCCTCATGCTGTGAGAATCAGCTTGGTCTTTTACAGTGAGGAACCACGGCTGGAGTTTTCCTTGGACACATTTGAAAACGCTGCCCAAGTCTTACACCGTTTGGACAAGTTGATCTTCCAGGGAAAAAGAGGAAGGACGAAGGCGGGTGCTGCTTTGGATTTCCTGAGGAATGAAGTTTTCATTCCAGAGAAGGGCAGCCGGTCTGAGCAAGGCGTGCAGAAGATAGCTGTGGTCATCATGGAAAGCCCCTCTCTAGACAAGGTGTCTACATCTGCTTCTCACCTCCGCAGGGCTGGGGTCACCATCTATGCCGTGGGCATCCAGTCTGCCTCCGAGAGTAAGGACCTGGAGAAGATTTCCACATACCCTCCCTGGAAGCATGCCATCCACCTAGAGTCTTTTCTGCAACTCGCTGTTGTGGGAAACAAACTTAAGAACAGGCTCTGCCCTGAGACTGTGAGCAGAATCTATCCTCAGATGAGTTTTACCCTAGAAAGAGCACAAGAAGGTAGGAGGACTTGGTGCATTTGGTGTGGTGTGGTGTGTGTGTGTGTGAGAGAGAGAGGGATATATATATATATATATATATATATATATATATATAGAGAGAGAGAGAGAGAGAGAGAGAGAGAGAGAGAGAGGGAGGGAGGGAGGGAGGGAGGGAGAGGGAGAGTCCTTCCTGTCCTTTTCCCGTCATGAAAAAAACTGGGGTCAACTCATTAAAAAGCAGAAACCTCAACTTAGAAAAATCTTTGTTGCCTTGATTCTAATCAGTGCAGAGGAAGTATAGTTAAGATACCTTTTAACAAACAAACAAACAACAAACAAACAAACAAACAAAGCCGGGTTCTGGGACCATAGTTCTGTGTTGCCACACTATGCCTAATATGTAAAATTCATATCTTCTTGGCTGCTGTGAGAGCCTTTGTGTCTGCTTCCCTGTTTTTCTCATCCCTGCTAGTAATTCTCAGGTACAACCTAGAATAATAGATTTAAATTCAAATCACTGAAATATAGATAATTAACTTAGAAATCAAGCCTGTGATTATATCTCCAGGGGAAAAATCACTGGGGCTTTATAAAAATTACTAAGTGATTTTTATATTTTCTTGATTCCTGGTACTGACGTCTAGAAATATGAATTATACAATTGAGTCTCAGCCTTTCCCTTTGACCTGTGCTTTTAGTCTCTCTTTCTGTTCTGGGAATGAGAAATTTGTTAAAGATGGCTTTCATTTCCTGGTCCATTCCCTGCTTATATCTTATTGAGCAGAAGGGGAGAAAAAGAACCCGGCTAGTCACAAGTGGTCTAAAGAGTCTGAGGGCTGACTCTGTCCCAGGCTACACAGTGGCTAATAAGGGACCTGGAGTCAGGAAAATTTGTTTCAGAGACTGGAGTGTACAGGAGGCTTAGACATTAATAGAAGCTGGGATGATTTTTACCAGAATTCTGCCTGGATGATCACAATGATCAGAATATCTATCCAGTTTACACATCACACACACGGAGGCATGCATGCATGCATATGTATGTGAACCTTTTAAACATTTGGTGTGGACAATACATGTGGGTGCTCAGTAGCAGCCTGACTGTAAGGGATGTCCTCCCTGACCCTTCCCCTGAACCCTACCTCAATTTGACAAGATTGGCAAGAATGTCTGAGTCTAGGCAGTGTTCAGAGCCCTGGGCTCCTCAAGATCACATGAAGTGCCTGGGTAGTGGCTTAGCATGTTGGTCTGCTGCTGTGTGAGCTGGATGCAGACATTCCTCCATGCACAGTGGTCCTTCTCTTAGATGTCAGGCAGCCATCTGCTTATCACCTCCCATAGGAGCAGATGGTTCCTTTTGTAAACCACATGTCAATGCAAAACCACAACTTTCACCTTAAAGGCCAGATAGTCTGTTCTGGAGTCAAATATGAGTAACAGTGACACAGTGTCTTAGTTATTATTCTCTGGCTGTGAAGAGACACCATGACCAGGGCAACTTTTATAAAGGGAAGCATTTGGGTGGGGCCTTGCTTAGACGTTCAGAGGCTTAGTCCATGATCATTATGGCAAGGAACATGGTGGCAACAGGTAGGCATGGTGCTGGAGCAGTGGCTGGGAGCTTTTCTATCCCAATCAATAGTCAACTGGCAGAGAAATAGGGAGAGACAGAGACAGAGATGACAGAGAAAGACAGGCACAGAGACAGGAGCAGAGACACACGCAGAGACAGAAGAGAGACACAGACAGATAGACAGAGATATTGGGCTCAGTGTATGTCTTTGAAACCTTAAAGCCCCTTCCCAGTGACACATGGTCTCAAATAAGGCCACATCTACTCCAACAAGGCCACACAGCTTAATCCTTCCCAACAGTTACAAACTGGCAACCAAGCCTGTGTGTGTGTGGGGGGGGGTCAATTTTATTCTAACTACCACATATAGGAACATAGATACCCAAACTCCATGATCAAATATGGTAATAGTCTGATGGAAATTTTATAGTAACAGAACAAAGAAAGTCTTAATAATTTCAAATACAATGGTGGAAACATTAGGTAGATAGGTTAAAGCAAAGTATAGGCTATAGTCTTAATAATTTCAAATACAATGGTGGAAACATTAGGTAGATAGGTTAAAGCAAAGTATAGGCTATAGGCTTACATGTTATCTGATGACACCCTTAGGCTTTTGGTTACTGGAAGCTAGTGGTTCCTAAAGTTGATACATTGCAAAGGTTTTAACCTGGGGCCTGGAGAGATGGCTTGGAGATGAAGAACACTTGGATGCCAGTGGCTTGTCTGCGTGGCTAATCTTGGGGAACCCTGGGAGGGGCGTAGAGATTTGAGAGTGTAGTAGAACGTAGCAAGTAGGGGATGAGGGGTAACCTAAGATTTAGCTACAGGAAAATTCAGAACCAGATCTGCTGGGGCTTCAGGGAAGTTGTGGGGAACTCACCACCTAAGAGTTCTCTTACCCAAGGGTGAGGGAGATGGGGTATGTGTGTATGTGTCAGGTTTTCTGCTTTTGTTTTTTTTTTGTTTTTTTTTTTTTTTTTTGAGACACGGTTCCTGGCTAGCCTGGAACCCGCTATGTATAACAGGCTGGCTTTGAACTCACAGATATTTACTTGCCTCTCCTCTGCCTCTTGCATGCTGGGATTAAAGGTGAGTACCACCACAGACGGCCAACTGTTAGCCAGTAGCTACTACTAGTCTTCTTCCTGGCATTGTGGTCTGTCCAGGGCCAGGCTTATGATGCCCAGGGGATTATGGGAGCTGAGGAAGTAGGGTGGAGATTGGGATCAGTGGCTTTGGGTACACGGCTCCTCCTGACATTCTGTCCAAATGGGTGTGGCTTCTTCTCATTGGCCAGATTGCGTGCATGTGGAAAAGGCGGACATTTACTTCCTTGTCGATGGATCTGGCAGCATCAGACCAAGAGACTTCATTGAAATGAAGGTGTTCATGAAGGAGGTGATAAAGATGTTCCACATTGGGCCTGACAGAGTGCGGTTTGGAGTCGTTCAGTACTCAGACAAAATTGTAAGCCAGTTTTTCCTCAGCCAGTACGCCAGCATGGCAGATCTGAGGACAGCCATTGACGACATCCAGCAGGGAGGCGGCGGCACCACAACTGGTGAAGCCTTGAGCAAAATGGCCCTGGTCTTTGAAGACACTGCCAGAATCAGCGTTGCCCGATACCTCATAGTCATCACTGACGGGCAGTCGTCAGACCCTGTGGCGGAGGCTGCACAGGGGTTGAGGGACATTGGAGTCAACATTTATGCCATTGGAGTAAGGGATGCTAATACGACTGAACTCAAGGAAATAGCAAACAACAAGATGTTTTTCATATATGAGTTTGACTCCCTGAGAGCCATTCAGCAGGAAGTCATTCGGGACATCTGCTCCTCAGAGAGTAAGAATTAAGAAAATAATCGTGTATTAACTATACATAGCAATTGGGTTTCATTATGAGGTCTCATATATGTGTGTATTTTGACCATCTCCACCCCATTATTCTCTCCTATTTCTGTTGATCCACTTTTTCTTCCTAAACTGTCCCCTTCCACGTTCATGCTTTTTTCCCCTTTTCCTCTGTGTGTGACCCAGTGAGCTTCTTGAGAGTTGCTATGGGAACAGAGGCGAGAGGTTGCTCACAGGGACATGGACATCTCACTAGGGCTTTACCACTGCCGGAGGAAGAATTTTCTAAAATCTATTTAACGGATCTTTAATTATTTGAATGGTCTTTATTTTCTTGTGCAATTCACTGTCTGGTGAGTGGGCTTTGAGCACAGAGTGACAGTGACCTGAAATGATCCAAGCTGGTCAAATTTTATATCTTTATTCCACAGCTGTGTCTCACTTTGAGTCTAGTTTGTGCTGAGTTGCTGAAAGTTTATTGACTGCCCTTCCTCCCCCTTAAAAACGTGTAACCCACTGGCTCCAGGTTCTGACCAGATGTCCTCTTGTGCTCCTCCCCCCTCAGCCTGCAAAAGCAGGAAAGCTGACATCATCTTCTTGATTGATGGCTCAGAATCCATCGCTCCTAAGGACTTTGAAAAGATGAAGGAATTCATGGAGAGGATGGTGAACCAGTCCAATATCGCTGCTAATGAAATTCGGATTGGCCTTCTACAGTTCAGCTCCACTCCCCGGGAAGAATTCAGGCTCAACCAATATTCCTCAAAGGTGGACATGCGCAGAGCCATCTTGGATGTTGAACAAATGAATGATGGTACCCATACTGGGAAAGCCCTGAATTTCACTCTGCCGTTTTTTGATAGTTCAAGAGGAGGGAGACCCAATGTCCATCAATATTTGATTGTGATCACTGATGGGGTCTCCCAGGATAATGTAGCCCTCCCAGCCAAAGCCCTCAGGGACAGAAACATAATTATTTTTGCCATTGGGGTCGGAGAGGCTCAGAGAACCCAACTTTTGGAGATGACTAATGACCAGGACAAAGTGTACCATGAAGAAAATTTTGAGTCCCTGCAGAACCTGGAAAAGGAAATACTGTATGAAGTCTGCAGTACCCAAGGTGAGTGAGAGAGAAGTAGTTTGGTCTGCAAACTCTCAGAGGGACCCTGTTTGCTCTCTCAATAATGTAGGATGCTGATCCTGCTGGCTGGGCAGGATGGGAAGATCATCTGATGGGTCCGAGCTCTTGACACCGTGACTTAGTTTTCCCTGGGAACTCTTAGTTATTCCTGTGCTGTTACCACCCTGGCCGCCTGAGACCTACAATTCCTGACCATGCTTCCCTTGTAGCATAGACAAAGGCAGATGGGAATGTGTGTGCACGGCTTCCTGAAGGTTTGTGACTATGGACAGGGAGTGAGCAGAAAGTCACATCGGTCTCTTGTGAAGCAGACTGTCTTCTCTGTGGAGCCCTTGCACAGGAGCTTGGTGCCGTTCTGTTCTGTTTCTAACGGGTCAGAGTTGATTTTAATTCCTTTCTGTCTTACCCTGTAAGACTTACCCTCACTGCATGTGCTCAAGATTGTGAGGCTCAGAGACGGTCTAACCTCCTCCTGGCAGTCTGGACCTATTCTTTCTTTAAGACTTCCAGGGAGTGATGGAGATAGAAAAGTACCTACATGGATGACTCTGCAGTAGGTGAGAGGCTATCAAAACACCTTTATAGTCATAGTAACTACAGCAGATACACACAGGTACAGACGTACACACATGGATATACACACACAGCTACACATGCGCATGCGCACACGTGCACACACACAGATACACACGGGTGCACAGACACACATAGATATACACAGCTGCACACCCACACATAGATATACACATACATAGATACACACAGGTGCACACACACACACACACACACATAGATACACACACACACACACACTCACAGACACAGGCACACTCATATATATATATATATATATATATATATATCAACACCCTAGCTTTCAGGAATCAGTATAAGGGCTTGAGTATTCCAGGCAAAGTATTCTGTTTTATGTCCCATCTCAACCCCTAGGATAGCTAACTATTATTTTTTAAATATGTATTTTTATTTTCTGAAAATAAAAAATATGTTCTGCTTGCATGCATGTCTGTATACCACATGTGTGCAGTGCAGCCCATGGAAGCCAGAATAGGGCATCAGATTCACCCTAGGACTGTAGTTACAGATTGTTGTGATCCACCATGTGAATGTTCTTCTACAAGAGTGATCAGTGCTCCTAACCACTGAACCATCTTTCCTGTTCTGCAGATGACCCTGTCCCCTTCAGCATCACCGAGGTTTTGTGAATGCTTAGAAAATTCTCTGCCACTGAACTACATCCTCAAGGCAGCTGGTTCTGCAGTCTGTGTGGCACACTTCGTTTGTTTGTTTATGAGACAGGTTCTCTTTAGGCATCCCTGGCTGGCCCTGAACTTGCTATGTAGACTAGGATAGCCTTGATCTCCAGAGATCTGCCTGCCCCTGCCTCTGCCTCTTGAGTACTGGGATTAAAGGCATTTGCCATCTTGCCCAGCCACTATTGTGCCTTTTGATGCAGTATAACATAGCATAACAAGGTCTTAAAAACATAAATATGTTTGGATCTTCTTGGATCTTGTTAAAATGAAAAATCTAAGGTCAGTATAGGAATCCACATTTTAAAAACAAATTGACTAGTTATTCTTTGAAAATTTCACTCATGTCTATAATATCAGTCACTTTTGTACCCCATCACCTCATCATTCCCCTTCCACTCCTGATGAGCCCATTCTTCTTCCCAGCAAGTCCCCCCCCTCTCTCTTTGTGTGTGTGTACAACCCACTGAGTTTAATTAGGGTTGATGGCCTGTGCATGGATAGGGGTTGTTTACTATACATGGGCAGGAGTCTGTATATCTAACCAGCTACCAGGTACTACTAATCCTGCAAGTCTGGGAACTATGCTTTGAATAGGGGGAAGTGTAATAGAATATAGTGAGGCATAATATAATCATAGAATGGTATAGAATAATACACCATGGCACAGTATCATATAAGGATGTATAATGAAACCATAAGCTGTAATATTCCTATAAAAGATACTATGTGTACAGGAGATGATTTTGTTATTTTATCTCTGAATGTATGTGTTTTTACATACACATGATTATGTGAATTATCCATTTATTTATTTATTTATTATTTATTTTTTGAGACAGGGTCTCTCACTGTAGCTCAGGCTAGCCTGGAGCTCACTGTGTAGCCTGGCAGGTATGGGACTCATGGTAACTACTCTTAGCCTTGTGAGAGCCAAGATGACAGGTATGCATGGCACTGTAGCTTTTTAGCTACAGTCCCTTTGAGGCTGAAGGGACAAAGGAAAGAAAATCATGTTCCTTAGTTCTGCGCCTGTTAACAGCGTCCTGTGACCTGCCAGCCTCAGCAGGAGGCAGAGCAGGGGCTCTGGACATTTACAAAGCCCTTAGGGCCTCAGAATTGGAGAGAACAAGCAGTACTTAAAAAAAAAAAATCCACTCATCAGGATGTTTCCCCAGCGGAAGTACCCCCCCCCCACACCTGCCTCTTGTGATGTGGCTGTCAGGGCAGGGTGACTCCTGGGGGGCAGTCAACATTCTCACTCTGAACACTGCTGCTGTAATGTGTTAGATCGTGTCCGTTCATCTGATGCCGTTATTAGGATACTCAATTCCTAGGTGAGCAAAACAGGACTGAGAGTGGCTGCAAACAAATGGGAAACTGGGAGGCAGGGTTTGAAGCCCAACAGTTTGGTGTCAAAAGACAGACCAAGCACTGCAGGGTGATGGTGCATGCATCCCAGCCCTCGGCAGGTAGGTCTGTGAATTCTAGGCTAGCCATGGCTATCCAGCCCTCAACAGACAGGTAGGTCTGTGAATTCTAGGCTAGCCATGGCTATCCAGCCCTCGACAGACAGGTAGATCTGTGAATTCTAGGCTAGCCATGGCTATCCAGCCCTTGACAGATAGGTAGGATCTGTGAATTCTAGGCTAGCCATGGCTATACAATGAGACCTTACACCCCCCCCCCCCAAAAAAAAAAAAGTTAGGTCAGGGTCATTTCGGTTCTAGGTCAGCCTCAGCTACACAGAGGGTGCAAGGGTAGCCTGGCTACATTTGACCTGACTTAAAAACAAACAGGCTGGGAGTTGATGTTGTCAGTCAAATGCCTGCTGTGAAAACACGAGGACCCCAGGTCAGATCCAAATACAAGCATGGTGGTATGTATCTGTAATCCCTGGGCTGGGGAGACAGAAACCGGAAGATCCTTGAGGCTGGGGGGCCAGCGAGTCCAGCTGAATCAGTGAGTGCTGGCTCATGCAGATACCTTTGTCTTAAAAAATAAGGTGGCCAAAGGGCTTGAGGGAGACACCCAAGGTGAACCCCCTCACCATGTACACAAGCACATACACACACACACACACACACACACACTAACACTTACACAGACACACATGCAAAACCACCCCCCCCCCAGACAAACAACAGCAGAAGCCCACATAAACAATAACCATTATATACACACAGAGAGACTTTGTGAGCAACTGGGGCCTAAGAGGTCCTGGGCTTCATTATGGAAGACTCATCTGGGCTCCCTGTGTCCTAGCAAAGCTTTAAAGACTATTTTGGTGGGTATTAAATTAGTGTCTTTGCTTATGATACTTCAAGATGCCCATTGCTTCGCAGCTGCCCAGCCAATTTAGAAATCATTTGAAACAAGCACATGGATGCAGTTATTTCAAAGATGGAGGCTGAACTGTAACTGAGTCATGGAGGATACTTACCTAAAATAAACCAAACCAAAAACAAGAATCACAAAACAAAAAGCAAGGATCCTGGGGTGCTCCACATGTGGTAGTTCAAATTCTCCAGATATTAAAGTCCTGTGCTTTCTTTCTTTGTAGGTGGACAGTGCCCACCTTCTCTTTCCTCTCATTTTGTACCAGCTGGATTAAGGTTCTTGCTCACTCAGCTTTGCCTTTAACTTTTTGATGAAATTGGGATAGACACTTTAATAACAGCCAGGAACTAATTAATTACAGAATTCTGGAGTCACAAAGCTGAAAAAGACCTTGGAGGTTGTCTGCCAAGATTCAACCTTTTCCATTAACACGAAAGAAAATGGTTCCTTGCATTTGTCAATTACTGAATAAAGCCAGTTGAGAGGGTTCTGGGGAAATGTAAATTGGCAACACAATACTATGCCACACTGATAAAGCAAAAGTTCTCTTGTATGAAATGGGTCTAACATAGAAATAGGATTTACCTCTGTGAAACTGTTATCTTGTGAACTTGAACTTTTAAACAAAGAAATCCAGTTATTTTATATGAAAGTGGGATAAAGACACTTTCCATCGTGCTAGTTTCAGAATGTACCAGCTAGTGTGGATATGATCTTCAGGGGGCTAAAACCTCATGGCCAGCCCTGGCTCTCAGATCTTTGGCAAACATTTCTTCATACTTACTCCTTCCCAAATTTTGTCAACTAAACTTCAGTTTTAATTTCTCTGATTTGGAGTCAAGTATTGCAAAGCCTCTGTGTGTGTGTGTGTGTGTGTGTGTGTGTGTGTGTGTGTGTGTGTGTGTGTGGTCAGAGGACAACTTACAGCAGTTTGTTCTCTTTCCACTATGTGGGTCCTCTGGCTTGATAGCAAGTGCCTTTACCCACTGAGCCATCCTGCCAGCCTACAATGTGGGAAGACTTAAGAAGGAAATGTCCACATACTTAGCTTACCTTGAGTAATTTTAAGTTATGCATTGCCCCTGCTGAACTAATTAATAGTGCTATCTCTTCCATGGTTGCTCAGTTATTCATTCATCTTTATTCTAAACGAGATGTTATCTGTGAGTATCAATTTTGCATTCTCGATGGAATTTCGTAAATGGGCTTATTATACACTAATTATAGTCTGAAATACCAGTAGACCTTCAAATTCTAGATTAAGCCTCCCCAGAGGGCCTTATAATTTTTCAGGCAGAAGAAACCAAAAACAGAGGCTACCATTCAGCTCTGACCTTTTCTAATAGCCTGCCACACTCCCCCAAAAGGCTGATGTATGGGCAGTAGTTGAAGAAGAAAACTCCCAGGGTGGAAGGTGAGTTACAAGTCCTACTGAAGGAGACTCAAGACTTATTTATAGGTTTTCCTTACCTGCCACACATCCAGTGTTGTCTGTATCAGGTCATGGGTGAATAGGATAACATAGCACCCACTCTTAAGGAACCCCTGTTTAGTAGCGAAGACTAAGGAAAGCCTCAGTGGATATACAGGACATTATGTACTTGATCGGAGGAGGTGCAGGTAAAAAATGGAAAAATGCTTAGAGGAGGATAAGGCAGGCATTTGAACTGCTACTCAAAGGACTTGAATATGTCAACCAGCTACATAGGAAAGGACACTCTAGGCAGAGGGACTAGGATCAGCTATGACAAAGGCATGGCACAGCCTATTTTGTATCAGGTAGCTTTTACCATGTAACAACCTCCAAACTTAACCCACCACTATTCAGGCTTGGACTTGTGGAAGTTGCTTGGGGGAGCATCCTTTCTGGCCTGAGACACTATCTTCTGCAGCTGCAGGAGACTGATACTATTTTTCCAATTTCAAAGGATGCAGACTGGATCTATCTGTCGGAATTGACATCTCCACTTCTTCAGCCAGAGCTCAGCAGGAGCTTCGAAGGTTGCTGCCAGGGTTGATGCAACAGCTGGCTTTGCTTTCTAACATCAGCTGTGACACTCCTGGCCAGATGGATCCAAGGTTCCGCTATGTGATTCCAGGCTTCAGTGGCCAGCCTGTTTTTGACTCAGGCTTTGAGAAATACAATGATGAGATCATTGAGAAGTTTTTGGTGCATCAGGGTTCCGTGAACAACCGTATGGATGTAGACTTTCTGCAGTCCCTGGGAGAGACTGCCATCCACCTGTCTTTTGCTAAAGTGAAGGTAATACATACCTATGACACAGACTATGGAGTCTTAGGGCAGGGTAGGATAAAAAGGTTTTTGTAACTGAAGCCAGCAGAACTGACAAAAGGTGGGGTTTCATCCAATGGGCATGTCTTTATTAAGCCCTGGAAGTTCTGTGCTAAACAATACCAGGAGGGACCACAGAGTATAGCCCTGCTTCCAACAGCACACTGCTTAGGGATCCAAATCCTTTGATGGTATAATTCACTCTTTTGTTTGTTTGTGACAGGGTCTCTCTATGGAGCCCAGGTTGGTCTTGAACTCACAGAGCTCTACCTGCCTCTGCCTTCCCAGTGTTGGGATTAAGGAATAGGTCACCACACCCTACCTGCACAGTTCTCTATGAAGACACTCAGGGGATGCTGTAAGGCTCCCTAGTCTTTATGTTCACTTATAGCTATTCAGAGTTCAACTGTGATTTTTGTAATCATCACCTTGAGCTACCCAAGTTCACCCATGAAGCTCCTCCCTTCCTGATGCCCCTTGAACGGTATACTTCAGGCATAACTTACCCTTAGTTTTCCCTCCATTCACAATCCAGTGTCCCCTACCTGCCTCCTCTCCTCTTGTTAATGGCACTTTGGTATTTTTTTTTAATCAATAAAGATGGAAGAGACATTTTTAAAATTGAAGTGAATAGTTTAAATTGTTTCAACTCTTTCCCCTCAACTCCCCCCAGAGTGGAGGGGAGGGAAAGTTGAAATGAAATAGGTTTGTAATTTAGTAACAAATGGATAGGTGAAAAGGAATACACACACACACACACACACACACACACACACACACACACACACTAAATTCTCTTGTACTTTTAAGAATTGTAGGCAGAGGCAGGTGGATCTCGGAGTTCGAGGCCAGCCTGGTCTACAGAGAGAGTTCCAGGACAGCCAGGGCTATACAAAGAAACCTTGTCTCAAAAAACCAAAACAGAATGTTTAATTTTTAGAATGCACTGCATTTTCTTTCCTTGCTCCTTCTTATGTTTCCTCCCTTCTTCCTGCTCTCTCCTCCTCCTCTCCCCTGTCCCCCCAGGTCCTCCTAGTGTTTACTGACGGACTTGATGAGGACTTACAGAGGCTGAGGAGAACCTCTGAGCTCCTCCACAGCAAAGGTAAGTAAGTGTGCAGGCGTTCTGCATGGACTGGCCCCTCCCACCAAGGCCCCTCCCACGAAGGCCCCTCCCACCAAGGCAGAACTCCTTTATGCCTCAGGTGGGGATGGACTCCAGGAAGCCATCTGCCCTAGTGGGTAGAGCATGGTTCCAAGAGGCTGAGACCCAGTCTCACTGGTTTAAGTCGGGTGTGTGTGTGGGCATCTTTACCTCCTTGCATCCCCAATGTCAGAGCTGCTTGCATGGTTTTGCAGAAGCCACTGTCCTCCAGTAATGTCATCTGGTATTTTAAGTTTCCTTAAAGGCCCGGAGTCAGCTGGAAGCCGAGCCTTGCTCTTCGCTCCGTCATTCTCTCCAATCTTTCCCTCTGCACTCCTCCACCTTTAAGGGCCAGGGAGCTTCTGCAGGTGGTGTGTCTGTGAAATTAGAAGGTGCCCATTGCCCAGGAGTGGATGCAGCTGTGTGCAGGCTTCTGGCTGTGTTTCAGAGCACACTTGCTGTTCCTCTGGGTGTCCTAGTGTAGGACAATTTGTTCATCTGCATAAAGTGGCTTTGGCTGTTCTCATTTTGTGTTACATGAAGCAAACTTGGGATGAATATCCAGTCATGCTGACTTGTTCAAGCTCCCTTGAGGCAGCATAAAAAGGGGGAGGAAGGAGGGTTCGCACTCGGGAATCTGGTAGGAGCTTTTCACCTACAGACAACTGACAACTGCTAAGGCCTTTCTCCCTCCACCCCTATAAACCCACGATTTTCTGGGAATCTCACCGGAAACCCCATTTACAGAGAAAGGACACGTGCAACCCTAGAGGTTCTGGTTCTATAGGATTTATCAGATTCTAATTCCATCTCTGGCATCTCCAGAGCCATTCCAGCTATTTATCTCACATATCAGAAGTGGCAGAGGAGGAGGATGTTTCTTAGCAACCATTTGAGATGTAACTTGAGAGCCAGCAAAATGTGCATAATGCTAAAGCTTAGATAATTCATTCATACTCTCTCAGAGAAGCCTGGACCCTACTTGGGTCCATCCTGTTTCCTGACACTCTTTCTTTGGGGGAGCCCACCCCATGGTGGACACATCTTTCTTCTGAGTGCCTCTCTTTCTTTTATCCCTCACAATTAAACCCGTATTAAAATATCTTTAATAAAATCTCCAACTCTGCTTCAGGCTAGTCAATTCTTCTCTGTGTTGACAACATGAACCCTGGTTTGGCCTGGACCAGGTCCCTAACGGTTTGGAGGAAATCCCCAGGTTGCTGAGGAAGGCAGCGTGGAGCTTTGTGTCAGTCCCCTCCTGGGTGACATCTTTGCCCTTGTCCTTTGATGGTGTATTCAGTACATCCCTAGTGTGGGAGTGATTTCGCCATTGGTGTGTTGGAAAGCTGTTTTTTCTTTTCTTTTTTCAATTTTTTTCTTTTAAAGTGACAGCTTGCTTCCAGATGAACTTATTTCATTGATTACCCTGGAAGTTTAAATTGTTGCAACTTTTTTTCTTTTTCTTTTTCTGGAAGAAATTTGGGACTGTGTGATAAGAGACTGCAAAATCTGCTCGCGAATTAGTTGCCAAGAACATATATTTTTAAGACATAAATTGGGAATATGTACAAGATTGTCAACAGCTTGTTCAGTAGCAAAAAGCCAACTGTGTAAATGCTGGGGGTTTACTGATCAAAATATTAACAACAGTATTTGTTATGACAACAAACATGACAATTCCTGATTGAATTTCTTAAACACCCGTGTCCATTTGGTCTCCACATGTGAAGAGACTCCACTGTTACCTCAGACCTGCTTCATTAACTAGGATCTGCCTAAACTTACATAACCCCCAAGCCTCAGTGACAGAGGTCACTAGGTTGTATGCACTTTCTGCTTCCTGCTCACCCATCAGACTTCCTGGCACTTCTTAACTGCTGTGGCCAGGGAAACAGGGTGGGATTGAATACTCTCCTGAGGACTTGTTCCTGGGAGTGACACCTGTCACTTCTGTTCACATCTCATTGGCTGAGGAAACTATATTATCACTTTCAACTTAAAATATTGTCCCAAGATCAGGAATTGAGGCTTGCTGAAGTTTCTAACCTTCTCTAAGAAGTGAGATCCCGGTGCTGGGAAGATTGCTCAGTGGTCAGGAGCACTGTTGCTCTTACGGAGGATCTGGACTTGGTTCCCAGCACCCTCATGGTGGCCCACAACTATCTGTAACTCCAGTCCCAGGGCATCCTGGGGCTACCTCTTCTGACCTCTGAGGGTGCCTGGCATGTATTGGGTGCACAGACATATACGTAGGTAAAACGCTCATATGTAGAAAATGAAATGAATCTAAAACAAATTTAGAAGTGTAATCTTACCATGCACCCTCAAGAAGGAGACCAGAATATTCGTAAACAGTCACGTGATTGCCGTATCTCCTCCCCTCCTTTCCTTACCAGGGCCGCATGTATATTGAGCAAGTGCTCTGTCATTAAGCCACAGTGTCACATCTCTGGACATTATTTATTCATTTGTATATGTTCACGTGGGTGTGCACTGTCAGACCCCAAGAAACTAGGGACAAGTCTCAGTACCTGTGACGACTCCTAGCATTTCTCAGCCTGCCTCCTTCCCTAAATAACCTCTCCAGCGCAGGGCTGGCCCTGCCCCTCCGCTGCTGGTTCCCATACAGCGCAGCCATTTTGGCCACATGCCCTAGTCTCTGGTCCCTTGGCTCTGCTCTTGGTTCCTCTCTTGGTCTGCTTGCCCTCTCTCGCTTCCTCTCTCTCTCCCCCTCTCTCTCCTCCCGCGGCCCTGTTCAGGCTGGACCCTTCCCGAAGCCCCTGGCTGTTCGTATCTACAATAAAACCGTCCTTCTCAGCCGTACTTTGGAGTGGTCACGTCCTCACTTTCATCCACACATATGCATGTGTGTGTGTGTGTGTGTGTGTGTGTGTGTGTGTGTGTGTGTGTGTGCATGCTGTGGCACATACGTGGAGGTGAGAGGGTCACAGGCAGGGGTCAGTTTTCTCCTTCCATCATGTGGGCCTGGGGATTGAACTCAGGTTGTTAGACTTTGCAACGAGTGACTTTATTTTTATCTTACCAGTCCCTGGGCATAATTCCCAAGAATAAACTTCAAGTCAACTTCAGGGTTAGGTTTAGAGGATGTGGCAATGTAAGAAAGGCACTCTAGGGCCCGGGGAGCTGGCTCAGTGGTAAGGAGCACGGGTTACTCTTCCAGAGGGACTCAAGCTCAGGTACCCACACGATGGCTCACAACCATCTGCAACTCCAGTTCTGGGAGACCCGGCACCGTCGCTGGCCCCCTTGGGTGCTACATGTGGTGCACAGACGGATATCCATGCAAACACTCATACACATGAAATACAGATGAAATCTCAAAAATTAAAAAAAAAAAAAAAAAAAAAGGGGAGGTACCTGAGGGAGAGGCAGAATGATCATTGCTAGTTTGAGGTTAGCCTGGGCTTTCTTTAGAGCACTGGGCCAGCTAGGGCCATCTATATAGGTAGATTCTGTATGAAAGAAAGAAAGAAACCCAAACCAAACAGCCAACAACAGCAACAGCAATTAAAAAAAAAAAAAAAAAAAAAAAAAAAAAAAAAAAGGCTAGTCTCATGATATAGCTCACTTTTGGCAGCCCATGCAGCCTAAGTGGGCCTCAAACTCCTGATCTTCCTGCCTCAGCTTGCATGTTCTAGGGATGATGGTGTAAACCTCCCCTTCTGGCCTGGGAACTTGTTTTTAACAAAAATGTAGCTTAAGACAAGAAGGTCTGAGGTTGTGGCAATGGTGGGTAACCTCCTGGGGCTGAGGCAGAGACAGATGGTTCAGAAGACAGCTGAGTGACCCTGCCTCCTTGGTACCGTGAAGGACTCTCCGGACTCCTGCTCATTGGCCTGGAAGGTGTGCAGAGGTTAGAAGAGCTGCAGGAGCTGGAGTTTGGCCGAGGGTTCGCATACCAGCAGCCTCTGAGTGTCAATCTGCAGTCCCTTCCAAGTGTCTTACTGAAGCAACTCGTGAGTCTTCTTCCAAAGTGTCCTTAGCTTGATTCCAGTGATGACAATGGCTTTGAAAAAGTTTGTGGGGGAGGGAGGGTGTTGGGAAATTTTGCCTATCTAGTGTGTAGAATGACCCAGGCTGATAGGAAAGAAAAAAACCTTTTGTGATACAGGTTCTGTGTTTCAGGACACAATTGTGGTGAGAACATGCTGTCACGTGTATGCCAAGTGCTATGGAGAAGAAGGGCTCAGAGGTGACCCCGGGAGTCCTGGGAGGGAGGTAAGAGGTGATCCCGGGAGTCTTGGGAGGGAGGTAAGAATTTCTGGTAGAGGAGAGAGGTGACACTCAGTACCTAATGCATACCAAGGCTGACATCCTCACAGTCTTCTTTAATTTTACAGTCAAAACAAACCTTTGAGGACCTCATTATTTTACACATATATGATCTTGAAGTTCGGAGAGTGGACAACACTCTTCCCAAACTGTACAGTATGAAAAGGAATTTGAGAGTTGAACTCCTGTGTTTACTTAACATCTATTCTTTCTATCACACAATGCTGCCTTTTTATGTTGATTTGAAATTATTTTTTGTTTCTGTCATATTTACTTGTGTGGCCATGTGCAGGCTACCATGTTCATGTGGAGGTCAGAGGCAATCTTTGAGAGTTGTTTTTTTTTTTTTTCTCTCTCTCTCTCTTTCTAGGATGTGGGTCCCATGGATCAAATTTGGGTTGTACATTTTTGTTTGTTTTGGTTTTGTTTCTGAGAAAGAGTCTGGTCTGGAGCTTGCTCTGTACACCAGGCTGGCCTTGAACTCATATAGGTTTGCTTGACTCTTCCTCCAAAGTGCTGGGCTTAAGGGTGTGTGCACCATGCCCAGCCCAGGTCATCAGTCTTGATGGCAAGTATTTTTATTGGCTGGGCCATCTTCCCAGACAGGCGGTTTTACAGTTTTCATTTGTATGTGTGGGTGTATGTGGAGGCCATGAACGAACATCTGGAATCTCTCTCCCAGGCTGCAGCTGTCCACTTTAATTATTGAGACTGTCTTTTTCTGAACCTGGAACTTACCAATTTGTCTAGGCCAGTCAACCGGCCAGCAAACTGCAGAGTCCTCCTATCTGTACCTTCCCAGTGCAGGGATTACAGGATGCAGTGACCCATCAGCTGTGTGGGTGCTGAGGCTCAAGGTCAGGACCTCATGCTTGTGGGGCCATCTCTAAGCTCCCCCCAACTCATGTATAATTGACAAATGCAGTTATAGACCCTCTCTTATGTTCTTCAATATTAGACTGAGGATTGAGTTTGGGAGCCCCTTACTGTGTGGTTGTGTGTGTGTGTGTCAACTAAGTGGCCATGTCTCAAATGCCAGCAATAGGAGGGTTAGAAAATGTTGACTTCCCAGTGCGGTTAGAATTGAGTAGTGCTTGGCTATATTGAATTTTACAGATAAAACATGTCTTACTGATCTTATCAGTGGATTTCAGGCTAAATAAACAAATCTACCTTTCAAATAGCAAGCCAGAATTCCTTAGGATGATACAGTTTATAAACTTGAAATTGAAAAAAAAAAAAAAAAACTAAACAGTTGAGTCAGAAATAAACCCTTTCTTGTGAGTAATCAGAGACATGAATTTTGCAGATTGTTTTAAACAAGTACAGAGACCTGTTTAGGAACAACACTTATTTTTCTTTTAAACTTTAAACTAGAAACTGGTGTCAGTTTGAGTTTTCATGATAGAATGGTTTAAAATATTTTGGAATCACAGCAATAATCTGATGAGCTGAACAAATAAGTATTCATATCCTCCCTGTAATATAGGCCGAGAATCTCCATTTCTGTGCACCTTCTCCAGTAGCTAATGGATCTTTTGATAACATATGTACCTAGTAAGACAAGGCTATGCCATAGTAGCAATTTAATTTTTTTTGCATAGATTTGAGAAATGATGAAGAATCCAGAGTCCAAGTTACTTATTTGAGTTTCTTGTTTTCTCAGGGAGAGAGGGGTTTGGACGGGCTTCCTGGCCATCCTGGTGAAGAGGGTGACTATGTGAGTACTGGATCTTTCTCCTACTCTTCCTCCCTTCCCTTCCCATCCCCTACTTGAGAACCATCAGATAAGTTAAGATGATTTGTTATGACTACTGGGCCACCCATGATTATGGCTGGTATGACGAGGTGAGTGAAAGAGAATCCAAGTCCATTCTTTATAACACTATCACCCAGCTTTCTTGGGAGGCGGTGAAGGTTCTGGAGTTATGGTGAAGTGCATAAAATCCTGGATACCTCACCCCACCCCAGGATGTGCTGCGTGAGAAGTATGTACCATTTGTTTATCAGCGAGACAAATGTATATTATAGAGAGAACTGTGAGGTAGGATAGCAGAATGGGCTGGCGACCATCTTCATCTCATCACAGAAACACCAGGCAGATTTAAGAATGGTTTTCGGGTGATTTTAAAACAGTCCTTTGTCCCTCGAGCTGCTTTAAAGTTGGTTTGCATATACCCTACTGGTTCTCAAGCTTTCTGGTCAGCTGAAGAAAGAAGGTCACTCCAAGATGAGTTTTAGGTTCTCTGTAGCACGGAGGAACAGTTTCGAGGACCTGAACCTCAAACAGCCATGCAGAAGCATATTTATTGATAGCTACACAAAAGCTACACAAAAAAAAACCTTGTTTTTTTTGGGTAAAACAAGTTCCTCATATCAAAGCCCCCAATCCAATCTATATGTTTTCTGAAGGAAGTTATCACACCCTTGAAACCTTAGTCTTTAGTGTGTACTGTTTGCAGTAACCAATAATTCCAGATGCCTCAGGTGTGCCAGGATAGTCTTATGACCAAAGTCGTGCAAAGGCTGTAAAGTTCCTTCAGAAAACCAGCTCTATAGATAAAAGAAATTCACCGTTTCCCACAATCATTTCTTCAAGTCTAAGTACTTCTAGAAGACAAATGTTCATTCTGATGTTTACCCTAGATATGACGATTCTGCTAGAGTCCCATTGCTACTCATTTGTCCTACTCTTTGTCACTCCAGCTTTATTGAGATTTAATTGACAAGTGGAACCTCATTCCCTAAGATATGTCACCATGATGGTTTTATATATGTACATGTTGTGAGGCCATCATACAGTCCAGGCTATTGGCAGGTTGGCCACATTGGTCAGCACTTTCCTGGTGTGTGGTGAGAACATTTAGGATCCATCTCCTTAGAGAATTTCAGGCAGCTAGTGTTATGCTCCTAACTGTAGCTGCCATGCTGTGCATCAGAGCCCAAAACTTACTCACTGAAAACTGAGTTTACACCTTCTTACCAATGGCTCTCTATTCCCCCACCCTCCAGTCTTTATGCTCTTAACAATTATAGAGGTTCTCAAAGACTTTTTTGATATACGTGTGTGTGTGTGTGTGTGTGTGTGTGTGTGTTGCTGGGGACTGGTCATAGGACCTTGTTTGTAGGCAAGAACTTAACCCCTCGTCTTTCTCAGCTCTGGGTTTTGTTCTTGTGATGTCTACTTTATTATAAGTTAAAGCTAAGAGAATTTTATTTACTTATTTAATAATGACAAAAGCCCACTATGTGTTAATATACATGATATGTTACTTTATGAAAAACGGGCATATATTTGACAAAACAAGAAAAGAGCAATGTTTTCCATATTTAGCTTTTAGGAGGCAGCTGGATTTGCATGCCTGCTCGGTCTCTTGCCTGCCCTGGTACTGTATCTGTGTGGCTCTTCCCTCCACCTCATACTTGGGAAAGAATGGGAGTTAAAAACAGAAAACAACATTGGGATGTTGTTACAACTAGCCTGTTGTGCACCACAGGAAGGAGAGAGATAACACTTATGGTCTCCAAAGATTTTAATAAGTCACCACATAGCAGGTCACTGATTGATCAGGGTTTCAGGACAAGGACTCAGGAGCCTTGTTTCCCCTGACAGCCCTGAGCAGGGGCAGACGTGGGGGTTATAATCACAAAAATCACAAACATGTGTTGCAGAGTTACAGTTTTCACCAATCAGGAGTCAAAGATCAGGGACTTTCCTTGAGTGCTTTATCATCGTCAACCCACATACAATGCAAGCTTTTAGTCCAACCAATCAGATTCATTTGTTCTTTCTGTTGTTAGGAACAGCCATAATTTTCTAGGGAATTAAAGATGTGTAATGACTGTTTCTATGGTTTAGGGAGGAGGTTGATCAGTCATTGAAAAGTTCTCAGCTCCCCTAGGGCTTGGGAACCTGAACTTTATTTCACCCTGCTGGTAAAATGGAGTCTGAAGTCAAAAGGGCAGAACTTAGGTCAAGGCTCTTTTGCCTGCCCCCTTCAGTGTAATTGGAAAAAAAAAATACCCCTTGTATTTACCCACATACAAGTATAGAAAGTTTCTTTGCTCCACCTGTTTTTTTTTTTTTTAAGATTTATTTATTTATATCAGTATTTTATCTGCAGGTGTGTCTATTTGCCACAAATGAGCCTGGTGCCCATAGAAGCCAGAAAAGGGTATCAAATCCCCTGGAACTGGAGTTACAGACAGTTCTGAGCTGTCACATGGGTGTTGGGAACTGAACCTGAGTCTTCTGGAAGCACAGCCAGTGCTTTTAACAACTGAAAAATCCATCTTGCTGTTATTCTGAATACTTATACTGTCTGAATGTAGAAGATAAGCAGAAATTAAAGAAACAAATGTAGCTGCCAAGACATGTTAACAGATGTACTTTGTAGTTTGGGAGACTTGATCAGTCTCCCTGTCTCTCTCCATCTCTCTCTTCAGTAAGCACAGCCTTACTAAACATGAGTATGAGTTCTTGCAGGTTCATTTAGAAATAGCAAAAATATTCCCTTTAATTTTTGATGATGTATAAAATGTCCTGTGTTATTTTTCATACATGCTGGGTGGGTCAGTGAGTGATCATGTGTGTGTCACATGGAGGTCACTTCCAGGAGTGAGTTCTCTTCTTCCATCTTGTTGAGACAGGATCTTTCTTGTTTATGTACTACATACTTCAGCCAATTGGCTTGGGAGCTTCCAGACAGTTCTATCTCTGCCTCCTGTCTTGCTACACTGGGATCATACCACATCTTCTAACTTTTAACGTGGGTGCTGGGGACTCAGATCATCAGATTTGAACATAGGTTCTCTTGCCCACTGGGTCATCTCTCCAACCTTCTATGTTTAATGCAATTTCTTACAAGAGAAGATGACTTCACTGTGTGTTGTCTTCTGAACAGCTCTTATTGTTGTTATTTTTTTTTGTCGAAAAATGGTCAGGTTTTCTTGCTTAGTGCCAGAGGTATCTCTATAGGTGGAACGCTATAAGAGGTGTGAGCATACATTTGTAAGCTCAAGTGGAATATATCTCTGGAGCAGATGACTTATTCTTCCAGATGTCCTCTGTTATACTGATCATACCTCTCCCAAGCCACCTTGCATCTCAATGGTATATGTATATGATAACAACCTGAGGTTGGGGGATGACTCAGTAGGTAAAGCCCTTGCTGTGCAATCTTGAGGACCTGGGTCTGGATCCCACAACTCACATAAAGCTGCATACAGAAGTGTGCACACCCGCTCTCCCAGATAAGAACAGGAAATCCTGTGTCATACAAGGTAGAAGGCAAATTTGTCTTCTGGCTTGCGCACCCGGCCATGGGTCAGATATGCTCCACTCACGCATGAACACACACACACACATTCACACAATTAAAATAAAAAGATTGTTATGTTCATTGGCCTTGTGAGTGAGAAAACCAAGAAGGGCTCAAAGGCCAGGTGTTCCTCCGTATTTGGGGTCTCAGCTGGGGTTCTAGAGATGGAGACTGGAGGACCCACGCTGGGGTGGTAATCTTCTCTCTTGTGACTAGCATCTCTGCTGGGATGCTGGGTGGACACAAAACTCAAAACATAGCAGGAGATTCTAATGTGTTTTTAAAAGTGGCTGGTGGGATGGCTCAGCTGGTCAAAGTGCTTGCCATGCAAGCCTGACGACCCAAGTTTAACTCTGGATCCATAGTGGAAAGAGAGAACCAACTCCTGCAGGTGTCCCCTCACTCACACACATTTGCTGTAGTACCTTGCACCTGTACACATGCAAACATACACACACATGCATGCGCATGCACATACACACATGTGCCAATACTAATAAACTGCAAAGAAAAAAAAATTAGAAAATAGCTACCGGTCTTGGTGCTATGTACTTAGAATCTCAGTCCTTGGGTGGTGAAGGCAGAAAGATCACAAGTTCAGTGCTAGCCTGGGCTACATAGCAAGACCCTGCCACAAGCAAGCAAGCAAGCAAGCAAGCAAGCAAGCAAGCAAGCAAGCAAGCAAGCAAACCCAAAGCCTAAGTAAGAGACATGTAAAGTAAGGACAATCAGGGGATAATTAGGCCATCTTAAGAGAAGCAAGGAGGTGACAAATAGGGACCTTAGGGATGCAGGAAGGGTGTCATTGACAAGAAAGTGTTAAGCCACAGTTTATTCTATATGAGACCACAGTTTGAGCAGTCTGAAGGAGATGTTAGACACATCTGAGGTTTGAATACTGAAGTTGTTTTCTCATTTGGGCCTTCAACTTGGCTAGGTGATGAATTTATAATCTGATGACCTTGTAGGTTACGTTTGGTCAGGTGTTTGAGGATGTAAAACTTTAAGAGACCATCTGCCTGTGTTCCAGTCCCTTTGCTTGGCATCACTGCTGGTTAGAATTGCTTTGGTAGGCACGGAGGCAACATGCTTAGGTATCTTCCCATGTTTTTCTCTACAGGGACAAAGAGGCCTTCGGGGTCTTCCTGGACTTCGAGGTGAGGAAGGATGTCCTGGTGTGAGAGGTCCTAAGGTGAGTGTGTCCTTGAGCTTTGAGATTCTTTGACTTTCATGATTTTTGCCTCTTGAGTTGGAGAAAAATCTTAATTCCTTACCACAGCTGTAGAATCTTGACTCCTTAGACTGAAGGTTGCCTGGAAGTAAAACGTAAAGAGTTTGCAGGGAGGTGATCCCAGGAGACCCCAGGAGGGAAGTAATGATGTAAGACACAGGGAAAGCGACCTAAACAGACAAATGTCAGTTCGATTCCACACTGGGTAGAGCAGGTCCTTGACCCAGAACTCTGGTGGTTGGTGTTGAACACTAGCCTGAGCCATGTCCACTCAGATATGAGGGAGCTGGGGATTCTACTCCAAATCCCACCAGGAAGGAGCTTGGGCTGGTCCTAAGAAGCATTAATTCCCTAGTACATTAGCTTAGCCTATACTTGGGGAGAGCAGCCTCCAGTCCCAGAAAACAAAACAAAACAAAACAAAACAAAAAACCCTCAAGACAAGAGTTGAGCATGCTTACCGTTGGAAGTTATGCTTGGAATCCCAGATTTGAACAGCTACAGGGAGATGACAGAAAGCCCTCTTTTAAATGATTGCCTTAGATGACCCTGAAGCTTCCAGAGTTGGAAGATCGTCTTCAATAAGCCCAGTGGGAATATCTAAAGTCCGAAAGAGAGCTTTCCCTGTCACACTGATTGTGTCCTCCACATGCCACCAAGGTGTTCTTTCAGTGACTCTGCCCTGTTGTTCCCAGTGTATCCTCAACTTTGTCATTGCAAATATAAGTGACGGCCACTGCTGTTTCGGGTACCCCTACTATGCAAAGCGTTAGAAGGTGCTGTTTTTCCCCAGGCATAGGCAGTAGGGGAGGGTAGTGGGGGAAGGTGGAGGAAGGGTAGTAGTCATTCTTTGATGGAGAGAGAGAGAGAGAGAGAGAGAGAGAGAGAGAGAGAGAGAGAGAGAACGCACTTCACTTTGATCAAATAGTTATATTTTCTTCAAAGTGAAATGACATGACTTTGTAAATGAATCAAGAGTTTAAAAATTTGGTCAAGCTCAATTTTTCTTCTCTCTCTGTTTCTTTCTCTAGTGTGTGGAACGACATCTAGGGTCGTGCATGAGCTAAGCCTGGTATCCCATTGCCTCTCCAACCTCTAGCGATCAGTAGTCCACATTTGGGTTAACTTTTTTTTTTTTATTTTTAAAAGCTGTAAATGTATTACTAGTGTTTTTGTGTCTAGCTCATTTCATTTAACACAATGCCTTCCAGTTCCAAATGACAGATTTTTTTTAATGGTTGAATAACATCCCATTGTGCATCTATATCACATAAGAAAACAATCCATTCCTCCACTGATGGGTACCTAGGCTGTTTTCCTAGCTGGGCTATTGTGAATATTGTGAACACAGGCATGCAAGTATGTTTTTACATGACTTCACTCTTTTGGATCTATGTACACAGATAAATTGTTTTTATTTCTTCATAACTTCAGGGAGCAAGAGGATTTTCAGGAGAGAAGGTAGGAGCGTCTTATTTCTTACCCTGGGTGGCAACACAGTACTGAGTCTATGCCCTGTTCTATGGCTTGAGTGAAATGCCAAATTCTTAGACAAGGAAGTAGACCTTCCCAATGGGTGACTGTAAGACATATTTAAGCTTAAAGATTGTAACAAATATTGTTATTTTCAAGTCTGTAATAATGAACTACCATTATCTATCACATGATATACCAAAAGAGTTGGCCCTGGTCTAAAGTGTGGTGGGGAGAGCAGGGTCAGGTGGGGGGAGGGGTGATAAACTGAAATTGTCACAGGAAACGAATAACTTTGCATCCCGATTAAGGATCAAAGTATCTGCTTGTTCACTTATTTGCTTCAGAAATACACATTGCACACCCTCTGTGTTTCCCTCATTACCACGGAGGAGCATTTACAAAATGAGACTTACAGACCAGGGCTTCTGGGGCTGATCTTACTCGGGCATTCTGGAACCTTCTGCCACTTCTTGTGGCCTGTGGCAAAGGTGTCACATGAATTCCAATTCAAGAGCTTGCTAGATGTGTTTAATGTCATATGCTAATTCAGTTTTACTTGGCTTAAACAAAGAAATCTTTTAAACTTGGTTTTCTTGGGTGGACAACCCCATTCTTTTAGAGGTGTGAAGTGAATATCATTTGGCTTTCGAAATTCTGACATGTTTTTTTTCAAAAGATGCTGTCTCTGTGTGTCTGTGTATCTCTGTGTGTGTGTGTGTGTGTGTGATGTTTTGAGACAGCATTTTACTCTATAACTCATCTTACTTCTATAGCTGAACTCCTGACCCTTCTGTCCCAGACTTCCGAGTGCCAGGATTACAGGTGTGGGCTAGCTACAAGGGCCAGTTTTAGAATGTGGCAGCCAATGGGAACATCTGATCCAGTTTGGCAAAGGACTTGCTCATCTCCAGTGCTGTTACAAGAGTCTTTCTTACCTTTTCTTACCACACCTGTGTCTCCCCCCTCTGCAGTTTTTATTTTACATGTCTTCCTCTTCCTCCTTCTCTCCTCTTACCCTACCCCTGCTCCCTCATCTCCCCCCTCCCCCCCTACTTCTGCCTGGAACCATCTGGGAAAGCAGTAGGGAAGAGCAAATTGTTACTTTTTAACAATTGGGTGTGGTGTTAACATTGTTTCAGAAGCTCGGTACTCTTGTCAGCGGAAAAAGAAGCAGGGAAATTAGCATGTAACAAACACCCTATCCTGTGGTCTCTGGTCTCTAACCTCTCCCTTCCTTCCCACAGGGCAGCCCTGGCGAGGAAGGTGCTAAGGGCTTAGATGGAGAACAGGTATGGAACTATCTTGCTTTATATTTCCTGCCATTACTCTGGGATTTATGTATGTATGTGTGCATATGTGTGTGCGCGTGTGTGCCGCTGCACACTTGTAGAGGCCAGAGGTCAGGTTGTGGGAATTGGTTCTCTCTTTTCACATTGTGGGTACTAGCAATTGAATTCTGATAGTCAGGCTTGGCAACAAGTGCCGTTTACCTGCTACACTATCTTGCTATGTCCATATTTATTTGTTGAGTCAGGGTTCTGGCTGGTCTGGAACTTGCTACCCAGACCACGCTGGCCATGAACTCAGAGATCGGCTTGCTTTTGCCTCCTGAGCACTTGTGATTAACCACGTCTTTTCACTATCCACCTTCCTGTCACTAAACTTTCCCCTCTTACTTCTGAGGGAACACATCCACATTTTAAATTAATTATGTACAACTTTGCAAGAGATTGCTTTTTAAATTTTGCAAACTTGATTTGCTCATTGTCAGACTGGATGGAAAAACAACTTTTAACTCTTAAAAATTCCTTTATAGTTTTATTACACACACACACACACACACACACACACACACACACACACACACAACTTTGATCATATACCCCATTATCTTCTCTTATTTCTCCCAACCGACTGAACCCTGCTTCTTTCCAAGTCCCCTTACTATTTTCATGTTATTTTGTTTGTGTTCCACTGCTTTTAGTTAACTTTGGCTTAACTAAACATTGTGTGTGTGTAGTTAACTAAGCATGGGTGGCTTACCGGTGGCCATAACACTAAGGACTATGACTCCCACCTCGCAGTAACCATTAGCCACACAGCTTCTCTCCATTCTATGACAGAATGTTGATGGGACCAGCCTTGTGCATGTAGTCACTGCTGTTGAGTTCGTGGTGCAACAGCCATGTTGTGTCCAGAAGACAGCTTTGTACCATCAGAGTGAAAAATAATTTTTTATGTCATAGAGTTCATGGTATACTTTAAAACAATTTTAATTCAGTATGACAAAATTATGGCATCTTTATACATACATGCTAGTATCCTTTGTTCTTATTCATCTCCTTCTCGAATCTTCCCTCCCTCCCCTTCTTGCTTCCCTTTCTCCATCACAAATAGTGCCCTCTTCTGCTCTCACATTAGTCTGGCATATGTACTCTTACACCAAGGTAGCGTTTCCTGATCAGTCATTTTAACATGCATACTCGGCAGGGCATTTCCATCTTATAGTTTGTTAAATTCCAGCAATTAGACATGGTTTTTCTTTTACAGATTTATACTTGTGTGTATGTGTGAACACATGCCCATGTGTGAAGGCGCCTGTGGAGGCCAGAAGAGGGTGTTGCATTCCTGATAGGTGGAGTTAAACTGTTGTGAGCCATCATGTGGGCCCTGGGAACTGGACCTGGGTCCTATGGAAGAGCAGCCAGTTTTGCTCTTAACCATTGAGCCTTCTCTCTAGCCCCAGACTTTATTGTTAATATTGTTTTTAAAAAGCTGACATTCTCTTAGCTTTGCTCCCATTTTTATTAACATCACAGATATCTTCTTTTTAATAGTTGATAGCTTAAAACAAAACAAAACAAGAAGTCATCTTGTTTCTTTTGCCTAAGGTACATCTTGCAGATTTTCCTTTAATGAGGGTCAGGCTCACTGAAACTCCCCTGGATTTTGTTCCTCTGAAATCTCTTTGCTTCTTGTTTTCTTTTTCCACAAAGGACCACTCACTGAGTAAACAATTCTATTCTTAAAGTTGTCCCTTCTCAGTGTTTGGACAATGCCATTCTTAGTCTCTGGCTTTTGCCTTAGATCTTTCATTATTACTATTTAGAAGCTATCTGTCAAAATAATTATTTCTTGGCAAGCAACATTTCATATATATGTATATATATGTATATACATACATACATACATACATACATACATATATCTCAGACTGCATAAAAATTTTTCCATTGCTGTTAGTTTTGACAGTTTCACTATGCTGCAGCCAGGTGTATGTTTCTTTTGATTTATCATCCTTGGAAATTGTTAAGCTTTGGGATCTATTTATTCCTTCCATAAATCTTAGAAAATCCTTAGAAAATTACACTATTGAAACGTTTAGCTTTGTGTTGTGGTCAGCTTCCCATCCTATATTGAAATATCTGAGGGAATTTACATATAAAGAGACAAGGCTAATTCTCATTCATGATTTGAAGAATCAAGCCAGGGATTGGGTAACCCCACTCTTAAGTTTCTGATGGGGGAGTCACAGAGGCAATGGTGGGGAGCACATAGTGGAGAGATCTGCTCACTTCATGACCGAGAAGGAGAAAAAGAAGAGGACAGGGCTTCCAGGGTTCCCATCAAGGGCTTAGTCTAGTGGCCTGAGGACCACTCTTTAAAGGACCCACCAGGTCCCACTCTTTAAAGGTCCAAACCACAGCATCTCCCAGCATTAGTGCACTGGGACTAAGAGTCAATAAATAGACCTTGGGGAGATATTCAAGACACAATGTATAACACCTGTTTCCTCTATTACAATAGTTCTCAACCTGTGGGTCATGGCCCCCTTTCACAGGGTTCACCTAAGGCCATCAGAAAGCACAGATATTTATATGACAATTCATAACAGTAGCAAAATTATAGCTATGAATTAGCAACGAGCATAATTTTGTGGTTGGAGGTCACCACAACATGAAGAACTGTATTAAAGGGTCGTAGCATTAGGAAGGTTGACAACCACTGCTCTATTGTGTCTAACTAGAAATGTATGAGAACTTCCCATTTTGTCCTCAACTCTCTCTCAGTCACCTTTTCGTATTTCCTTTTTCTTTGTGGGCTGCATTCTATATAACTTCTCCTCCTCTTCCTTCTCCTTTTCTTCTTCTCCCTCTCTCTCTCAGCAGAGTCTCACTATATAGTCCTGACTGGGCTGCAATTTGCTATACAGACCAGGCTGGCCCTGAATTCACAGAGATTGCCTGCTTCTGCTTCCCCGGTGCTGAGATTAGCAACTGGCACCACCACTCAAGCCTTTGGCTCCTAATTTGTTATTTTTTTACATCATTTACTTCTGTTTATTTTTCTATTTAACACATCACTTGAATTTTGATTCACTTATATTTCTCAGCTCAAGAAATTCTATGTGATCCTCCTAAAATCCTACCGATACCCTGCTTTTTCTTCATCGAGAACCCTAAGAATTTCTTTTCATTTGTCATCTTATTAATGTACCTAAGAATTGTTTTAACTGATTGGGTATTTGGAATTGTTTTTGGTGGAGGGTTACTCAGAGCCTCCGATCTATCTTATCGTTAAACGTGCTAAAGCATATTCCCACTCTCAGCTGGAGTAGAACCACACGAAGAAAGCTTCCAGAGGGACCAATAGGGTAAAGACCCCTTGCCTATTTATTCCTCCTAGGGTGACCGTGGAGCTGCAGGATCATCTGGAGAGAAGGGGACCAGAGGCAATAGGGTAAAGTATGGACATGCTCTTACTCTCTGTCATATTGCCAATGTACAGACACCAGCAGTTTAAGCTTGTCATTCTGTGACTCAAGTTATTCATGCGTCCCTGGCACTGATGGTTCATCTCCTACCAGACCCTTCAGTCTCAGTTCAGAAGTGTCCATCCCAGACAAAGTGTACTACCCAATGCTTGCCTGCCCCATGTGACTTTGCCCATGCTGGGTATCACCCCCACCCCAACCCCATGCCTTTCCCATGATTACATCTTCAGTGTCATTTGAAGATTCACTTGTTTTTAACTATCTAGTACCCTTCTTTCTTCATGGTAGTTTCCTTGATGTTATGTTATACTGGGAGATGTGAGCCAATGTCTCCTCACCCCAGATGCAAAGCAACGGCAGGCCAAAGTAACGGTTCTCCCAAAGTCCAGCTTGGTTGAAATGATAAGTTCCTTGTGGTTATTTACAAGTGTCTGGGTGCACGGTTATTTATGGGGTATGCATGACACAAAAGAAACTGTATCACTAAAAGCCCGCCAGAAGTTGCAACCCTGGAATTCCACATATGACTGGCAGACAGTTGGTATTTTTATTCAGACCTCAGTGAGAGGGGATGGGAGAGAGACGCCTACCAGGGTATTCCAGTCAGGAAAATATCACAAGGAAAAGCATGGCTGGGAAACTTCAGGGTGGGAATGAGGACACAGGAATAGAGGATGAACCAGAAAGACAGAGCAGGAGGGAGGTCCTGAAAGTCAAGCTGAGCAATGCCTTTTTTTCCTGACATCTAAAAAAATTAACTAACTAATTAATTCTTCTCTCATATGTTACATCCTGACCGCGGTTCCCCCTCCCTCGCTCCTCCCAGTCCATCTCCCCCACCACTTCGGTTTTTCTTCCCACTGGGTCCTTAGGGGCTGCTGGCTGTTTCTGGGTTAGGGAGGTACCATTGAGCCTACAGGCTTGGGGGATGACTCTGGAAGCCAGATGGGAAGGGCCTGGGGAGAAGTCTGATAAAGCACAGCAGGAACCCTGTGCCTGCCTCTGTACCGAACATTTTAATTTCTTATTAAATCCATGAAACGGCCCTATAAGGTCACCCCTAACCCTCCTAAGCACTGGAGTTCCAGGTGTGAATCATGCCTCCTCCCTCCGCCCACGGGCTCTTGCTCTGCTTACCCTACCCAGATGCTTGGTGGATAAAGCAGACCCCCACCCCCACCCCATGTGATTCCTTACAGAACGCGAGGGGGAGGGGAAAAGACCAGGGGCTGAGACAGTGAGGTGGTCTAGGCCCTGGTGTATGCAGAAGGACTAATTCCTGAGATGTAAGAGTCAGGTGTGCCAGCACAGGGCCCAGCATAGGCAGGATTTCCAGAAACCATATGTTAATTTCTGCCTTTCAATCATGCCTTTTTGACTGAATATGTTATGCTTCAAGTACTAAGCTGCCCTTGGTGTCTGATCCCTAGTTCCCTTCCCTAATGCTTTCTTTGTAAATATGCAGTGACTTTATGACGTGATTCACTGTTCATTTTTTCTCTTTGTGATTTAAGGGCTTGACAGGACTGCCTGGACAAGCTGGACGTCGTGGGGAGCCTGGGCTGAGGGGAGATCCTGTGAGTGATGGCTGCGGGTTTTCTTCTGCTTTAATTCCAGAGGCAAAGAGGACCTAGTGCTGGTTAATGAGGCGTCAGCTCTGTGTGTCTTTACCACATTGTGACAGGCTAGAGATTTGAGAGGCCACCATCTCAGAGAAGATGCCGCTGTGTGTGTGTGTGTGGGGGGGGGCGTGTCATTCGGATTGGGTATCTATGGTTATTGAGTACACCATCATCTGGACGATGGAAGAGTTCTCTTTGATTCCCCTCTTCCCGCTGGTTCCCCTCTTTCCCGTTCTCCCTTCTCATCTGGTACTTGAAGCCAGAGCCTTGCTCAAGCTCTGTAGTTCTCTGCCTCTAAGCCAGCCCTTCCTCCCCTCCCTAAAACCATTCTTCCTGTTGTCCCCTCCCCTCCCCTCCCCTCCCCTCCCCTCCCCTCCCCTCCCCTCCCCTCCCCTCCCCTCTCCTCCCCTCCCCCTTTCTTTCTTTCTTTCTTTCTTTCTTTCTTTCTTTCTTTCTTTCTGTCTTTCTTGTTCTGGCCATTTGAGGAAGGCCACCTTCTGTTTCCTCAGGGTGATCCTGGGATTGATAATTACATCCAAGGCCCCAAGGGAGAAAAAGGAAGGCCTGGACATCAGGTAAGATGGGCGAGGTTTGCTTGTGGGGACTAACACATGCAGGAATGACTACATGGTCTTCCAGAACACTCGGACACTTTGTATCCAACAGGAGACCAAAGTCGCAGGATCCTATTTTCCAGGAGACAGGAGCCATGACTATCACCTTCCCTTACTTCCTTGTCCTTGAGGTCTTGTCTAACCATTTCTTTTCCCCACACAAGTCCCCAACCCCTCACTGTATGCTAATAACATCTTAAAGGTGGTCTTAAACCCCTTTAGTCTTCAGTTTCTTTCCTAAAGTGAAAGTACCACACCCAGGGAGGTCTAGACTCTTCTCTGTTTTGAATTTCCTTGCTCTTGGAAGGCTGCATTGATTTAAATGTCAGTATGCAACTGTCTTCCTTCCTGTCCTAGCCAGAGCTGACTGGTGTAAACTAGGCAGTAGAGAGTTGTAAAACTGGGATGCCCATCTCATTCTGAAGACTGGAACCATCACGACAGAAAGCATTACAGATGGAAAAGGGGCCTGTCAGCCCGACAGATGCTAATGTCTTAGAAGCCAGTTTTATTTTTTTATGTCTCAGACATTAAAATGCATGGTTCTGAAAAACCATGAGGGTCTCTGCCCTTATAGCTCATCTTTCCTAATCTCTGGCCATGAGGTATGCATAGCAACTATTTGCAATTGGAGGGGAACCTTGATTTACTTGGAATTCCAATCTGGGATCCTTTGACAAAACTGTAGGGCATGGATTCTCCTCCTTAGATTGTGGTTAGCCAGAACCATCCATGTCCTGCGTGAGTTGCATCTTGGGAAAAAAATAATTTTTACGTCGCTGTGTGGGAAAACTGTTTCATCCAGCCACTAATTACAGTTGTATTGAACAAACAACATTGAGTTATTTTCCTCAGTGAGTTGAGATCAGAGACCCTGCGAATGGCCACTCACTGGGATTGAGCTAAGCACACAGTGGGGAACCAACCCTTGATCGTTGGGTCTCTGGATCCTCATCTGGAAGATGGGGAAGGTAGAAGAACCAGCAGTTTCTGAGAGTCACTGCTTATCATGGTAAGAAATACCAAGAATGCAGCATAACCATGGAATGCTCTTGACTTAGCTGGTAGGTGGGAACCCAGGCTTCTGAACACACTGTCAGGGTGGCAGCCATCACAGCGCCACAACTGTGGTGAGAGCCTCAAGACCACAGATCCCAAAGGTCTCCAATCCCTGACTTTGGCCTATTAACCTTGACTCTATTTCTGTATTGTGTGTGGAACAGAAATTGTAACTTATTCAGATAGTGCCGTGTTAGATTAGCTTTTGTGTTTCCCGTGGCTTCTCCTCCTATGCTGGGCTCAACAAAGGGTGTCAACGAAATATCCTTTGAATAGTCTGAGAAAATAACATCTTAGCACAAGCGGTGCTTGCTGTCGCTGTCCTTACATTCTGCCTGCTATTAGAAGACAGGCCTCTAGGGGGCAGTCTTTCCTTGCTATTATTTCTGAGAAGCTCTGGGATCCTGTTAGAGTTAAGATGAGAAAATTCCTCCGTGAAAACAGTGTTTCCAAACAAGCAGAGAAATTGTGTTATATACCTAGAATAGGGAAGGAGTGGAGAATCATTCATGCAGGTCAGGAGTGTGAAAGCAATCTCTCTCTCTCTCTCTCTCTCTCTCTCTCTCTCTGTGTGTGTGTGTGTGTGTGTGTGTGTGTTCCCATGTTCCCATGCATGTAGAGGTCAGGGGTTGACATTGGCTATCTTCCTCAAAGCTGATCATTGATCAATAGCAAGACTTACCTCCAATTATGATTACTACTGTGAGTTTTTTAAAAAAATTATTTACTGTGTGGGTGTGTTGGATCTTGGAGTTGTAGATACTTGTGAGTTGCCATGTGAGTGCTGGGAATTGAACCCCAGTCTGCTGGAAGAGCAGTCAGTGCTCTTAATTGCTGAGTCATTTCTCCAGCCCCTACAGTGATTTTTATTTTAAATAATAAAAAGTTAGACTGGGGATGTGCTCAGCCGGTAGAGTGCTTGCCTAGCAGACACACAGTCCTGTGTTTGAACCCTAATATGCATAAACTGGGCATGGTGGTGCATGTCTGTAAGCCTAGCACTTTGGAGGTATTGGCAGGAGGATCGGAAGTTGACATTCATGCTTGGCTACATAGTGAGAGTTCTAGGTCACCCAGGTCATATATATGAAACCCTGTCTAAAAAGAAATAATAAAAATAAAAGATTGAACTATTCAATCTCTCTCTATAATGTGTATGTATATACAAGAAGACATCATTTATATACATAGTGTTACTTTCACATGTGCAGTAGTGTTAGGCAATGAAACATACAAAGAAAACTTTATTTTTGTTGTTTGTTTTTTGAGACAGTCTTACTATGTGAATCCAAGGTTAGCCTCAAACTCATTGGCTACCTTTCATCTCTAGCCTTCTAAATTCTGGAATTATAGAGATGAGTCACTATGCCTGGTCTTCTGCAGAGGGTCCAGCCTTCAGCAGGTCTGAGAGACTGGGGAGGAGATGTAGCATCGTCAAGAAAAACACAGACGTCTTTTCTGAGGGATAAAAGCTTCTTTTTATTTTCTTTCTGTTGCTTGTTCTGCTCTGTTCTTTTTCTCTTCCATCCTTCTACCCAGATGTTTCCCTTCTTTCTCCTTCCTGATGACTTCCTTCTACATCCTTCCTGATGACTTCCTTCTACATCCTTCCTGATGACTTCCTTCTACATCCTTCCTGATGACTTCCTTCTACATCCTTCCTGATGACTTCCTTCTACATCCTTCCTGATGACTTCCTTGTACTTCCTGATGACTTCCTTCTACATCTTTCCCAATGACTTCCTTCTAACTACCTTATTTTTCCCCTAACAGCTTATGTACCCCAGAAAAATCTTTCAAGCAATATAAAAATTACAATGTGGTTATATTCTATTTTCTAAGTGAATGATTACAATGAATACATGTCAAAAACATGTTTCCTGTTTCCCTTACATGATTAAAAATTTTCTGTATTACAGGTGAAAAACAAATTATTCCTGAGAAACCACATGCATTAAACACTTATCTTTTAGACTTCTCATAGATCAGGAACCTTTCAGCCATAACCATTTACATACACAGTAGTTTCTATAATTGCCAGAAAAATAGATTACTAGTTTAACTTCATGTTTCAGAATCCTGTCCAATTATCTAACCATCTAATTCTTTATTTTCTAGTTACATGAAATCAACTGCTTAAAGCTTTGTTTTAGCTATGATGCACCAAGGCCCATGGACACATTTCTCGATATCAAAAAGAACTTGAGCTAACTCCTGGGGCTCAATTGTTTTCCTTAATCTTTAACCTAAACCATAGTCTATACGGCTCCTCAAGAGAAACTAGCTCGTCCTAGATTGTTCCTATAGTCTATCTTCTGCAGCCCTTGCTTTATCAGGGATAGGGGCAACATTTTATCCTACCTTTAATTTTCCTACTAAACTAACCTCTATCATAATCCTTTACTTGTTAAAAATCTTCACTCATCAAATTTCTATTTAAACTAGCATAATTGTATAAAATCATTACTTCAGTTAAACAGTACAGCTTCAGAGGAAGTCATCTGGGGCTGGAGAGATGGCTTGGCAGTTAAGAGCACTGGTTACTCTTCCAGAGGACCCGGGTTCAATTCCCAGGGCCTACATGGCAGCTCACAACTGTCTGTACCTCTTGTTCCATGGACCTGACACCCTCACACAGACATACATGCAGGCAAAACACTAATGTGCAATAAAAATAAATAAAATAAAAGGAGGCAATCATCTTAATAATAATCCACAGGTGATTGAGATAATCACACTGTTTTAAAGGTAGTAGGGTTCCCACTATACCCATTCATACCATGCCAGATACCAGAGCAAAATGGCAAACACGTAAAGGCACAGCCGTAGCCAGAGACTTCCTGGAGGTGAAGCCCCCTGGGACTTTCCTTTCTGAGATTCATCCATCAGTGCCTTGCATTCTGGTGGGCCAGTCCCCTGAAGTCACTTGCCACCTGCTGTTCCTCTGAGGAGGCCACCATCAGTTTCCTACATATTTTCCTTTCCCCTCATCCTTTCCTCCCTTTTCTCCTTCCTGTCTCCCCCTCCTCTTTCCTTTGCACTGGGAATTGAAACTAGGACCTTGTGATGTTAGGCAAGTGAGCTACATCTTCAGCTAGACAAGTGTTTCTCCATATGGAAAACACCCATTATGTAGAAGTAAGTGAAAAAAAAAAAACAGGTTTAAAAGGAACAATCCGTGGGAAAAAAAATTCCAGAATGCATGCATTTCTTTCTCTTTGTGTTCTGAGTTATTGACATAATCCATGAAAAGCTTGTATTACTTTTTATTTTGAAAAATTCCAGACCAACCATTACTGTATTTGCTTTATGTCCATGTGTGTGAGTGTGTGTGTGTGTGATCTTTTTTGAGATACTTTAAGATTAATTAAAACCATTATAGCACATTACCCATAGGTATTCAACAGGTATAGTTTTTGAAAAAGAAACTACTCTATATTGACACAATAGAGCCCTCACACTACAGAAACGTATTTATACATTATTTTCTTTTTAAAAGTTTTAAAAATTGGAATACAGAATTACATCATTTTTCCTATCTGTTTCTCCCCCCCCCAGCCCCTCCCAGATACTTCCCTGAAAACCCTCCCATGGCCCTTCCACTCCCAAATAGGTAGCCTTTTTCTTTGATTATATTTGTGCATACATATATATGTACATGTATGCACAGGTGTATACATACATACACACAGACACACAACCTGCTGAGTCCATTTTTGTTGTTTGCGCCATACAGAAACAATGTGATTTTCTGCACAGTCCATGTTCACATTTTCCTACATTTCTTAGCTTGCAATACTGTAACAGAATATAGCAGACAACATTTGTTGTCACACCAGACACTGGAAGACTTGGTGTGTGATGAGGGCCCAGTTCTGGCTTGTCTTCTTGGCTGTCACCTCGCAGACAGAGGGCTGGGGTGCACCGATCCCGCCCTCAGGACCAGATCACCTCCCAGAGACCCCTGACCTGATCGCTTCACACTGGAAATTAAATTTCAACATGTTTTCTTTAGGGGGAGCACATTGATGGCTAGCTTTCATAGTGACATGAGGCACTGTGCAGACTGCTGAGGAGAAAGGTCGTCAATGGCACTGCATAGCACCCGCCCCTGAATTCTGCAAAACCAACTTGCCAAGTGAGATGATGTGTTCGCTGCTGCAAGATTGGCATGAAGTGCAATATTGGAACTGTCACTCCTGGAATGTCCTTTAAGCCTGTGTTTTGTTGTCAGGGCATCTTGCCTTTTTGGTTTCCTTTAATCACAGCAGTCAGCCCATTGCTTGTTTGCTTGTATGCCACTGACATTCCTGAGCAATTCTTTTGCTAAACATCCCCCAGTTAGCACTTGTCTGATTATTTCTCCAAATCTAGAGACAGACTAATTATTTCTTTTCAACAGATGACTTAGTAATGCTATTCAGGAGTTTGGCTTGTTTGGTGCATCTGGCCCCTTCATTAAACCCGTGCTCACCAGCTTTCTCTGCTGTGAGTGTGTTTTCCCTCTTCTCTATGAGTGAGTAATTTGAGGAATGACACTTGAGGCAGTCTCTTACCCAGTGGTCCAGCTTCTGTCCCAATACTCACTTCACGATGCTGGCAACAAAGTGCTGTCTGCTTTTGGAAGTGACGTGATAAACCTTTGGGGAAAGAATCTTTATTACTTCAGATCTATTATGCGAGGCTTTATCTATAGCCTTCTCCCACATACAACCCCCATCAAAACTAAGTTCATAAAAGCATTTACTGTACAATGTGAGGATATGGAAGAAAAAATTATCAATATTTCCTGTAGCCAAGAACTGTCCTAACATTCGATAGCAATCACCCACCAGAGGAAGTCAGATAAGTTCCCAGGGGCTTGGTAAATTTTGTGTGTGTGTGTGAGTGTAGCGTATGCATGTGTCTATGTTCATGTATGTGTGCACCTGTGTGTATGTGTTTGTGGGGGAGTCTGTGCTTGTGTCATAGAACACAAGTGGAGATCAGGGTACAACTTGTGGGAGTTGGTTCTCCCTTTCTACCATGTGGGTTCTGGGGATTGAACTCAGGCTGTCAGTGTTGGCAGCAAGCACCCTTACCTGTGGAGCCATCTTGCCAGCAGTCTGCCTTAGTTTTTGAGACAGGGTCTCTTTGGTGGTCCTAGAACTCCCTGACTTCTAAGCTGGCTGGCTAGTGAGCTCTGGGGATCCATTTGTCTCAGTCTCCTCAGCACCGGGGTCACAGATGTGCTATGAAGAGACACCATGACCAAGGCAATGCTCCTAAGAGGAAGCATCTAACTGGGGCTTGCTTGCATTTTCAGAGGGTCATGTCAGGAAGCAGATATGCATGGTCCAGAGCAGTAGCTGAGAGCTAGTTCCTGATCCACAGACAGTAGACAGAGAGAAACATTGGGCTTGGAGTGGGCTTTTAAACTCTCAAAGCCCACTCCCAGTGACTCACCTCCTCCAACAAGGCCACTCCTACTCCAACAAGGCCACACCTCCTAATCCTTCCAAATAGTTCACCAAGTGAGAACTAAGCATTCAAGTATACAAGCCTATGGGTGTCAGTTTCATTCAAATTACCACACAATCATAGAAGAATGAGTTTAAGATTTTCTTTCTAAGTTTGTATTCTTTAATTTTTATGCAGTGTTTGCTTCTTCATGTGTTTGTGTATTGTGTGTGCGTGTATGTATGCGTGTTTCCATGCATGTGGGCATATGCATGTATGTATGAGTGTGGAAGGCCCAAGGCTGACATCAGGGACATTCCTTGATTGCTCTCCACCTTCATCATTGGAACAGATTCTATCAATAGATCCCAGAGCTCGTCAATGCAACTAGTCTAGCCAGGTTCATTGCTCTGGGGATCCTCTCTCTTTGCTTCTGAACCCTGGAATTACAGGAGAACACCACACCCACCTGTCATTTACTTGGGTGCTGATGATCTGAATGCCTATCCTCAAGTTTTCCTGGCAAGTACTTTACACATGGGGTCATCGCTCCTGCCCCACAGAGTGCATTGTTTTTAATCATGACACATTTAATTCCTTAAAACACCCAAATATTTAAAAATAAACATTAGAATCTGAAGAATACGATAACAAGGAGTTGGCCATTCTGCAAATGCAATTCAGAACGGAAAAGCCAAACTGAACAGGGTCTCCAACCCAAAGCACACAGAGGAGCCAGTGGACAGCAGATGCTGCAGCATGCCTTCTAGATGGTTTCTGCTCATGGTGCTGCCATCTCAAGCATGTGGACACCACTTTCATTTGTATATTTTTAGCACCGTATGACCTTAAGCCAAAATCAGCACCTATTTAAATATTGACGACATCAATATTTAAAGTCCTTGAAATATTTAATGTTCTCACCTATAACTCAACACTCAGAGCCAGAGGCAGGAGGATTGTGAGATCCCTGTTAGTCTGGGTTAGTATGAATTTCTGTGTCAATAATAAAAACAAAAACTGGGTGTAATAGCACATGCCAGTAATCCCAATACCTGGTTGGGAGGAAGATCTGGAGTTCAAGGCCACCCTTAGCTACATGGTGAGTTCAAAGCCAGTTTGAGCTACATGAGACCCTGCTTGACAGAGAGAGAGAGAGAGAGGTTTTTTTTTAATCACAGATAGAAGCTTTCATGAGCCTACCACAGAATTTAAATGAAACTATCAATAATGGCTCTACTTTAGCCCATCCTGACCCTCTCTTGCAGCTGTCTTTAATCTTTAAATTTTCATCTTTTTTTTGTGTTTTGATAAGTATTTTAAAGTTATTGTATGTTTCAACAAATGTACCACATTTAACTAACAAAATACTAGTATTGTGGGCAAATTGTTTCAGAATTCAGGCTTTCATAAATAACAGAGAAACAGAGATGGTTTTTGCTTCAGTATTGTGGTCTCTATGCTCACTCTTCCCACTGAGGAGGAGGCTACTTCACTGAATGGCTGTCTGTGGGGTTCCTGCTTGGGATCCTATGGTACTTCCATTTCTCAGAAAGGTAGGTTCCTTCTCCGGACTCTACTCACCTCCCCAGTTCTGAGTCCACAGGGTACCTTCTCATGGTAGCTATGAGACCTTCCTTTCTGTCACCACCCATATGTGCAGTTGGGGTGGTCCCTCCATGTTCAGAGACACAACTGCCCACCTCCTCCTCCTACCTGCCGTTCAGGACCCTGCGTGGCATCTGTATGAAAGGAAGTGCGAATGTTTAGCTGCCAAGCATGGCTTGTTGAAGAATATTTGATTTGCTGTCACAGCATAGTGAACTTTGTGTTGTTATTCAAGGGACACAGGGAAAGATGATGAATATATCAATATTCACAAACATGAGAATTGGATGCTGTTTACGTGTGTGTGTGTGTGTGTGTGTGTGTGTGTGTGTGTGTGTGTGTGCAGGCCAGAAGTCTGTGTTGGGTATCTTCCTCACCTGCCCTTACTTTATTTTTTGAGACAGGTTTTTCACTATTCAGTTTCTGCTAACCTATCTGGCCAATGCCGGGGCCCAGGCACATACCTCTGTGCTCAGCTTCTTTGTGGGTGTTGGGGATCTGAACTCAGTTCCTCATGCTTGCACAGTAAGCACTTAGCCCACTGAGCTGGAGTTTGGTTCGCGAGCAGTTGCTGCCTAACAGAACTCTATCTCCTCACTCCCAATATGAAAGCTACTGCTCAATGCACCTGTTGAACCCTTGGGACGTAGCCAGCACCGTCTTTTAATTTCATTTCATGTTAGTTAAGTTGAATCCTCACATATTGCCGGCAGCTTTGGGCCACACAAGTCTACAGAGTAAAACCAGGACTCTGTTGACCTTTTCCCATCAGTTTTAATCTACTGCTCTTTTGGCCAGCAATTGTGGCTCTGCAGTTACTGGCCTGCTTCTTTGGCATTGCCGCTCAGGCTGTAGCCTGGTGGGAATTTTGTCCCTGCAGGCTCTGGCTATGTTGCTTCCTCCAGGTGCATCAGTGTAAGTCTCCATCGTTCTGTTCTCCCCATCACTCAGGAGTCAAAGGCTGGGGTGAAAACCTGCTATCTCAGAGAGGCTTAGTAGCTGCTAGCTGACCTTCTCTGCTCACTGGTGTCTCTGAAAGACAGAGCCCTTCCACTCCACCAAAACAGAATAAACCCATGCCACACGAAGTCCCTCCCTACTACTTCCTGTGTCTCTCTATCTCTTCCAGATGCCCTCTGATGCTCCTTGAGTACTTTCTGTCACCTAGTTAACTAACTCCTGACTCAAAGTTGATTTTATTTAATTAATGCACATGCAAACTTGGAGTACACGGTGTGACTGAATATTTCACATCACTCTGTGGTGGGATATTCAGATCTTCTTTTTATCTCTTTACTTTTCAGGGGAGCTCTGGTTTCCATGGACCTCTTGGGGAAGCAGGCAGTGTGGGACCTCGGGTAGGTGTCACTGCTGGAGGGGGGGGGGACTCTGGAAGAGGGAGCTAGCTAGGCTGCCACATGATTGGCTTGTCTCCTGTCTGAGATCTTTTCTTTCTTTTTGCTCTTAGGGGTCACATGGAAGACATGGCCTGCCAGGGTTGAAGGTCAGTATTTTTGGAGAGTTCTCTTTGTTTCACAAGTTAGGCTACTTTCATGGTTTTCTCTGAGGTCAAGGGGAGTGCTGGTTGGCTGTGGAGGTGGCCCGAGGATCGCTGGGAAGTTACCGTGGAAGAAGGGAAAGCTAAAAATGTGACCCCCCCATATTTCACTAGGATTTAACATAGCGCTGTAGAGAAGAGCTCGCATTTCTGATAAAATGACATTCCTGTGTGCACTGTGGAGATGGAGGGAAAGGGCTGAGTCCCTGGAGTCTCCAGAGGAGCTGGTGTGTTTGGTAGTGGGCTGGGGACTATTCCTGGGAGGAATCTTGTTCTACCCATGTGGCACATTAGATGTTTATCTGCGTCATGTCAAGGAAATCTTGCCATAGCTCCTGTTCCATAAGGTGGGGAGGATGATCTACAATAGCCATGCTTTTGGTTTAGAATGAGTGAGTTATGAAGTACATAGCAAGTTAACACTAAATAAATAGCTAGAGAGACACAGAGAACAAATGGTCATCAAATTGTGTGCTCAGAAAATCCTGCAGAAATCAACTGGGGTAGCCTCTTTCAGGGGCCAGCTGGATTTCCCGATAGACAGAGTACCAGGCAGAGCTGAGTGTCCCCCCAGGAGAGGGCTCTAGGTAAGGAACAGATAGCAACAAATAGGGATGGTATCTTCAAAGCTGGCCTTCACAACATCCAGCAGACTCCAGCAGGGGAAGCTGAAGCAGGGACCCGGCATTCCCAGTGTAGCTTAGTCTCCGTGGGTGAGCTTCCTGTGGCTGGACTTTTGACTGCCCTCCCCACTGTTGGAAAGGTTAACCATCTAACTGTTCCCAAGCTAGAACTGCTTTACTCTGGGTTTTGCCTTTCTCTTTCCTCCTCAGAGTTGGGAGCCCATCCTCAGACAAGAGGGCTTAGAAGGCACCTTTAGATAAGCATGCTTAGGGCTGAAATGGGAGAGTGGGCCAGCCTCACTTCCGGAGTCAGCCTCTGGAGTGTTCAAACAGCAGGGTCAGTTTACCAGTGTATGCCATGTATGTTACAGCCCCCCCCCCATGGTAACTTTAAGGCTTGTCTGAGCTCTTACAGAGTGAGTTCAAGGCCTGCCTGCGCAACTTAGTGAGGCAGAGTTTCAAAATGAAGAGTAGAAACTGGCCTGGGGGTAGCTCCGTCTTAGAGCACGTGCCTAGCCATCTGGCTTGGTAAAGTGGAGGACTGGCCAGAGACCCCACAGCTGACCTATTCAAACCTAATGCCTGAATCAAAGACTACGAAGCTCTTTGAAAATCAGCTTAATGCCTGTAGGCTTCTCTTGGACACAGTCTGACCACACTGTTCACATTTTAGAGACATGAGACTAGCTTGCCTCAGTTCGTTATTGATTCTTTTACTCATCTACCACCTTCTCCACATACTCCCTGACACATCCTTGCCATGCATTTGTTCGTCCACTCTTGAGCAAATTAATTGAGTATCCACAGCTTTATGAGTTTGTTTTCTGTGAACTCCCCCCCCCCCCACTTCCTTATTTGTTCTATGGTCTGTGAGCCTGTTGTTACTCACACAGCTTCCTAACAGAATCAATGGAACCCCGCTATAGTCAGTCACGTGAGGATTTCTTTTCTGTCTCTCATTCCTCCTCATCCCTCTATCTTCTTACTCCAACCTGGTCTTTTTACCCTGTAGGCTTCTATAAAGTTTTTTTTGGGCCAGATTTTGTAGTAGTGTCCTTTCATCTGGAACAGGGATGAATTTATGAAAACTATGGGATGCAATTGGATGCTTCCTATAGTGGCTTGCTTATATTTCTATTCAAGTTTTTAATTAATCATTAGTTTTCCCTCAATAGATGAATGCATAATGAAAAATTGGTACATAAACAATGCAATTTAGCTGTCAAGAAAAATGAAATTACAAAATTTGTAGAAAAATGGAGGGACTTATAATGTATAATATTAATTGAGGTCACATAATCTCAGAAAGAAAAAAAACAGAGTAACCTCCCTAATATGTGGATCCTAGCATACACACACACATACACATGTGTGTATATATATATATATGTATACATATATATATATACACACATATATGTATATATATACATACATACATGCACACATATATATCAGATGTACATATACAAGTACAGTATAGCATGTAGAAAGGAGAACAAAAAAAGAAAAATGGGGGTGGGGTGAGGTCTAAGTGTCACCAGCACCTAGAAATTCAAGAACCACTTGGCCAACGTAGAAGGACCACAGTCCCCCAACCTCAAGTGAGGCTTTATTCCTGACTGCCATGTGTAGTCAACATTCTATTTCCATGTGTAAGATAAGTTTATTGCTATGATAAATGCCACCTCAAAAAGCAAATCCATGAGAAAAAGGCTTACTTTAGCTTATAGTCCCACATAACAATCTATCACCAAGGGAGTCAGGGCAGGGACTGAAGTAGAGACCATGGAAGAATGCTGCTCACTGGCTTGCTCTCCCTAGCTTGTTCTGTTTGCTTCCTCACATACCCTAGAGTTGGCACCTGCCCAGAGTTGGCACCACTCACAATGGTCTGGGCCTTCACACATCAATCACTAATCATAACAATGCTCCAGAGGGTGGCTCATAGGTTAATCTGGTGGGGGCATTTCCTCAGAAAAAGTTCCCATTTCCTCCAGTTTGTGTCAAGTTGGCATAAAACTAGCCAGCACATGAGAACTGAGTCCATATATCTTAAAGAGAGGGCTGATGGCTCCGTTGCTAAAATTCTTGCTGTACAAATGCAGGGGCCTGAGTCCCATTCCCAGAACCTTCCAGAAAAGGCCAGTCATGGTGGTGATGTAATCTCACTACCAGGGAGGCAGAAGCAGGGAGGTTCTAGAACCTGCTCCCTGGTGAGCTGGCTTTCCTAATTGGTGAGACCCAGATCCCAGTAAGTGACCTTATCTTAAAAAAATAAAAAGGTTGGCAGCCCTTGAGGCAGACCACCCAAGACTGACCTCTAGCTTACACACACACACACACACACACACACACACACACACTTGAGTTACAGTTCTTATGCAAATAGGATTTTGGGTTATTTAAATAAGGGATTTCTTTCCTGTCACTGGCCCAGCTTCTAGAAAGGGATGTATGAAGATGATTGAAGCCTGGGGAGGAAAGGCAATAACAGTCAGCTCCTGCATTTTCCCAGTCAAAGGGGTGACCCCCTCAGATGTCTTCTCCAGCATGGACCCATCTCTGGGAGGATTGAGAACAATTAGTCCAATCTTTGTGTGTGTGTGTGTGTGTGTGTGTGTGTGTGTGTGTGTGTGTGTGTGTGTCTCCTTGGGGCTTTAAGGGACAGCTTGCAAGGAAGGCTGTCTTTATTAGAACAGTGCTGTGCCTGGGAGCTCACTGAGTTTTTCATCATCTCTACAGGGTATGCGTGGAGACGCTGGTGATCTGGGTTACCAAGGACAGCCTGGGTATCCAGGCCCACAGGTTGTATTGGGAACTGGGTTTTAATTTAAGGATATGTGTTCGAAACCTTTTCTTTGTGTGATAGATATCTGAGTCAGAATGTCCCTAAGGAAGCTTCTTGGCCCTTCCAAAGCTGATTGTGTAGCCCCTCTTTTGGGAAGGCCAGACCACCACAGCTAGTATTGATCAGATCCCACTTCCTTGCTACTGACCTGGGTCTTAACACTAATTCACTCAACCCATCCTTGGGGGTTTGAGCGGGTTTATTAGTCCACTTCAAAGGGACCAAATTGAGAGCAGGTTAAGAAGGTAGGCAAATTGGCAAAGTCACACTGCTATTGACTGATAGAATTGGGATTCAAACTTAAAGTTGGTGCTCTTAATCTTAATGAATGCCTCTGGAGCTATGACTTGAATTGTTCCAAAGTAGAATTTAATTCATTAAAATCGTATTCCATCAGCAAAGTGCTTGCTGGGTGTCTGTTATGCATGGGGCACCCTCCTAGTAGTCCTTGGGGGTGCTTAGACTAGCATGACAAGAGTCTAACCCTTAAGGGCTTCTTCAGTCCAGTGAGGGGTTGTCAACTATGAAGTGACAAGTGGAAACTCAAATTTCCAAGCGGCCCTTTTGGGCCTTTCTTCAAAGAAGAAACCAAACCTACCATTTTCTAGTCCTTCAAACCCTTTCTTTCATGAAGCAAATTATTTCCAAGTTCACTGAAGTAGGAGAACTTTAGACCGACAACCAACTTTACTCCCATAGACTCCTCTCTCCGTCATTAAAAATCCCGAGGGTATCGGAGGATAATTTGAGAAGCTGTCTGCTCACAAAAGAAAAGAGTAATCAAAGTGTAATTAGAGTGTGTTTACTTTATGATGGAAAAATGGCATCAGGAGGAAATAATGAAGAAAGCTGTCGTCCCCCCACCCCCCATTTTGCCTTTGATCAGTGGCTTATTTCAAATTTGCTTTCTCTTCTTTAGAGTCAGATTCTGCCTCTTGAAAGGGCTGCATGCCGTGCTGAGAGTCATAAGAGAGATAATCGATAGGACCCATCCGTCCTTCATTCTCACCTTCCCACTGGGTCGTGATGTGGGGGTGATGGTCTATTTAAATAGGTGATCGTCAATACCTCACCTGGGAGAGTAGAGACCAAGATCAATGCTTCTATTAGGAAAGTATTTCTCAGAAAAACCGGAGAAAAATTAAAGTGTCAAAACCAGTACAATAGACCGAAGGAAAATAAGCAGCTCTTGCCCTCAGTGACAAAGATCGAGCTGCTTTAGAGCAACAGCTATGGCCTGACCTGTGAAAAGAAAAGGTTCGTTTCCAAATGAGAGGGACACCCTCGCCGCTACTCTCAGCCCACTCTGTTGATTTCCAGTTAGTTGGGTGGATGAAGATATGAAAACACTTTTGAACTTCAGTGCTTGGCAGATCCATCTGGAAAGATTGCTAAGAGCATGGATGCCAAAAAACCGATGCCCTCCATTGCAGGTGGAGCAAGTGTGGGGCATTACATGAGCACTTCAGCAAGGAGATACAACCTGGCTCCACCTGGTAGAGAAGAGACAGGGATGGGCCCGGGCACCTTCGTTCAGTCGACGTGGACATCTGAGATGACGACTTTGCACTTCCATGGGATATAAATGGCGCTGTAAAAATTGGTTGAATTTTAATTCTTTTTTTGGAACAGGGACCCAGAGGAAGGCAAGGACCGCCGGGATTTTTTGGCCAAAAAGGGGGTCCGGGTGCGCAGGTAGGTTTGCAAAACTTATAGCTACAGTACAGCTGCTGATTAGCAATGGCTGATTCTTGCCTCCGAGGATTCATTAATCGGGAGAACCACTTGTTCTGGGACCTGTGAGTACCAAAGACTTCCAGGACATGTAGTTTGATGAAGTTGGCATTGGTATCAGTTCTGTACCCCCTTCATTCTGGGCACACAGTGACCAATAAGTTCTGGGTTTGAACCTCGGGTATGTGTATCACAACTCAATGTTTATTCCTAGTGCAAGACCAAATGGTAGTGCTGTACAGGAGGCATTCTTAAATTGTCCATTTCTTATGAGTATAGAAGGACATCCCTGACTGCAAGGTAAGGCCACAGGGCCTGAGGGAGAACCAATGACTTGTTCAGTTAGTAAGTGGTCACATGGGCCTCCAATGTGGGTCTTTCTAATGCTTGTTCTGCTGCCCACCTAATGTCTGTGACTAGTGGAAAGGGCAGAGATACTGAGGCATAGGGTCAAGTGGCTTCCTGAGGGCAGGAGCATTTGCACACAGCTTAGACTCTTGAGAAGGAGGACTTGAGTCAGGTCTGTGGTCCCCATCCACTCAAAATGGCAGCTCTAGGGTAGAAAAAGCCATAGATAGATAGTTCTTTCTTCGGTCTCTCCTTGGGTAACAAAGTCTAGCTTGGCGCTTTTAAAGCTTTTTAAAGCACAGATTATCTATCTATCTATCTATCTATCTATCTATCTATCTATCTAGATATCTATCATCTATTATTACATCTATATATGTATCATCTATCTATTGAGGTAGCGTCTCATTATATAGTTCTTTTTTTTTTTTTAAGATTTATTTATTATATATACAGTGTTCTGTCTGCATGTGTGCCTGCAGACCAGAAGAGGGCACCAGATGTCATTATAGATGGTTATGAACCACCATGCTGTTGCTGGGAATTGAACTCGGGACCTCTGGAAGAGCAGCCAGTGCTCTTAACCGCTGAGCTATCTCTCCAGCCCTCACTATATAGTTCTAACTGGTATGGAACCCACAGATATCTGTCTGTCTCTGCCTCCATAGTACTGTAATTAAAGGTGTATGTCACAAATCTTGGTTAAGCTGTTATTTAAAGAATTTTACTGTGGGGGCTAGAGATATGGCTCAGTGGTTAAGAGCACTGGCTGCTCTTCCAGAGGACTTGGGTTTGAGTCCCAGCACCGCATAGTGGCTCACGGCTGTCTGTGGCTCCAGTTCCAGGGGATCTGATATTCACAAACCAATGTACATAAAGTTAAATTAAAAAAAATCTCATTGTGATATGTGTCATTTGAACATGTTTCTAGTTTGGAATAGGTAAAAGTGGAGGCTTTAGTTTTCCTGATCTTTTGATCAAGTCACCTTTCCCAGATAGTTTATAGATAATTCCTCCAGTTCTCAGTGTTTCATAGATTTGATTCTCACATAGTAGATCGTGCATCTTCTGAGACTTCCCTTGCCTAGAGTTTGACTGCATCTGCTATGCATTTTGCATGTTGGAAGATAACAGAGCTTACATCTTCATGCCAGTGCTCTTGTTCCTTGTGAAGATACAGGCAAATGTTCTGTTCCTGTAAATAACACCACAGAGGTTCAGGGAGATTCAGTGACTCGCTGCCCAGACAGAAAGTGGTCGGATTGGCCTCTGACTTGGGTCTTGAGGTGGATTCATGAGCATATGGACAATTCCAGACCATTTCAGTAATACAAAATGCTCTTGACTCATAATGGGATGATATTCCAACGAAGCCATCCACAGCTGAGAAGGACATGGCCAACCAACACTGTAGTTTAGCAATATAGCCCTGGAGAGTATCAGTCATTGACTCCTGTGGCTTAATGGTGGTGGCTACTACAAGACAGTCTTGTAGGAAAAGGTCAAAACTTCAAAATTTGAAGTATGGGTTTTACTAAATGCATATGATTTTTCCTCCATTATAAAGTAAAAACAAAACAAAAACAAAAACAAAAAATATTATTAGTTAAATGACTGTAAGCCAGGGGCCATTTGTAATAAGAGTCATGATTTTGGTCATGATGTCATTGCAGGGGAATCCTGGGCCTCCTGGGCCAAATGGCTCAAAAGGACAAGCTGGGCCCAGAGGAATGAAGGTGAGTGTCAGAGAACACACTCTTGGGTATGACTTTAGGAGTCCTTTGGCTTTCTTAGGCAAATCTCTTCCTGCCTGGTGACCATTTCCAGCATGTTTCTGATGTTGATGATGCTATTGATTGTCTTGAAGCTGAGAGCGGGATAATGCATACAAAGAAGGAAGTTATATAAACTGATCTATTGGAGAAGTGGTTCACATATATCAGGAGGCAAAAGCGCACTGACAGAGGGACACACGGACTCACTGCAAGCATGCATTCTCACACCCACACCCGGGGAAGCCATAGTAACAAAACCTCTCTAATTTAAGATGTGCGTCTAATGCCGTCCGTGCAAAGACCACTGGAATATTTATAACTGACTTTACATAACATGCACATATAGAAACACACATAATTTTAATATAGCTTCTGCATCTGAGAGGAATCATGCAGATTTGTAAGTAGGGCTTATTTTCCTTAACATAGTGAGTTAAAGTTGCATCCATTTTTCCTGCAGCTACTGTGGTCTTTCTTTACAGCTGTATCCAATTCCACTGTGCATTTGTTTTCCATTTCCAGACAAGTCTTAACAAGCCTGTCAGCTGTATAGTGATGCTAACAGGCCTGAAGAATCTAACAGTCTCTAGTCTCTAAAGAAAATGGCACAAAGATGTGTAAACTCATGAGAGAAAATTAATTTTATCCTTTCCCTCTATTAAAAGGGAGAGTTCGGCCTTTCGGGAGAGAGAGGCCCACGGGGTCAGCGAGGACCAAGAGGGCAGCCTGTAAGTCTAGTTTCTGTCTTGACCTCCTGGTTGAATTCCTTGTATTTTTCTATTTTGGTATATGTCCTAGTTTCACATGAAAAATAAGACCCTTGATGATTTAAACTTGGGGTTACCAATATGACATAATGGCTTGAGCTGTTAGGGATTTAGCCAAAGGTTCATAAGTTCCACACAAATAAAGAATCTAAAAATGTGTTGGGGGTTTCTTTTGCCTTTTCATCATTGAAGAGGGAAGTGTCTGTGAGTCTCTTCTATTTGCTAAGAAAGTTTCTCAAGCATCTGAGTTGTTGGTGACTAATGAGATGCTCAGAGAAACAAACAAAAACATTCTCTCTCTGTGTGTGTAAGATAGACAGATAGAGAACATGAGAACATGTACATGTGCTGTATGTGTGTGTAAGTATGTTCATACTATGACGTGTGTGTGGAAGTCAGCCTTGTGTGGTATTCTCCATTTTTGGCCTTTATAAAAAGATGTACGTTATATGTGTAGTTGCTTTGTCTGTGTACCACATGATTGCCTGGTGCCTGTGGAAGCCAGAAGAGAGTGCTGGATCAGTTGGAACTGGAGTTACAGATGATTGTGAGCCACCATGTGGATGCAGGAGATTGAAGCCAGGTCTGCTCTGGAAGAGCAGCCAGTGTCTTAAGCTCTGAGCCATCTCTCCAGTCCCCAGCCTCGTCTGAGGCTGGATCTCTTTGTTTTTCATTCCTGTGTGAGGCAGCCCAGATAGCCAGTGGGCTCCCCTCACCTCTGGGGGCTCTGGGATTGAAGATGTGTGCTACCACATTTAGCTTTAGCTGAGTTCGAGGGATTCAGACTCAGATATTCTCGATTGTTCAGCAGATCCTTTACCCACAGAGCCATCCCCCCAGCATAGAGACACATCTTTCTAAATATCACAAATAAGACACCATGTTAGAATTGCTAACTTTTCAGAGTGTCAGTTTAATTATCCAGAGCACAGGAGCAGCGTTAGAGACCAACAATCACCAATGGGTTCTTCCTACAGGCAGGGCTCTGCGTTTTTATCTTATTCTCTGATCTGAACACAAGAGCAAATGAATTATTTTATATGACTATTTTCAGCTTACCACTTTCCTGCAGTTTGCTTTATCATAAGAGCAATGCTGTTTTCTGGAAATTTCTCCCAGCAACAGTTAAGAAGGGCCTATAAGGCCCCCCCCCACACTTCAGCATTTGTTGGAAAGGAGAGAAAACTAAAGCAGACCCAGGAAGGATAAATTAAAGTGCGAGGAGAAGGAGCAGAACGGGGCCTCTGTGGACTATGAGGCAAACAGCGCCTGTGTCTGTGCTCCAAAAAGGTAGACAGTGAATTTAATATTTTGTTTGATTTTATTCAACTCTCTTGGTTGAAAACAGCACACAGAGCTTGTGCCTCCTGCTCCCTGCCTCTAACTCTCTGTCTCTTCGTCTCTCTCTCCCCATGACTCTCTCTGAAAGATGGGGAAAGATGCTATTGGAGGTGACATCTTAGGACCGCCTAAGCCTGAGGACTTACAAGAACTCAGGTGAAGACAGACATGGTAGCACACATCTTTAACCCCAGCACTCCCACAGTGGGCAGCTTCCAAACATTCGGCCTTGCTCTCTCCCTGTAGCCGCAGGCATGGATGTGAGTCTTCAGGAGAAAGAAGACAGAGTAACACCCAACAACTGGCACTTTCCTCCCCACAGGGCATTCGGTTTCCCCCCACTTCCCTTACTTGGTCCTCTTTTGTACTTTGAACTTTTCCTAATTAGGCTACAGGAACAGTCTTTAGCTCCTCAGCTTTGCTGTTTGTCCTTCCTGTGGATCTACTTGATGTAGAAACAGTTTCTATTCATTTCCCCCAAAAGGTGCTGCAAGTTTCTGGGTTCGCTCCTTATGATAGATCCTTCTTATCTGTATGAACAGGTGTGATGTGGGATGTCCTCCTGTATAAATGTTTCTCTTATTGGTTGATGAATAAAGCACTTTTGGCCAGTAGAGACAGGAAGATAGGCAGGGCTAGGAGACAAGGAGGATGCTGGGGAGAGAGAGGCAGAGAGGTGCCAGAAAGAGACACCATGTAGACCACAAAGGAATAACAGGTCCAGGCATTCTCCGGGAAGCCAAGACCACGTGGAAATACATATATTAATAGAAATGGATTAATAATTAAGACAGAGCTAGCCAATAAGAAGCCCTAAGCCATAAGCCAATAGTTTTATAATTAATATAGCATCTGCGTGTTTATTTGGGCTGAAGCAGCAGCGGGACCTGGAAATAAAAGAAACTCCAGCCACATAGGTGTTCAGATCAATGCTGTACAGAGCATACGTGTGTGTGTGTGTGTGTGTGTGTGTATGTGCATGTATGTGTGTGTGTGTGTGTGTGTGTGTGTGTGTGTGTGTGTTGAGACAGGGTTTCACTGTGTAGCACAGGCTGGCTCAGACTTTCACTCATTCTTCTTTGCTCCAGCTCCTAAGAACTGGAAATAATATCAACACGTTTATTAGACGGTGTGCATGTTGTGGATCAATCCTTTACACTTGGGAAGATGTGCCACTGGGATTGGCTAGCTTAAAAAAAAAAGCCTAAGTTATTGGCCACACTTTCATAATTAGTAAGAAGTCTCTATATGGTTGAGAGCTGTCAGGTGGGACAGAAAAAGTCACTCAGAGAGCACATCTGTGCAAATTTGCCATATTCTTCCCAACAACCATGTAGATGATAGTGTGTTGGTCTTTTAAGGTTTTGAGTCTTATTTCCTCCAATGTTTAGTTTTACCCTGTGAAGATGTTTCCCATCCTCCACCAAGCCCCACCCTCTTCTCCAGTTTCTTACATTGTTGGCTTATGCAAAGGCTTGGCTCTTGTTATCAGCTACAAGTCTGTCTGTGGGACTCTACAGTTAATTCATCTGTGTCCTTTCTTTTCTTAGGGTCTTCTTGGTCAAGATGGTTACGGTCGTCCGGGAAGAAAAGGCAAGAAGGTGAGGTTTGTGTAAAGAGTGTTTGGATATCCAATCAGTTTTTATTTTACTTTCCTAGGATACAATGATTTTTAAAGATGCGTTTTAGGAATGGCGTTTTTGCTTCCCCTGACCTATCATAGCTTGACAGAGTCCCCTCCCTGAGAGGTAAAAGTCTGATTTAGCTCCTCACTTTTTGAAAAGCCACCCCAGCCTTGTCTTCCAGCTTCACTAAGTATGCCCACTGTGTTCTGCGCTGAAGATACGACCCCTTTCCCAACTCCTTGTCTCTGCAGATGATATAGAATGTCGTTTTAATTCCCCTCCCCTTGGATAACTGTAACTCATTTTCGAGGATGAACTCAAACGTCAACTTATTTTTGAAGGTTTGGATTTCTCCAGACGGAATTTGCTGACCTGTGCTCCGTGTCTTTAAAGTATCAGGTCCCCTCCACCCTGAGATTTGCAGTCCACTCTTCTAGTTTAAACCAATACTGAACTTCACAGATGTTTCCTTTTACCATCCACCAGACACCTTAAGATCAGTGCATCCTCCAACAATAACTTCTCTCATTTCTCCACATTTTATTTATTTTTACATTTTATTCCAACTATCTCTGTCCCTCCAACCCTGTGTGTGTGTGTGTGCATGTGTGTGTGCGTGTGTATGTGTGTGTGTCTGTGTGTATAGCACATATGTATATAAAGGTCAGAGGACAACTGTTTTTGGGCAAAACTTTTCTCTCTTCATCATGTCAATTCTGAGAATTAAGCAAGTGCCTTTAATCATTGAGCCATCTTGTTGACCCCAAGTTGCTTATCTTAGAAAAACATGTCAATGGACAGTTGGAATATTGCCATATGTACCCATCACCTTAATTCATCAATGGAACCCTTAGGGCCAATTATGTTTTATCTTACCCAAAGTCTCACTTACTTTTCCCACGTCATGGAAATTATTTTAAGAACATCCCAGAAAACATATGTTTCATGCACAAACATTTTAGATTGCTTATTTAAAATAGTCTTTATAAGTATAATCAGATACCATTGGCGTTCCTAAGAATTAGCAATTATCCTTAACATCATCCCACATCCCATCAGTCAAAACTGATGTTCTGGACAAAGTTGTCTCCTCTTCTAGCCTTTTCTGTCTCAGGGACAGAACCTGTCCTTCTGACCTCATTCTCTAGTTGCTAGGATAAGAGATTAGAGCCATCTTTGTGAGGATTCTTTCCTTCACACTCTACATTTAATCCAACAAATAAATGCAAGTCTAGCAGCAAAGTATATTTAGCTGAAAGTGTTTGCTTATTTACTTGTGAGGTGTGTGTGTGTGTCTATGTGTGTGCATATGTGTGCATATGCCCATGGAGGTCAGAGGTCAGTCAATCTTGGCTGTTGTTCCTCAGGAGGCATCTTCCTTGTTTATTTGTCCCAGAGCTCATCAGTTAGGCTCAGATGGATGGCCAGAAAGCCTTAGGTGTCTGCCTGTCCCCACCTCCCCCGTGCTGGGACTAAGAGTGTGTGCTGTCACACCTGTCTTTGTTGAGTCACACCGCAGCCGAGCATTTTACCACTTCTCGTTATTATTGCTTTCATCTGGGCTCATCTGGTCTCAACATGGCTTTCTACTTTGATTCCTTCAGAAGTCACCTAAATGGTCTCCCTGCTTCTGCTTCTACCTCTGCCATGTATGGTTAGGCTTCACAAGGCAGCCAGAACCATCTTTTAAAAGATTAGTGAGATCATGGCCACGCTCTTCCCAAAGTCTGCCAGGGCTCCCCATGGCACTGAGAAGAAAAGCCTTTGTTCCCATGACGTGTGAGATTGACACTCCTGGCCCATGTGTGGCCTCTTCAGCTTCCTCTCCTGACCCCTTCTCTCCCCAGTTCCTCTTCAGTGTCCTTTCCCATCTGTCTGGATGCTCCCCCAGATCCCTGCCAAGCTTGCCTCTTCAGTTCATGCTGCTCTTTGCCGACATGATAATTTTGCAAAAAGACTTTGTCTGGCCACTGTCCATGGAAGGGCTCCCACCGCCACCCCTTCACACACCCTCTACACCCACGGGCTCCTATTGATGGGTTCAACCAACTGCAGACTGAGACGCCTGAGAAAAAAATTGCATTGGCACTAAATATGTGCAAACGTGTGTTATTTCCCCTAAGTAATGAAGGTGTTGTGTCAGGCACCAAGGCACCATGGGTCATCTTGAGACTGAAGTCTTTGGGAAGTGTGCATGTATATACTGGGCAGCACCGTATTCCACCAGGGAGTTGACTGTGCTTAGATTTTGGCATCTCTGAAGGATACTGGAATCAACCTGGAGACATCGAGGGACAACTTTAATTTTTTAATAAAATACATAATATTTTTACTTTTTTTGAGAATTCCATATAAGTATACGATATATTTTGATCATATTCACTCCCCACATTTCCCCACTCCAGCTCCTCCCAAATCTCCTGGCAACATTAACCCCTTTTTCTTTCAAGTCTTTTAAATTAGACTTACTAAGTCTAATTATCTCTGCCCATATGGACATGGGAGTGGGAACACCTACTGGAGAATGGTCAACCTATCAGGAACCGTATAAATAAATAAAAACAAACAAACAACAACAAAACGCAAAACTTGACTTTCCTTCTAGCAGTCATCAATTGTGAATAACTCCTCATGTCCCTCACTAGCCATTGCTATAATATCTGTCTGTCTGTCACCTATCTGTCTGTCTGTCTGTCTATCTATCTATCTATCTATCTATCTATCTATCTATCTATCATCTGTCTATCTATCAATCATCTATCTATCTATCTATCATCTGTCTATCAATCATCTATCTCTGTGTGTGTCTGTAAGAGCACAAGTGCTATTATGTGTGTGCGTGTGTATGTAGATGAAAGACAGCTTGGTAGAAATGGTTCTCTTTACTGTCTTGAGTCCCAAGGGTTGACCTCAGGATCAGGCTTGGTGGCAAGTGTTTATCCCCTACTGGACCATTTTACCAGCCCATTTTTAAATTTTTTTTTTTTTTTCTGAGACAGGGTTTCTGTTTGTAGCCCTGGCTGTCCTGGAACTCACTCTGTAGACCAGGCTGGCCTCAAACTCACAAAGATCTTCCTGCCTCTACCTCCCAAGTGCTGGGATTAAAGGCATGCACCACCACTGCCTGGCTCGATTTCTTTGATTTCTTAATCCCTTCTCTGGAATGCTATTCATCTCTGAGATGCTATTTCTTTGCTCACTTGCTTCTTCCAGAATGAAAGTTCTGTGGGGGTGTTGGTTTTGTTTGCTGCCAAAGCCCCAGTGCTTAACGGACCACTTGGCAAACAGTAAGAGTTGAATACCTGTGGGATGGATGGCCATTTTGAAGCATGCCTGAGGCTCTGACAATGCAATCTTACTTCCCAACACTCAGGTGGCTGCCCTCTCTTTGCTTTCTGTTGGCACAAATCTCAAGGGCTTTAAACAGAAGAAAATGCCCAAGAAAGAAATTTCATTAGAGTGTGCATAAAAAGGGTGAAAGTTGTAAAACCTATGTACAAATTGTTGACCTCCAGGAGTGAAATGTGGCCATTTGATGAGTTTCTTCTTTCCTGGCGGAATGTTGAGGAAAAACTTAATTACATGGCACTGACTGTTATCTTGTCTCATTCTGACCCTAGGGTGAACCTGGATTCCCTGGCTATCCTGGTGTGCAAGTAAGAACTGTCTGTTGGCTTGGCCAACTGGTGTACAGTGTCTGTCATGGGTTTGCACACCTTTCTTGGCATTCAGAACTCTGCTTTTGTCTTTGTAAAGGGAGAAGATGGTGACCCAGGCTATGGAGGAGAGAAGGGGGCCAAGGGAGCCCGAGGGAAGAGGGTAAGAACCAGAGGATCATCATCCGTCATCTTCACAGGCATGGGGGGCACTAGCCTATCCCTGCTCAGTCAGTATACACTGCACACCCTCACCCCACCCCTTCTCCTTTACGTTCAGGGTGGAAATGCAGCTTCCGGTAACGATAAATGGTAACAACAGAGCATGCAGGATAGAGTTGCAGCTCTGCAATACCAATTGCTCAAGACAGTATGAGGACACCTCTGCCTTGGTGACTCTAGGGAAAATTTGGAAGGACATTGTCAAGGACAATGCTTTTGACCAAGTGTGAGTTGTCCGGGTCATCCCCAAGCTTCTTAGGGACTAGAGTTCCACGAGTGTGGCTTCTGTTTTGGTGGCTGTTAAATCTACTGTGCTTCCTCGAGTCTCCCATTAGGAAGCCATTCCTTCAGGTTCAGCAGATTAAGTATGGTGTTAAAAATAAAATCTTTTTGTTTTTGAGACGGTCTCATATAGCCCATGCTGGTCTCGAATTTGTTATGTAAGTAAGGCTTGCCTTACACCGCTGATCTTTCTTCCTGTACTTGTCAACGGTGCCATCATGTGAAGATTGGATCTTGAAGAGCCACAGTCAATGTCAACTCATTTTGAAAAGAGTGACTGTGGACATTAGGATCCGGATAGTGTTTAGTTGATAGACGTTAGAAAGCAAGCCTTGGGCCGGGGAGATGGCTCAGGCGGTGTTCTGATTTCTGATAAACACCACAACCAACGGCAACTCGGGAGGGAAAGGGTTCATTTGGCTTACGCGTCCATGCCACAGCCTTTCACTGAGGAAAGTCACAGCCTGTCACTGAGGAAAGTCAGGCAGGAACAGAAGCAGAAGTTGTACAGAGATGCTGCTTAGGGGCTTGCCTGTCATATGCTCAGTCTGCTCCCTCTCTCCCTCCCTCCCTCCCTCCCTTCTCCCTCCTTTCCTTCCTTCCTTCCTTCCTTTCTCCCTTCCTTCCTGTAAGTCCCCACATGTGTACCATGGCACACACATAACCCACCCACAAATACATAAATGTAATTAAAAAATGTTCAAAGTGAAGCCTCTGGGAACAAGGCAGAAACTGTGTTCAGAACAGAAGCGAGGCCAGGCAAAAGAGCGGGTGTCTTCCTGGGACTCAGTGATTGGTGTTTTCTTAAATGACCATTTTTTGAATTTGAACTTAAACCGCAAGCTCATGAAGACAGTCAGGCCCATGCTCACTCGGCTTGCTGCTACTTACGGTTGATCTGATCTGTTGTCTTTCTACTTCCAAATAAAAAAGAAAAAGCAATCATTAATTCCAGGTAGTCAGTGTGCTGTGTTACTTCACACGCCTAGAATATGAACAGTGAGCCCCTTGCGGCCCAGAACTTTTCCTGAGACACAGAGGCCAAGAAAAGGCTGTGATACATTTTCCTTTCCCAATGTCAGGCCCTCAGTTCAGACCTCATGCAGTATGCTTATCACATGCCCTTGAGACTTGACTGAAGGGCAAGTCATCTTTTAAGGCTCCAAATGGAAATGTATTTGTCTGTGTATCACCCATGGAGAAGCTGGGGTTAGATAGGTGGGCTTGAAGGGGGTTGTCTGGTCCCTATAAAGCCTCCCTGTCTCTCCATGGCTACATCGTTCATAGACACTCACTGGTCATAGGTATGAGGTACTTCAGTATTTCGGGAGGGTCTTGTAGTCAACATGGAATCTTATTCCTTTGGTTTTCACTTTTAGGGTAATTCTGGTTTTCCTGGGTTTGCTGGAACTCCAGGCGTTCAAGGCCCACCAGGAAAAATGGTAACAAGTATTCTTCTTCTTCTTCTTCTTCTTCTTCTTCTTCTTCTTCTTCTTCTTCTTCTTCTTCTTCTTCTTCTTCTTCTTCTTCTCCTTCTTTTGTTTTCAATCTTGTGCCAAGATGAGTAAGAGTTTGATAAGAGGCCTCACTGAAGAAACAAACACCTGGGACATTCAGCAGGATCAAGTGCACAGGCGAATTCCTCAGAGAATACTAACCTCAAGCCTATACAGAGTATTCCATGTGTAGTTTTTCTTTGAATATATAGTTGATCTCAGAGTGGCTAGAGCTTTCTGGATCTTCCTAAATAATAAGCCAATACATAAAACTTACAGGAGAATGTGCCTACCAATGCAAACATGACAACCAACACATAAAACCAGAAGGAAATCCCAATGAACTATTGAACTATTCCAATCATGCCATGCATTCTCTCTCTCTCTCTCTCTCTCTCTCTCTCTCTCTCTCTCTCTCTCTCTCTCTCTCTCTTTTTAAGACAGGGTTTTTCTGTGTAGCCCTAACTAACTGTCCTGGCCTTGAACTCGAAGAGATCCTTCTGCCTCTGCCTTCTGAGTACTGGTATTAAAGGTGTATGCCACTACCATCCAACCCAACCATACCATTTTAACTGAACTGATAATGTTGCAAGACTAGAAGAATTTTTAGAATCCCCTGGGACATGGAAAGATGCTGAGATTCTTCCCTATGCCCTGTTTTAGAGACTGGGTAATACAGTTTGCTTCTTGCTTGCCGTGAGAAAACACGGACCAGAAGCAGCTGTGGGAGGGATGGGTTTATTTGGCTTACAGGTTACAGATTATCATTGAGGGAAATCAAAGCAGGGGCTCAAGGCGGGAAGGAGCTTGGTGGCTGAGACTGAAGCAGAGAGCAGAGAGGACTCTACTGGGATGGTGGTCCATCTATTTAGGGGTGGTACTACCCACAGTTGGCTGGGACCTTCTGTATCACTTGGCAATCAAGAAAATGCTTTGTAGGCATATCCATAGGCCAATCTGAGACAATTCTTCAGTTGGGATTCATTCTTCCAAGGTATGTCTAGGTTTGTATCAAGCTGACAAAAACTAACCAGTGCACGGGGCTGCCGTTCTATGAGGGATAGGGTATTCATCAGCCAGGGTGGGGGAGGGGCGCATGCTGGGCCCACTGGAGCTCAGGATTTATACTGGAGAAGAGCAACAAAGTCAGAAAACCAAACATCACAGAGGTGGTTCTTGGCCTTTTGATGGTGAAGTGCGGATTGAGTGGGGTTTCAGAACAGCAACCTGCCCAAGGCTACAAGTTACCCCTTGTAGAGTCTGAACAAACACAAAGCCTCTACGCTCCCAGAAGGGCTGGAGCCAGACAGCTAAAATTGGAAGGGTCAGGGAGGGTTCCTCTACTATGAAGGCAGAGACAGGGTGGGGATAAGAGCAGAAACAGGAGAGATACCAGGATGTACTTTGGAAGAGCTTGTGGTAGGACCTGGGATCTTAAATGACCATTTTTTTTCAAATTTGAACTTAAACTATGGGTTGGTCTAAAAAGTTCCTGGTCTTCCAAAGAGCCATGTCCTGTCTGTCTGGGCTTGCTGGGGTCTGAGGTCTGGGATGTACTGCTCAGGTCCTCTGTCCTCCTTACTGGACTGGGCAGAACTCCAGAGCCAGAAAAGAAGGGCAGTGTCTGTGCTGTGGTGAACACTCATTATCTCTAGTTGGTTATTGAGAAGGAAATATTGCTAATTAGAATGCTGCATTTTGAACCTCATTTCTATTTTTTTCCAGGGCATCAAGGGCCCAAAAGGTTTGGTGGATAAGACGGTAGGTGAAGACTCCTAATTCAAAAATTCATTCATTGCAGAACCTAAATCTTTCTGTATCCTCAAAGTGAGATTTGTTGATCTTAAAACCCCTTCATTTTAATACATTCTGTTAATACTGTTAAGTGTACAGAGTTTTCCCAGAAATGCCACTATAAACACCGTAGAATAATATTTTAAACACTAAGTGACACAAAAGAAAACATTTGGAAGCCACCACTTCCTGCAGTATGCTCTTTTATAAAGCTAAAAACACTGCCTATAAACTATGCATTTTTAATAAAGCAATTCACAGAATAGTATAGTCTTTTGTGTCTTCTGGGACGCTTTAAAAACAATCTCAGAAATTATGGCGAGTGCTTCTCTTCCAAGTATACACAGACTGTTATGTTAGGTAGGGACTGGAGGATGTAGAAACATCTGACGAACAGGAAGTGATGGGGTCTGAGGTTGAGGGAAGAACAGAACACAGAGGAAGGGATAAACGGAGAGAGGTAGAGTTATAGGGGTGGGGGACATAAGGGACACTTGCCTTGGCAGTCCTTCTAAAGCAGTGTTCTAGCAAATGCTACTTTAAAAATGCATACATCAGCAGCAGTCCCCAGCTTTCTTCTCTGCTGAGATTCCTGGACGCCAACTTCAAAACCAGACTTGATCCCATTGATTTGTGAGGCAAATTACGAAGTAAAAAGTTATTCCTTACCTACCTATCTCAATACACTATTAAAATCCTTTAAGCGTTTTAAATAAGCTACTGGATCTGGAAATAAAATTGTTAGGTATCTCCTCTTAACAATTTTGTGGTTTTCTTTTACACATTTAGATGTTTCAGATAGGTACTGGTAACGTGCACATGGCATTTCAAATCACGGCAGTGAAATCTGCTTCACATTAAATGCTTATTTCCTCCCTGTCTTTCTCCATCTCTCTGCAGCCTTGTGAAATTGTTGATTTCATACAAGAAAACTGCCGTAAGTTGCTTGGGAGACACTCAGATGGAGTCTGGTGTGGTTGGGGATGGGGGAATCAAGGACTAAGACCATAAGTCAGTGGTGTGGATGGGGGCAACAAGGACTAAGGGTGTGGACTAAGGGGATCAAGGACTAAGGTTTTGACTGAGGGTTGGGGAGTGACTATAAGATCCTAAAAAGATCTTATAAATTGACAGATTAGGTCTAATCTCCCTTTGAGTATGTCACCTTTTCCTAAATGGGCTCCAAAATAAAGTATTTGAAAGGCATACTATCTCAGTAATGAAGAAAAACTCCATCTTATGATGCTGGGTCCCCCAAAATATAACCACACTCACACAGCTGCATCCTCATGAAGCAGAGAAGGGTACTGTTCTTTTTATTTCAACAAGCAGGATCCATGGCGGTTTTCTTGGAAAGAAACATGGCCCATTTGGTTGCCATTTCTGTTGCAGAAATGGAACTATGAACCAGTAGGTTTTAGGTACTGCTTTGTCATATAACTGGTTGACATCTATGCACTCTCTTTAAAAAACATCATGGACACTTGTATCTACAGAGAGCACACTCCTCCCCTTACTGGTGATAGGGAGAGCAGTTTGTGTGGAAGTTTGGGTTTTATCCAAAACCGCCTGCCTTCTTGTTCAACCTCGTGGCTTCTGCCCACTCTCAGCTGCGGTTCAAGGAGATTCCAGGATCCATTTTCACGGGAGTCACACAGAGTAATGCTATCACCTTGGACAGAAAGGAAGAACTGGCTGTACAGTTAAAACTCCTTTTCATTGATCTCCACAGGCTCAAAAGTGAATAGAAAAGCCAGAACAAAATATTTGAGATAGACAGAAGCAACAGACTCAAGTAGAGGGTTCAGTGTGCTTGCTACCATATCAAGATAAAAGCTGCTGCTGCACAATCATTTTATCTGTAAACAAACATTTTTGGACACTGTAATTGGACAAATAGGCACAGATATTTGGATGTGAATGATTTTCTTGAGAGACACTGGCTGAAGAAATCAAGAGACATCTACATAGTAGAATATATGAGTGTGGAACATGATTTAGACTCAAATATACTTTAAGCTCCAAGTTTTATCAAATAAGATGAAACATATTTTCATGTATGGATACACAGTGAATTGAGGACAATTGTAATTTTATAAGTGTATGTTGCTCATATATATATATATGTATATATATATGCACATATGTACACATATACTTTTACACACGACATACATATACATTATATATGATTTATATTTCATGACTATGTATATATGAGATACATGTAAAATACAGCTTTAGAATAGATTAGTGTTTTAGTTGGATTTAATTTTAGTTGAATGTAACCAAAATCCTCATAACAATGAGGAAATGTGTCTCTCAAGTCAAAGCTTGGACATTAGTCTGGGTTGATATGGAATCCTAGGGGTGGGGTGTGTTCCAGGACAGAATTTCCTTGTATTTTCCTCTTCCTCTTCCTCTCCTCATCCTCCACTTCTTCTTTTATACACACACACACACACACACACACACAGAGAGACAGAGAGTGTGTGTGTGTGGTGGATGCGGTATTTCCCACATTGTCTCATGCTTTGAGCAGTTAATAAGCTTCAGTCATTGTATCTGTGTCTTAGCCAGCCTGGAAGGGAAGAGAAAGCAGAGGCACAGGGCGAAGGGCGCCATTGCTTCTTTCTTTTAACCTAGCAAGTAATTAGGGTGTAAAGATGCATTTGCAAAGTCTTACTATTTTCCTTTTCCCATTCTCCAGAATGTACTAAGACAGCTAGCTCGGTGTAAGTGTGGCCTGGGTTTCAGGCAGCCATGCACCCAGGTGGAAACTGGTGCCCTATTATAATGGGGAAAAAATTAAGAGAGTGGATACTAGGAAATTTGTACGGCTCTTGCCGTACTGGGGAGGGGGTGTCTAGAAGGCCATTTGAATTTCTCAGAAGAGAGGGTTTGTCAAAGGGGACAAACCAGAACTTGAGAGGCCGAGGCAGGAGGATTTTTAAGTCCAAGGTCAGCTTGAGTGACACAGGAAAACTGTCAAACCAAAGGAGTGCATTTTATATTGAAGTATAAGCTGCCCGTGCTCACTAACAGTGCCGCCTTTTTTTCCCTTCCAGCTTGCTCAAAAGGTAAATAATGCTCATTGTTTAGATAAACCCTCACCCATCTAGAGGCAGCACAGGTGTCTCAAGTTCTATGTATCCCTGTGCCAAGGTATTTCCAGATGCCCAGCGTTCCCAACAGAAGTGGTCTTTGCCTTGGACACGTCCAATGATGTCTCCCAGTTGGACTTTGAGAGGATGAGAAACATTTTGTTATCTCTGTTGATGAAGATGGAAATGAGTGAGAGCAACTGCCCCATTGGTGCCCGAGTGGCCATTGCTTCCTATAACACAAGGACAGATTATCTAGTGCGCTTCTCAGACCACCGAGGAAAAGCTGCTCTACTACAGGCTGTCAGGAAAATCCCCCTTAAGCAGTCATCTGGGTCCCGGAACCTTGGGGCCGCCATGAGATTTGTGGCAAGACATGTGTTCAAACGTGTGCGCTCAGGCCTTCTGGTGAGGAAGGTGGCCGTGTTCTTCCAGGCGGGTAGGAACTACGACACAGCCTCTGTCAACACAGCCTTGCTGGAGCTCCAAGCAGCGGACATTGTCACAGCAGTTGTGACCTTCAGAGAGGAGCATAACTTCCCAGACAGCCTGCTGGTACGGAGGACGGGGGAGGGCGGATGGGAAGAGGTACTGTTGTAGCGTGAGTGATGAGTGTGATCCAGAGTTCTCAGCCGTTGCTGACTATGGGAGAGGTGAGGTGTCTCAGAACGGGCACTGTTGACAGAGCTACTGTAAGAGAGGAACTGGCTCTTCCGGAGCACACATTCTGTGCTGAGGGCCTCACGGATGTTGTCTTATGTAATATCCCCAAAGCGCTATTAGTTAGGCCTTGTTGGTTTTCTCTGCTTCAAGCATGAAAAAGCAGACTTAGGGAGGGTAAGCATATTCCTGAAGGTGAAGAAACGAGTTAGTGGCATGTGTTAATAGCACTGAACTAAATCACCAGAGACTGGAGACTGACTCTCTTCCTCCTTCCTTCTACTGGTATATGACCTTATGTATCTATTTACCAGCATAGAAAAATGCAGTGCTTTTAAAGCACACACGTGAATAGATTTTGTGTGTTTGTGCACGTGCACACATATACATGCATGTGCACAGAGGCATGTATGTGAAGGTCAGAGCTTAGCCTTGGCTCCCATTCCTCAGGGACTGTTTACCGTGTGTTTTGAGACAGGGTGTGTTTCCCTGTCCTGGAGCTTGTGAAGCAGGCTAGGCTGGCTGGCCGACAGCTCCATTCCCGCCTGTCTCCATCTCCCCAGAGCTAGGATTGTAGGTTTGTGCCTTCACATCAGGCTTTTTTGGGGTCTGAACCCAGCTCTTCATGCTTGTGTGACCTTGTTGACTGAGCCTGTCCATCAGCCCAGACAGATTCCTGTGTATTTTACTCTTCTGTGACCAGAGTGTGATTTAAGGCTCAGAACACCCTTGGCATTCATAAATTCTCTTTTTGTTCCTTAACCAAGCCACATAGCCCAGCACAACTACTCCCCTGACTTTGATTACAAGTTACCTGTATCTGACTTCTCCCAGTCAACATGTCTGACCTTGGTCATCCATGCTGTGTGTGTGTACATGGCTCCTTGTTATTTCGGTGTGGCATTTCAATATGTGTAGAAACCAGGAGTTATTCACATGTCTAGTCTCTAAAGTTTACTCTTCTAACTAAAACCCGTGCACTCCGTGCTCACAGCATGTCTGAGACAATTTATCAAAGCAAAGGTCGATTTTCTTCCACTGAGTGTGAATGCTAGATTTAGCCACGTGACATTGCCAACATTTGACCACTTCTGACCTGGAAAAATAGAAATGTCATACGGTTCTACTTAATAATTAATGGACTCAGCTGTGCCAGACCACCTCATCTTCTCTTGAGATAGATTTGTGCAGCGGAAGTGCTAGGTGAGAAATGTGGTTGACACACAGTGCATGCCACTAAGCATCAATGGATAAGCTTATGACAGCTTGCAAACTGCCGGGAGGATGGGCAGCCATCTCGGGTTGAAAAACAGAAAATGAAGAGAGCTTGCGATGCATGCTGTTCTTGCTTAGCAGGATGTCTGGACAGGGTGGCTGGAGGTGGAAGTCTGCCCTGACGTTTAGAGAGTGACACCGTGGCGTAACCACGTCTTCCTGAATGCACCCCAGTGCTGCTCTCTGCTGGGCTGCTGGACAGTCAGTGTTGGCTTCTGATTTGTAGGTACATCCGCATTCATAGCCTGCTTGCCTTCTTTGTCTCGGTTCAGAGGGAAGGGATGCAATGGTATGTGGAGACACTACCGGTTGGAATACATGCGGCACTCTGTGCTATCATTCTTAGCTGCTCTCCTCGCCATTGTGTGGGCATGTTCTTGCCCCAGGGTTCTGGGAGATAGCTTGGCATCTTGAAAACATAACGGTTTAGAAAAGATGTTATAAATGATGCTTGTCAGCTCAGATGTAACAAATGACCTCGCTGCTGGTGACACTGGCAAGGAGAGAAACTGTCAAAATGACAGACCCATCTTCAGGGCCTCTCAGAAAACCCTTGTTTTTCTCTAGTAGGCTCTCTTCTGCTGTCCCCTACGCTTGCTTACATGAGGGTGATATAGTGAGGACTGGTTTTATTGTGTGGTTTATCTTCTGGATTCATTGCCTAAAGGCTCTCTCACTCTGTGTGAGGCCTCTGTCTTTCAACTCCATGTTATTATAATTTTAGAACAGCCCCCACATACTTCTTCTGTAGCTCAAATTGATCGGATTGTACAAACAGAAATCCTAACTTCTCAGTTCATTTAAATGCACTTCGAGACTGCCACACCTATTGAAAAGGTTTTTTTTTTTTATGCCATCCATGGAATTGTTTCAGCCCTAAATAAAACAGCATTATCACATTTGGGCTCCTGGTGTCTAATCCCATCATTAAGAACCGTCTTGTGCCTGACAACATAAGCCTTCATTAGATAATTTTGTTTTTAAGCGAAGAAGCAGAGCATTAGCGGGGAAATGCAGCTTGCATGCCAGGTTTCAGATTCCATTTTTCTTTCTAAAAAGCCTCACACAGATTCCCTTGCAACAACGCCTAGGAAAATAGCTCATGTTTATTGATCCAGCCACCATTCTAAGCGTTTATTGATTCACTTACCCTTCAGCACCCAATGAGACAGGCAGTGTGATGAGCCTATTCGTCAGACAACAATACCAAGACCCAGAGCAGTTCGAGTGTTCAAGGTCTGGAGCTCTTATGAGCTCTGAGGCTTTGAATTCAGAAGTGAAAACCAACAAAGCCAACTTACAGACCTTCCAAGTTCTGAGTCTTTCCTCTCTTTCAGTGCATTTTACCTCTGTAGTAGTATTAGGAGATATGTCTACAGACTGGTCCCTCTTCCACTCATCAACAAATCCAAAGAATGGAAGGCTGGCTCTCATAGAAATCCCCTCCCTTCATGCAACATGAGCTTTAAAAGATGAAGAAACTGGTGTGTGTGTGTGTGTGTGTGTGTGCGCGTGCGCGCGTGCATGATGTTTAAATTTTGATGTAACTTTGGAATTTATGAAAGTTGCTTTAAGAAACATTCTCTGTGTGTATGTGTTCAAATGTGTGTGGGGTGTGGAGGTCAGCTGTCAGTCTTGGTTGTAGTTCCTTGGGAACTCTCTACCTTGCTTTTTCAGATGTGGCATCTCACTGGAAACTATTGCTCTTCTATTAGGTGAGGCTGGCTGACTCCAGAGCCTGGGGGAGCCACATGTCTTGTTCTTTCTAGCCCCAAGACTCAAACTCACACTCACACCACCATGGCCTGCCTTTTACATGGATGCTGGGGATCAAACACCCTCAAGCTTGTGTGGCAAGTATTTTATCAATTGAGCTATGTCCCTAGCTCAAGATATTATTATTATTTTTTTAAAGAAAGAATGACCTGCTGATGACACCTGGGGCTGGCATGTTCCCCATTAACTTTGCAATGTCCTGTGGCAACTTAGGAAAAAAATTAGACTTCAAACCATGGTTTTGTCCCTTAAATTACTGAACCCACTTGAGAAACAGGAGATTGCTATGCAATGAAGGTTGGATTAAGTTTGATTTGTTGGTGGGTAAGAGAAGGCTCATGCCCAAAAGGACTGTCAACCCCCAAGAGAGGCAGGAAAGGGTTTATAAAGCTAAACCCCACAATCACACCACACCAGGGCCAGGCCAGATTACAGGTTTCCAAAGTTTCAGTTCAGTGGATTAAAACAATTTATTTTATGTTGTAAAGTGATAGATCTCCTTCTGCTGTGGGCGATGCTGCCTGAGAATGTTCTGCTTGGTAAGATATGGTTAGTTGGGGTAAGGTGGGGGCTGGGAGCAGTTGGGTGAAGCATGAATGAGATGGAGTTATCTAAAACTAGGATACAATGGAGTCACTTGGGGCAGTTCAAAATGACTAGACTGTGTTTTTTTGATTTATAGGATTATTGTGGAAATTATAAGATTTATCACTTGCTAGGACATCTGCTACCCTCTGTGTGATAGTCAGCATGGGATATTTATACCTTGTGGCCCAATAACTGCCATTGAACAAGCAGCAGCATCGTTGTAGGTACCACACTGCACCGGCCACACTTTATCATCCTAACCTCTTAGGACTCAAACTGTAGTCTGGGGACCAGCAACAAAGACATCATCAGGCAGAACAGAATGCTGAACTTCAAGCCTTGATTGATTTGACCGAACTGAAGGTGCATTTATATGTCAAGATTCTTGGACACTTTGTGTGGATGTCAAGGTTTGAGGAGTGTTCTCATTTCATTTCTGCTATTGTGATAAACTATGTGACAAGAAGCAACTTAAGGCAGAAGGGGGCTTCTTGCAGCTTATAATTCCAGGGTATAGGCCATCTTTGTGAGGAGGTAGAGGCAGGAACTTCAATCAGCTAGTCATATCACCCCATAGCCAAGAGCAGGCACATGTACTAACATGCCTGCATGCTTGTGTTCCATTTCTCTACTCTGACACATTTCAGGGCCCGCTGAGTAGGGAATGGTGCCGCTCATGCCCACAGTGGGCTGGATCTTAACACATCAATGAACTTAAGATACTCCTCCACAGACTTGCCTGCAGACAGACTCAAAGCAGACAGTTCTCCACTGAGATTCTCTTCCCAGGTGACTATAGGGTGTGTAAGGTTGTCAGTTAAATCTAACCTCACAACTATCCTGCCTGTTAACAATGATAACCTACACGTCCCAGGTGAACTGAGCAAAGGGAAGAGGGAGAACCGATTTGTTCTAAGCCACATAGTCCAGGCATTTGCATCCAGACATGGCATGTTTCCAAGTCCCTCTTTCTCGCTGTACACTCTTAACCCAGTTCTGACCTCCAGTGTTTCTGGGAAGTACAGGGAGCGTGGTTTGTTTGGTTGACTTTAGTGGCATTTTAGAGGAGCTGAAATTCTACTCAAGCTCCTTGGCCAGCCACAGGTTAGGTGGTGACTTTGTACTTTGTCCCTTCCTCTGTCCTCCTACCTCCTCCCCCACCCCACATAGTTTCTTTTTGTTCTCTTAGCCATCACCCTAACTTGGTGCCAGATAGTTTGTCAGCTCTCCAGGGTCTCATTAGCCCTGACTGCCTCCAAGGTAAACCTTCCTCCCTAGCACTTGCTTCCTCCCTCCCTCTCTGCTCCCCCAGCTCAGTTCCAGGGATGGACGTCCTGTCTTGGCCTCTGGCAGCTGAGTATAACAGCTGAACCCTCAAGTTCAGGACAGGGAGTCTCTCCAAGACAAGAGTTCATGGGAAGTTCTTTAGTATGGGGGTAGGGTGGGGTAAGGATTGAGCATATCGAGCATTGCTGTGGTATCATTTGTCCTACTAATCAGAAAAGGATGTCGATGTGAACCCATGGGGGTGTGTGTTCTCTCCCTGTCTCTACTGTACCGCTGAGGCAGGATAGAAAGACAAGAAAGTGAGCATCAGGAGACTTCAGTATCACTGATCCACCTGAATGTGCCTACAGAAATGATGCGTGTTTTTCTAAAACAAGACATCCCAAACGGGAACATCAAAATGGACAAATAAACTCTGAGTTCACTCTTTTAGCATTTCTCTCTTATTCCTAAATCTTCTTACGTGTATGTGTGTGTGTGTGTGTGTGTGTGTGTGTGTGTGTGTGTGTGTATGGTATATGCCCATATGGGTGAGAGCTCACATGAGTCAGGAGAAGACAATGGGTGTTTTGTTTACCATTCTCTTCCTTATTCCTTTGAGAGACAGGATCTCTCATTGAACCTGGAAGTGACCACCAGCCAGCAAGCTTGAGATTCTCTTATCTCTGCCCTATCACAACACTCAGGTTACAGGAGTGTGTGTGTGTGTGTGTGTGTGTGTGTGTGTGTGTGTGTGGCTTCCCTGAGCTTTTTACATTCTTGTTGGGGAGTTGAACTCAGGTCCCCATGCTTGCACAAAAGTGCTCTTACCTATTGAGCTATCTTCATGTGCATGTGTGTGGGTGCACACGTACATGCAAGTTCACATGTATGAGGGTGACCTGTGGAGGTCAGAGGACAACCTTGGCTTTTCATTCACCTTTTCTTGTGAGATAGGGTCTCTAATTGACTGGGGACTTGTCAAGTAGCCTAGTCCAGCTGTCCATTGAGCCCCAGGGATCTACTTGTCTCTGCCACCCAAGTGCTGGGATGGTAATTGTATATCACTCTGCACAGGTTTTTTTTTTCCCCCCTGTGGGACTCTGTCCTCATGCTTACAGGGCAAACACTTAATGACTGTGCTGTCTTCCAGGCCACAAATGAAATGTCTCCAAGATTAAAAAAAAATACACCAGCTTGAGTAGATTTTAAATTTTACTTAAATTTTAAGCTTTGCTTAATGTTTACACTTAGCCTTAGTCACAAGTCTGAGAAAGGATCATTTGGATTAATCTTTGATTCTTGTTGTAAACTATATCCTTGGAGGAATGTAGACAGTTCTCTACAGAATGAAATCACCAAGCCCTCCCTCTCTCTCTTAAAAAGCCCACATCCACGCCTTGGGACTATATCTATCCCTTTCCTTTAAGATTCTGTCTAAATACTTAATCAGCCACCAACTTTGCCTCATTCTAGCTTGTTCTGAAATTCTTTTCTGTGGCACAGTCAAGAATCCCACTTAACTGGGGTGGAGGTTCCCGAGGGAACCATTGACCGTTGTGCTGTGACTTCCACTGCTGCAAATACCACTGGGCATGTAGAAGTAAAGTTGGTTGAAAGAGTGTCAATGCTGCAGATTCCAGTGAAAGCTGCATTTTGCTTTGTGTTTAAGATCTTCTAGTTTTGATTCTCTCCTCCGACGTGGAGGATGCAGTCCTCGTTAGGAATCAATGGGTCAGTGTACTCTGTTCACATTTCCTCTCTGCTTGAGTTTTCTCAGGGAATCTTTCTTCTCACTGACAATGACTTTGCTGACAAGCTCAAAGTCAAAACCATGGAATACTATTAATAAAACCCCACACAGATGCATCTATCCTGAATCAGTACCAATGTTAAGTGGAATTTAAAAATTATTGTTTCTAAGAAAAGTTAAAAGTGAAACTTGTGTCTCTGGTCCAATTCAGTTGAATTTGACCACTTTCCAATGAGTTGACTGAAACACGGAAGAGTTATGGGCTCTGAGATGCTCAGAGCCGAAGAGCTCATATATTGTCTTGACAGTGACCTGGGACCAGACCGTGCTGGCACAAAATAACCCAATGGCATTAACTTTCACCCTAAAACTGTGTTCCCAAGAAAACCAAAGGCAGATGCCTCTGTCTGGCCACATAGCCACATCTGGCAGATCAAGGACTACAACCAAAATTCCTGACATCTGGTCTGCTGGCCTAGAACTTTCCACTTGAGCGGTCTCTAAGATAGAAGAACATGAATTTGTACAGATGTAGATGAATATTTACATTTGTCTGAAGTATTTCATTACCTTAAATCTTCACTTAAAACTTGCATTTTATAGCTTCAGTCATACTTCCTGTGGTTTAAAATGGTTGTCTATCCACACAGCCATCTCCTTGGGTAAAGCTCTTGGGTTGTTCCAGCTTTTTAAATCTCTCCTGGTTCATTGCCATGGATCCTGATCCCAGAAGCCTCTCAATTTCCTTCTGTGATTTCCAGTAAAATAATGACGTGTCATGTTCCTGTCTTCATTATTTTAATCTGGAGTGATTAATATGGGTCTATTTGGCTAGTCCATGCTCAGATCTGATGGCCATTTGGAGATCTGCACGATGAATGCCGCAGCCTCTATTCAAGAAGACTCGGTGTTAGTGTCAGGGAGCCTCGTGGCTCAGATGTGCTCAACAGCTGCACTCTGGAGGTGGCATTATCTAATACATAGGAAACAGGGCAGAGTTCAGATAAGTATAACCACTGTCCAGCTCTGGGCCTTTGTGCTCATCATCCTTCCTGCTAGAAGACCACCACCACCGCTTTGCCCGTTAAATCTCTTTCCTTACTCTCTCACACATGTCACATGGTATTGCCCCTCATCTACCCCTTCCCTTGAAATGTCCCTCATCTTCCCATGTTCCTAAAACATATCACTGGAGCCTGTTCTTTCTGGAAGATTCTTTGTCTTTTTTTTCTACAAGAGAAGGCTTGGCCATGCAACCATTCTGTCTTCTACATGCCTGTGAGGACTTTTGGTAGTAGCTACTGATCAGCCTGGGTACAACTTAATGTTGCTTTTGCCCCATAAAGAATGAGAGAGGAGGAAGTTTTTGTTTGTTTGTTTGTTTGCTTGCTTGCTTTTGTGTTTGTTTTTCTTTTTGCCTTCTTAGATTCCTGCTTTTGCTTTGGTGTGTGTATTACATTAATATAAATATAAATTCTTTCTGTTTCTTTCCTCATTAAGATGTTTCCTTGAAGAGAGCTTGTTTTGAAAGGCAGTGCTGAAGGTCTGCTAGAGCATCAAGTAGAAAGATGAAGGAACTCTGTAAATAATCTGTGGTGCAGAAAGTTCTTTTCCAGAGTAACTCTCGACTGTCTATCTTCTTGAGAGCTAGCACAACATCTTCATGGCCTGGGCATTCTACAACCTAGAGGAAGGCTTGTTTCTGTTTATATCCATGAAGTGAGAGGAGCAGCCCCTTAGTGGGCTCCATCTAACATGCTTTGACAGAGAGTGGATACCAAGATGGACATGGTTAGCTTGGACACCTGCAGCTTTGCATATATCACCTCAGCTCCTGGGAGGAAGGCTTGGAGAGCATCTCTAGCTTTCCTTGTGAGGTGGAAGTCTCAGGAACAGTATTAGTCAGGGCTGGCTAACTGTGGGACCATTCATGCCCACCTGAATGCCATGATGTTTCTGCTGAGTGCATGCAGCCCTTATGGAAGAGCAAGGGGCGAGGCATGTTCTACTGCATGCAGCCACATCAGAACCTGCGCTTTCTGTCAGTGGCTTCATTATACTTTAAGGCATCAAACCCATTTCTTCTCCATCCTTTAAATCTATCTGGCAAATGAAGGAGAGGGAGCAGGGAAGTACAATGCATGCACTAGAGTGACACAGATCACTTTTACCTGCATCCCATTAGCCAAACCCCAGTCATATTTAGCAACCCATTGCAAAGGAGTCTGGGAAATGTAGTCTGACTGTGCCTCTAGGAAGGAGGCATAGGATTATCGATCTGCTTTCAAGGTGTTTCAGGGACATTGTTGGGTTTATTGTTATTATTCACATTTATTTATTTATGTATTTGAGACAGGGTTTCCCTGAGTAACAGCCCTGGCTGTCCTGGTACATTTTATTTTTAACCCTTGTTGTTGGTTAGTAAACTAATCATGATGAGAGGGGTACATGAAAGAGATAAACAGATTTTCCCATCTCTTCAAAGCCTTCCTCATTCTCCTCCATTCTTACTTTCTAGTTGTTCTATGCCACAGCCCTGAACACACAGAATATTTTACAGGTGCTTCCTCAGTCTCTTTGGATGTTACAGGACCGACTCCTTATTACTCAGTATGTGTCCTGTTAGTGCTAAGGCTCTACAGGATTACAAGTGTGTTACATAATGTCAAATTATTTATGAGTATTATATATTCCTTAGGAACCACATTAATTTAACCCAGCCAATCATTAATGTGTGTGTGTATGTTTGAATTAGGTGGACGGACTTAACGGACTTCACTTGTTTACATGGGAGACAGAGCACCAGCAGGATGTGGAACGCCTGGCCAGCTGTACTCTCTGCTATGGTAAGAGCTAGGACAGAGCTTACGATCGGACTGATGGCTTGAGAGTGGATGGATAAGCTGCTGGTCACAGGTTAGACATGAGCCACAGATGTGCATTTGCTTGGCATGCACTGGGCTTTAGAATCCGGAAATTTTTGTATCATCTGGATTTCCAGTTTTTCCTAGGAAGTCAGAGTTATCCTGAGAGACACACTCACTGCACAGAAAAGAGGATGCCTGACTCCTCGTGGGTCGAGTGAGAGTGGTGTTCCACAGTCCCCTTTGGCACATTCCTGATACATTCTGTTCACTTATCTTCTTCAAGGTCCCCGTATGTGTCTGGGCATGAGAGTCATCCTTTAGTGGCACCTTTGTGTGATGGGCAGACCACTGACCAAGAGTCAGGAGTCTTGGGTTCTAGATAATGGATCTATTCTGGTCCGCAGTGAGATCCACCCCGTCTGGTCTCTAACCTCCACTGCTGTATCCCGCACTGCTCACTAACTTGTTCCTGAGGGACCTCTCTGCAGAAGCCTGTGCATGCCTACCTGTGAGGTATTCCCAGCCACGCCCACTTCACCCAGGCCAGAATGGTTGGACTCCCGTGGTGATATATTATTTATGATTTATTAAAGCTTGCTTGAGGGTGCAGAAAGCAAAGCTAGCTACAAGCCACAGAGTCAGGCAGTGGTGATACACACCTTTAATGCCAGCAACCATACTAGCTAGCCATAGAGGTGTGAAGACAGGCAGAGGGATCTCTGTTAGTTCAAGGCCACACTGAGCTACATGAAATTGATCCAGTCCTAAAGGGAAATAGCTCACACAAAGATGATCTCAGCACTTGGGATCACATGCCTTTAATACCAGGATTAAAGAGGTATAAAAGGAAGAAGCAAAATTAGTCTTAAAGATTTATTCTCCAGTCACACCGAGGAGAGGACAGCCCTTTCATCCTGAAGTAGAGGTGAGAGCTAGTGGCTGGCTGCTTTGTTTGAACCCCAATATCAGGCTCTGGGATTTTATTATTCACGTAATGAACTCCAAAGAAGATGTTGTCATGCCATGAGAGATAAGGCAGATCAAGGAACGGCATGTGTGGACTATGTCATGGTTGAGAAGCTGCGTTCTCACACATCAGCTCCAGTTTCTCTTCTGTGGAAACCTAACCTCATGGTGTTCCTTGAGATCTTACTGTATATTAGGTTTGTTGTACATATATGAACTCATTCTAAAAATGTAAACAAAAATGACCTCTTTTTTATTTTTAAATTAAGTGTATGTGTATGTACATACATACACATACAGGTCAGAGGTATCAGATTCTCCTGGAACTAGAGCTACAGGTGACTGTGAGCTACTCCATGTGGGTGCTGGGAATAGAACTTGGGTCTAAGAGTGGTATGGTTTCCTAACCACAGGGCCATTTCTCCAGCCCCTGAAAACAACCCCATAAGATGAGTCCTATTATTATCTTTATTATCTCTGACAGTTGGAGGTTGGAGGAGACAGATTGTTATGAGCAGTTTTCCTGCCAGCCTGGTCTCACAGCCACATCAGCCCCAAATAACACTCAGAGACGCTATATTAAACATAAAGCTGTTGGCCTGTTACTAGTGTTTCTTATTGGCTAGTTCTGTCTTAAATATTAACAAATCTCTATTAATCTAAGTGTTTCCACATGGTCTTATCTTACCAGAGAGAGAGAGTCTGGACCTCTTCTCTCTCAAGTACTCTACTACCTCTCCCAGAATTCTTATTGTCTCTTAGTCTTGCCTATCTTGCTTTCCTATTGGCCAACAGGGCTTTATTCATTAATCAATAAGAGAAACATATTTACAGAATGACATCTCCCATCAACAGGTTCATTTGCCCAAGGTCACATGCTGAGTAAGAGAAGAACCTGGATCCAACCAGGCAATCAGGTTTCTTTTAGATCTCACACAGAAGTGACATTTTTCTCTAGGAAGATATAACCACATGTGTGCTCTCCCAAATAGGGCACCAATAACAAACCAAGTATGTTTTCACTGAACCAGTGAGTTTATTGGGCTTTCTTGCCAAGCAGGGGTGAGGGGTTACTTCTAGGAGTGAGTGACCCCAAAGCAGTCACTCCATTGAAAAGTCTCATCCCAGCATGGATGACAACTTCCCCACAGTTGGAGTCCCCTTTTCAGTTGACCTTTCACCTTTATATACAATAGCACTTCCTGAGACCAGGAGGCAACAGGCAGTTACAGAATCACATAGAGCTAGATGGGAGGAACAGGGAGGAGTGGCTGGGATCTCAGGGGAGGACCTGCTGCTCCTCTTCCTGAAATGAGGGAATGCCAGTAATCAACAGGCCCAACCTGAGGGTCTCTTGTAAGCAGCCACAAGCACTCTGATGGAGATGCTGACCCTTATGCCCAGGGAGTTGTGCTCTACAATGGTGAGATCATATGGCATTCCCTTCTCTGTGCTTCGCTTATTTCACTTAACATGATGTCCTCTTGATTTTACTCACGTCACATATGACAGGATACCCTACTTTTTGATAGTTCAATAGTATTCTATTGTGTCTATATGATACACTTGTTAGTCTAATCAGTTCATCATGTACTTTAAAAAAATTAATGTATCAACACGCTCTAGCAGAAGATCTAATCAGCACAGTAATGATGAGTGCATGTAACATTGATCTTGTACCTCAACTTTGATACATGATTCCTTGCCTTTATGCATAGTGGAAGGAAATGTTAAATTTCTCTTCAATTGAGGCAGTGAAAATAAAGATGTCATATCCCTCTATGCGCTATAGATCCCTTGGAGGACTATGGCTGGAAGTGAAGAACACCAGTCCTTCGCGAAAGGGTTTATCTCATGGGTGGGTTCCTAAGACATTGGCAGACCACCTGAGTGTACTTCCATGGGAGAACTCTGAGCTCTGTGTCATCTCTATTAAACTAGTATTCACATTAAAAAAAAAAAAAACTACATCAGAAAAAGAAAATAAAATCCTATCTGCCTGAACCAGCTTGAGAACTCAGAACTCGTGGTCAGACTGTCATTTTAACACCACCAATATTTACTTTTGCATAAGAAAATAAACTTAAAATGCCAGTCTCACCTGGTTGCTAAGTTCAATTTTAGCTCTAGCAATCCGTGTGTGTGTGTGTGTGTGTGTGTGAGTGTGTGTGTGTGTGTGTGTGTGTGTGGTTTCTCAAACATCAGCATGACATTTATGTACTTTCTTAAACAGTTGTCACCAGATCTTTTTTATGGAGAGGAAAAGACACTAATAAATCAGAAATTAGGAAGCCAGAAGCCTAACACACATGTCCATTCTGGGCCCCACAGGCACCACGAATCCAAGGACAGCTATAGATGTGGCCGACACACTTGTAGACTCCAATATGCTTTTGCAATGTCAATAGTCTTGACACCACTGTCAGTTGGAGAACATTAGATGTGCAGGCAGTTTCAATTTTATCTTCCGAAAAATGGGCATCTGCTTTTAAACTGTCAGATGGCTGTTGTTGTTCTTTAGTTACAGTTATAAGAATAAAAACTGGAGAAGGGGTGGGGGGTGAGTGGTCCCGGGTGAGGGCCCCAAGGTAAGGGACCACGTGGGAGAGCATAACAGGTTCCATAGCGGGTGACCGAGGCGGGAGGGGATAACACGCCAGGCAGTTAGAGCTTAAATGGGGAGTTTATTTAGAAAGCGGAGGGGGGAAGGGAAGAGACATAGAGACACTGGGAACAGAAGAGGAGAGAGGGGGAGAGAGAGGGAAGAGAAGAAGAGGGGAGTAGCCGGTGGCCAACCGAGAGAGAGAGAGAGAGAGAGAGAGAGAGAGAGAGAGAGAGAGAGAGAACAAAAGAGAGTGTTAAGTGGCAATGGTCTGACTTTTAAAGGGGTCCTTTACATCTGCCTGCAGACTAGTACTCATGGAACTCTGGGCTGACCAGAGTACTGCCTGTGTGCATTCTGCCAGGTGACGGGGCAGGCCAGCATAATGCCTGAATCCTAACAGCTGTGTCAACCCAGTTCTTCTGGGGAGCACTCAGGACAGCACTTCTGAGGGCGGAAGTGCTTTCTGCATGGAAAGGAAGGATGCCTGGTTTAACTCTAGTCTTTTCCTGTGTTTCCTTGCTAGATAAGTGCCGACCAGCCTCAGAATGCAGGCCGGAAGCTCCCTGGCCCCAGGAGTTGGACATGGACTTGGTGTTCTTGGTGGACAGCTCCCAGGGCGTCAGCAGTGATGTATATCAGGGGGCTTTGCAGCTAGTAGATTCCGTACTTAAGGACCTGGAGGTGGCTGCACAGCCTGGCACATCCTGGCATGGGGCGCGTGCAGCGCTGGTGACACATACAACTCCAGGCTTTTGGCCTGGCGTGGGTGGGGCCCCGGTGCTTGAGTACTTTCACCTGACCTCCCACGGCCACCGGACACAGATGCAAAGGCAGGTTCAGGAGGCTGCCAGTCATCTGCTACAGGGAGCCCCTGCCCTGGGCCACGCCCTGGAGTGGACGCTGGAGAAAGTGCTTCTGGCAGCCCCACTGCCACGGAGGTCACAGGTCCTCTTTGCCATCGTGGCGAGTGAGACAAGCAACTGGGACAGAGAGAAGCTAAGGACTCTGTCCCAAGAAGCTAAGTGCAAGGGAATCACACTGTTTGTGCTGGCTGTGGGCCCAGGAGTGGGAGCCCAGGAGCTTGCTGAACTGGCCGGAGTGGCCAGTGCACCCTTGGAGCAGCACTTGTTACGCCTGGAGGGCGTCTCAGGGGAGGAGGTAGCCTATGCCAGCAGATTCACACAGGCCTTCCTGAGCCTTCTAAAAAGTGAGTGGCAACAGGGGTAGGGGGGTGGGGCATAGGTGTGGGGGCTGGGTAGGGACTGGGTTATCCTAGGTAGTGTTGGCCACAGGAACTTACAGATGTTTATATGTTGATTTTTTAAAGATTAGCTTATTTTATTTTTTAATGTTATTTTATTTGGTAGTTGAAAGTTTTTATATTTTATATTCATTGTTAATTTTATACAGGAAAGTAATGTATTTACATCACGCCACTCCTCTGGCTTCAACTCTTCCTGAATCTTCCCCCACATCCTCCTCCCAACTTTGTTATTTCCTCTTCCTTCCCATCCCCCTCCCTTCCCTCCCCTCCTCCTGCATCTCTTCTTCACTGAGTGCATTTAATGGTATCAGTTGGCTCAGGGCCATTTGCTTCAGGAGCATGGGCAAACCTGCTGTAGGGCACACCGCCGAAGACAAATGAATATCCCTGCCCAGCAGCCTCACCCAAACATGGCAGTTTTCCAGGGTACCGTTCCCAGCAATCTGCTGTGGGGACCTTGCCCCTCCTCTCCTCACCTGGTGCCTTGGGGGTTCCAGACTTCCATGCAGTTCCTCAGTTTTCTTAGTTACAAAATGAGAATTTTGGATCTGTCTGTTCCCTGATCATAAAGCCAGATGCTCATGGAGGGACCCTGAAGTGTCACCGCTGTGCAAATGCACAGCAGCGCCGCCACTGCTACTTTCCAGGGGTAGATGGCCATGCTTCTCAGATTTAATTCACACAGCTGTCCCCTGGGGGTCTTTTTATTTTTTAATAGTTAACTTATTTTATGTGCATTGGTGCTTTGTCTGCATGTATGACTGTGTGAGGGAGTCAGAAATCCTAGAACTGGACTTACAGGTGGTTATGAGCTGCCATGTGGGTGCTGGGAACTGAACCCTGGGTCTTCTGGAAGAACAGTCAGTGCTCTTAACTGCTGAGCAATCTCTCCAGCCCACTCCCCTGGTGGGGCAGGGGAATCTTGGTTAGATGTGGATCTAGTTCTGCAGGCTGGGATCCGAGATTCTGGGTTCCTCTTCAGCTTGAGAATGATGCTGTTGGCCCATGGACCACAGGTTATCTTTGTTTTTGGAAACAGAGTCTTGCTATACAGTCCAAGATGGCCATGAACTGGCTATAGTCCCCACGTCTCACCCTCTCAATTACTCGGATTATGGACATGTGCCACCATCTCACACTCCATGGACTGCATTTTAAGTAACAAGGGTACAAAACTTTATTTTTCTTCTATTTTCTTATTAAGTTAGCATTCCAAGCATCGAGTTTAATTATGGCATTCCAATATGTGTGTGTGGGTGTGTGTATATATATATATATATATATATATATATATATGTGTGTGTGTGTGTGTATGTGTGTGTATATGTGTGTATGTGTGTGTATATGTGTGTGTATATGTGTGTATGTGTGTGTATATGTGTGTGTATGTGTGTGTGTATGTGTGTGTATGTGTATGTGTATATGTGTTTGTGTGTGTATGTGTGTATGTGTGTGTATATGTGTGTATGTGTGTATGTGTGTGTGTATATGTGTGTATGTGTGTGTATGTGTGTGTATATGTGTGTGTGTATGTGTGTGTATATGTGTGTGTGTGATTACACTTTGTTCTCACCCCCCCCTTCCCTATTGCTCCCTCTAACCCTTTTAAGGAGTCTCGGCTCCCTATGTCTGGTTTCTTCCCAGACAGCCCTTTTGCTTCACATCACACATGTTCCATTACTCTCTCTTGCCTCCCCTCTTATGATCTTCTTTATACACACACACTTGTGCAGATGTGCACACACACACACACACACACACACACAATTTTATGTATAAGTTCTGTACTTTAGAGAAAGCAGGCAGTGTTTTGTGCTATTATCTTCAAGTACAGGTTGAGTTGGCAGAGTGAGGTCAGAAGCCCTTAGCAACTTTCCAGAAAGGGAGAGTGACAGGACAGGAGCCCAGGGTCTCCCACTTCAGGCTGGGTGGATGAGGTGGCAGTGAAGATTTAGGGGTGGGGGCTGTGTCAGTGGATCCTGGCTGGAATTCTCCCCTACATCCCTGCCCCAGAAGCCTGACCTCCCATCAGACCCAGATGAACCTAATTCACAAGGACCAAGGACCAAAGTGTGCTCTCAACACAACATAATAGCGGAGACTTAGCCTGGCCAATCCCAGGTGCTTGGCTTGCAGTAAATAATTCAAAAAGAAACAGTGCAGGGTGTGCTGCGAGCTGTGGGTGATGCCCCTTACCCTCCATCCTGAGACGCGAGTTCTTCAGTGGGTGTGACATCCCACAGGGGGTCTTGAGGGACATCTGCTCCTTCATCACTAAGGAGATGAAGGGACTCTGATGGACATCTTAAAGTACTGACATGGCATTTGTGCCCTGCCATTGGACAGATAGAAACAGAGAGTTAATTCTTGTCCTAGCTTTGTTACTCCTGAACTGTGCGGTAGTAGGACAAGCCAAGGGCTTTCTCTGAGCCTTGGATTCCTGGTCTTTGCTGGGAGTGGTGGAGACAGCTTATAGCTCTGGAGATGCTGGCTGAAAAACAATTGCTTTTCTCATCTGTTTAATGCAATTTTGCTTTATTTTTGGGGTTTTATTAGTTTTTGTTAAATTCTTCTTTGTTGTGGTATTATTTATCTAACAGAATGCACTTTATGCTTTTGTTTTGCTTGCTCTTGATTTGACTTTTATTGTTTTATTTGCATTTATTTTTATATTTGTTTTATGCTTTGTTCAGATACCTTTTATGATCCTTTGATTTTTACATCATGGACTTTTTTTTGTTCTTAGTGTTCAATTTGGCCTTTATCTTCACATTTTATTATTTTTTTCATGTTAGACTTTGCTTTGATTTTATGACTTTTGAATTTGATGCAGTATTTTGGTGGTGATTTTAGTAGTGTTTTGTTTTATTTTTATGCCTTATTTTTATTATTTAAAAATGTATTTTCTGAGACAGGGTTTCTCTGTATAGCCCTGGTTGTCCTGGAAACTGTAGGTTATTCTGTCCTCAGACTTAGAGATCCACCTACCTCTGCCGCCTGGGTGCTGACGGACGCCTCACCACTCTCTGGCTTTAAATATAATCTTTTTATTTTTTGAGCGTTTCATACAATGTATTTTGATCACATCCTCTTCTCCCCCCAACTCCTCCCAGATCCACCCTGACTGACCTCTGTAACCCTTCCCAGCTATGCATCCTCTTTATACTCTTAATAACCCACCGGGCCCAATATGTGCCTCGTCTCCCTTGGAAGTCCCACAGCCTTACCGGGTGCAGAGTGGTCGTGGCGACTAGATGTCCCATTCATGCTGAGATCTCTGCCGACACTTTCTCTTTCCACTTAGATTATTTTTATATTCTATATGGTTTTTACCTTTGATTTGATTTTAAAAAAATGTTTCACTTTCAGGTGGGATGAACCAGTATCCACCGCCAGAGCTCACTGAGGAGTGTGGAGGCCCAAACCGTGGGGATACCTTGCTGCAATTAGATGCTCCTACCAAGAGGTGAGCTCACGGTGAGGTTGACCCAGGGAGGAGGATGCTGTCTGTCTCCCTACAGGCAGTTTCAGCTCTCAACTTGACCCAAACCACTTGGGAAGGGAAGCTCCTGGGATTGATGGCTCTGATGATTAAGATTAGTGTTCCTATTGTAATTTTTAGGGAGAGGGTCTCAGTGTAGCTCAGGCAGTTAGACTGTATGATTCTCTTGCCTTCAGAGGACTGGGCTTACAGGTGTGGTACCACACTGGGCTCTCTTTCCTGATGTGTTTAATGTGAGAAGTAAGAATGGACCTTGAGCTGGAGAGATGGCTAACAGTTAAGAGCCCTTGCTGTTCTTGTTTTCAGCGTCCACGCAGCTCGCAACTGTCTGTACCTCCAGCTCCAGGGGCTCCAATACCTTCTCCTGGCTTCTGTAGGAACCAGGCATGTACATGGCACACATGAGTACACACAAGGCAAACACTCATATACATAAGATAAAGATAATAAAAAACAACATAGGATCAAATATTCAAAGAAATTCAAGGAGCACATGGGTGCATAAAAGCACAAAATGGGAAACCCATCCCATTATAGCACCCATCCTCCAGTCTCAACTTTCAGAGACAAAGTTGGTGATGTTCATGCCCTGGTCCAGCCAGAGAGCAGTATGAATCCTTAGCTCGAAGCCACAGCAGCAACATCCACCAATGGCAGAACCACTCAGTTTGGTCACGTGACACGGTCTTGCAGGAATCTCCTGTGATATTGCAGGTTGGACTTAGGGCCTTGCCCATGTAGGCAAGTGTTCTACCACTGAACTACAACCCCAGCTCAAGTCACAGAATGACAAAGGCTGCCTTCCTACAGGTTGTCCAAGCACCAGTTTGGCACGTCTGTATTTGCTTATGACTCAGAGGATCTCAAATCATCAGACATTTTTCTAGAAGAAAAGAGAAAAATCAAGATGACATCTATAGCTCATCAAGAAGCAGTGGGAAATTATGAAACGAACAAGTCAGACACAGAGGAAAATAATCAAGAAGCAGCAGCAAAGCAAAGACGCCCGGGCACTGTCTCCGGTGAGACACCAAACCACGGCTCCCTTGCTCTCTAGGTTGGATTCACTTTTTAAAATCTTTATCTTTAAAAGCCAGAAGTTGGTGGCACTTGGCCTTTGATCCCAGCACTCAGGAGGCAGAGGCGGTGGATCTCTGTGAGTTTGAGGCCAGCCCAATCTACAGAGTTAGTTCCAAAACAATACAGCTTCAAAACAATACAGAGAAACCCTGTCTTGAAAAAAATCTTTATCTTTAAAAAAAAATTTCTGTGTACTGTGTTAACTTATGCTTTGTGAATATGCTTTTGTTCACAAAGTTATTCACACCACTGTAGAAAGAAGACATCAAAATGAGCTCACTTTTACTTCTGTAAAATGCATTAAGGATATAGTATGCTACCATCTCTCCAGGAAGTAATCCCAGGTCACAAAGAATCAAGGATCTATTACAGAGGTTCTCAACCTTCCTACTGTCAAGACCCTGTAATCCAGTTCCTCATGTTGTGGTGACCCCCAACCACAAAATAAATTTTGTTGCTTCTTCATAACTGCATTTTGCTACTATTATGAATCATAATGTAAATATCTGATATGCAGGATATCTGATATTTGACCCCTGTGAAAGGGTGGTTTGACCCCCAGAGGGGTAGCCACCCACAGGTTGAGGATTACTGGTCTAGTATAAGCAACCTACCAACCAAACAGATAACTCTTGTATATGTGGTGGATTTCTCTTGGCCTTGAGCTGAACTCCCTGGTAGGCAGACTTCTTGGTCTGTGAATGTCCACTGTGGTTGGTGTATTCTCATCACGTTTAAGGAACATTTTAAAACAACTGTAGGTTGGTTTTAGATCACAACATGAAGAAATGTTGTATCTTACCTGTGATTGATGGATTTCGCCGAACAGCAAACATGTTATTGAAAGACGTGGATAGGCCCTTATTAGCCTCTTCCCCATCTGTGACTGTTGACAGGGTTGGTCTTGTGAGGATTCAGTTCGGGTAACCGCCATTCATGACTGCATTGGCTGTGTTGAATATAGAAGATGGTGTTTCGTAGACCTCTCTATCTTCAGGCTCTTACATTCTCTCCACCCCTTCTGGGATGTTCCCTGAGCTTTAGAGGAGGTGGTATAAATATCTTATTTAGGACTGAGCCTTTAGCCACCACTTACCACTTGGGAATCTTGGAAAATTCTCTATCAGTCTTTTGGGGTGGGGTGGGGTGCTTATAGGTTATTCTCCAGGGCAATCAACAATGATAACCACTGCCCTGAGGTATTCTTTATCAAGATGAAAGAGAGGAAGACTGCTGACTGGCTGTCTCACCCAGTGCCATCCATAAAGTTGGCACCTGCACTCCAAGGCCATTCTTAGCCTTCATCACAGGCTCCTGCCTCAGGTAAATAAGCCAAACCTTGCCCTCCCCATGCTCTCCCACAGGGGAAAAGTGCCAGTGACCCCCTCTCTTATTCTGAACGGTGGAGAAAGAACAAATCTCTTTTTTCAGACCTCATTGCCTTGAGTTCCTTGGAGGCTTGGTCATTGTTGACTGTCACCTTCCTTTTCAAGCCCCCTCTTCCTTTAACTTTGGGGATAGCAATTTGCATTGGAGTGGCCTATAGATCCCAAATAAATACACGGAGCCTGACTCTTACTTATAAATGCCTGGCCTTAGCTTGGCTTATTTCTAGTCAGTTTTTCTTAATTTATTCAGTCTACCTTTTGCCTCTGGGCCTCTACCTTTCTCTACTCTATATCCCTTTCTTTCCTTACTCATGGCTGATTGTGTATCTGGGTGGTGGGCCCCTGGCATCCTCCTCTCCTCCTTTTTTTAATTCTCCCTCTTTGTTCTTCTATTTATGCTCTTTGCTTGCCAGCTCCACCTAGCCTTTCTCCTGCCTGGCTATTGGCCGTTCAGCTCTTTATTAGACCAACCAGGTGTTTTAGGCAGGCAAAGTAACACAGCTTCACAGAGTTAAACAAATGCAACATAAAAGAATACAACACGTCGTTGCATCATTAAACAAATATTCCACAGCATTAACAAATATAACACATCTTACACTAATATTCCACAACAGCTAACAACCATTATTGGCCTGGCTTGGAAAGCCACACCCCCATCTACTTCCTGTTGTCAGACCCCCCTCATCTTCCTGTTAACCCTCTCTCATCAGCTCTCTGCTGTCTTTTCTCATCATTACCTCTGTACAGCCTCATTCTGAACATAAATGCAGATAGGCTCATGTCATTATAACAGGGTCCTGGGTAAGGAACAAAGGCCCTTAGGGTTGACCCATATCCTGGGGCTTTGGAGCCTTGGCTGCTGTGTTCCTATATATCATGTTCACACGAGTCACAGTTGGCCCTTGGATCCTGCTGTTTGTTCCCAGCCTCTATGGTCCAGTTTATTCTCACCTTCCTATCTCTATCTACAGTATCTGCTCATCTATTACTTTTGGGCTTCAGGGTCCCCTCTTGGTATTATGAAGTTTTCAGAGCCTCCTCGGTGCCCCCACATTGTAGCTGGGCTCTGCCATAACACCTGCAACCTGCTGTTTCACCTTCTTGTGAAGACTTAAGCAAGTGTTACCAAGTGTCATCTCTTTCCACACAAGCCAAGATGATCTTGACACATTGCCAATTTTATTGTTATCTCCCAAGCATGGCTTTTTGTTTTTTCTTTTTCCCTTCTGAGTAGGGTTGTATTGTAAAAGATCTATACTGGGCGCTAGGATAAGCCCAGGATTCAGTGAAATTGTAATTTCCCTGTAGCTTCTTTTTCACCCGCAAGCATTCTTCCTCACACACATCCTTCCCCTTTATCACTAGATTCCATGGACGTGAGTAAAATGCTAGCTGTCTGCAGTGTCTGCCAAGAAGGCAAAAGTTAATATTCATGGGAAAACAATGGCTAATACAAAATTAGGGGGTTCCAGTAATTGCTTCAGTAAAAGATGATTATTCTTCAACTTTGTGTCACACTAACACAGAAGGCTCAAGACTGTGAGGAATACTGAGTGTTAGGCTTCAAGTGATAGCTTAGGGCTGGTTAGCTGAAAGCCTGAGGACAGTCCCGTAGTTCTGACCAATATGGTAGACACCGGCCACATTGACTGTTTAAGTCGAGATATTTTGAAACCCAATAAAATTGAAGTTCCAGTTTCTTGGCTGACCCAGACACACTTCAAAGGCTCAGTAGCCACATGGGTGGGGGTGTGCTGATCAGCAGAGATTTCCCATCCATGCTGATGTTCACATCATTGCAGAAAGTTCTGCTGAATGATACCAGTCTAGACTCATCACCTAGGAAAATCTGTCTCTGTTAGTCTCCTAGACCAGGCAAAGTTGGGCTTCCAAAGATGAGGGCCCCTTGGAAAGGGCCTGGGCTGATGTGACAAATCCTTGGTTTGTGGGTCCCACGTACTTTGGCTTTGGGGGAAGCAGGTCAAGTCACTGTGTCTGAGGAAGTTGAGGCCCAGACAGGATCATCATCTTGCCCATGGTCACATAGTTGGTGTTAAGGTGGGTTTCAGTGTCTGCCACGTCAGACTCATCATATGTGAGCCCCGCCCTCTCTCCATTTGTTTGCTTGCAGGTCCTTGTTCCATGGATCCCAAGGAAGGCGAGTGCCTGGATTGTAGTCCTCAAATGGGGATACAGTAAGGAAGAGCAAGCTTGCCCATTCTCCTGGGTTGGGAGCTGTGGGGGCAATGTTAACCTGTTTGAAACCAGAGAAGAATGTGACACATGGTGTGCTTCCAGTTTGGCTGAGCCTTGAGACTGGTGCCCTTCTTTTAACAGTTAGACCATGAGGCTGGCTTTACTCTTGCTGAGGCAGGCTACCCAGCTCATGACTGACGAAGTCCACAGCCCTGGATAGATTTTAACTCCCTCCATTGTTTCCTGCCTTTAAAGGGTTAGACAGACTAGATAATTTGTAACTGAGAAGGACTAAAT